GTGTGCGCGCGCTTACATCTTTATGTCCCCAATGCCTCAAAATTACCAATACTTAATAAGGCCTGAGGATGTACCTCAGTGGTAGTGTGCTTCCAAGCATGCTCAAGACCCTAGTTTCATTTCTTATCACTGCAAGAAAAAAGGCAACAGTCAAAAAGTTCTTAATAAATACATGGTGAAGGCACTGTCGTTTTTATTTTATACTTAAGGAAACTTTGTGAAGACTATATTGCCTAATCTTTCCAGCCCATCTTTCTTCTTATCCAAAGCCCATAGGTTAGGAGAAAAGGAACTCATGCGAGTCTGAACCTCATTCAGAAGTGCAGTGTGATGAAATGCGGAGATCTGTAAAGTAGCCTATATTTTGACTTAGATTTCTAGTAGGATTAAACTAGGCAAGTTGACTAGCTTTTTCTGCAGTAGTGGTCTAACCAAAAAATGCCCTTAGTAGTTTTGAGCAGTGTTTCTTTTATTCCTGCATTCTTTTCCTTAGAATAAAATCCTTTTGAGCATTTAAACATTCATGGCATGTTTGGATCTCTGCCAGTGAAATGACTCACACATTTGTCAAAAGAGGCATGTTTATCTAAACAGCCTCATTCTGATGTTTCTGAGTGATGTGTATAGTCTGTTAAGACACTCACTGCAAAACCAGTTACAGAGGAGCCCTGCCTTGTCAGCCGCACTCTTGCTGCATTGAAAGGCCGTGTGCTACAGTTCTTCTGAGATGGGGCTAGTTTGATTTAACCTGTTGGGGTTTATTCAACTATTTGAATTGTTAGATTGTAATTTTTCATTACTTCTGGGAAATTCTCAGCCATTATCTCTTTAAATATTGACTCTACTCAACCCTCTATTCCATTTCTTTCTGAACAAATAGCTTAAATGTTTTAGTCTTTGCTTACTGTGCAGCCCCTTAGTTTAATTCTCCCAGCATTGTGATCACTCACTAAGTGTAGTGGACATTTACGCTATGTTTTATACATCTCATAAACTCTTAATGTATTTTGTATTATTGTTTCTGTGATTGAGATTTGTATAATTTCTTCTGGTCTAGTTTTAGTTTTTAAATTCTGTCTTCAGCTGTGTCTAACTTAAATTATCTATTGAGTTTTATGTTATGGTATTTTTCACTTCAAGTTTTTTGGTACTTTTTCAGGTATTCTGTTACTTTTTATGGTTTCCTATTCTCAATCTTGTTCATTAACTTAATGTTCCTACTTATTATTTATTATCTCTTTAATAATTCCTGAACCTGACATCTAGTTTTGCTTTTTAAGACATATATTGCTCTATTTGTGTGCCCTGCCCCATGTACTTGATTACTTTTGGCTCAGTCTCTCTCATCCTTAAAATTGTTTGTAGGAAGTTCAGAAAGCCCTAAAATGAAGATACTTTTCTCCAAAGAGGGTTTGCATTTACTTGTGCTATATGTCTCAATGCACTACAGGTTAGGGGCCTTGTTTTTAGAATCACCTAGGTGGTGGAAATTTGGGCAACAAATATTAAGGAGAGCCAGCTTGTGGTAACAACCTCAACAGCTAATTTTTTGTAGGAAGAGGTGTAGTATGTCAGTTTCGTTCAGCACCAATGTAAATGTGTTTACAGTCTCATGACAAGCAGTTACAGGCAGAAAAAAGATGTTCAGTTTGGGAGTGGTTCGTCATTATACTAGGGAAAAACCATTCTACTCTAATGTGGATCGATTTTTTATTAGATTCCTATCTTGACCAAATGCTATACTCAGATACCAGTGCCCTTTTCTAGATGAGGCCTTCAAAACCTCCATTCAAGTTGCTAGATTGCCTCAGGGCAACAGTATTCTGAAGCCTGCTTATTTTCTCCTCCTGGTTTAACCTCATCTTTCTGGCATCTCACCATTGGCAGTCTCAGGATTCAACCCATTCCTCTGATTTTACAGCTTCAACTAACCTTTTCAGCCGTGTGTGTGTGTGTGTGTGTGTGTGTGTGTGTGTGTTTGTGTGTGTGTGTTGGTAGGAACTCAATGCAGAGCCTTGCTGGTTAGGCAATTACTCCACCACAGAGCTACATATCTAGCTTTCCTCCAATATTTTCACCTAATTTCATGACTTATAGTTACTGTATATATGCTGTCTACATCCAAATACATATCTCCAGCCAGACCTCTCTTTACAACTCTTCTTAAGTATCATCTGCCTATAAGTATCATCTGCCTACATACACCACAGTCTCTAATTGGAAAGTTGACTGTAGAGATTATGAACTGACAATACCCAAGACAGTTACCACACTTCTTCTACTTGTGTCTTCCATTAGTGGCCATTAAACTTTTGTGGTTGCCCCCACCAGTATCCTGGTTTTGTATTTGACTTTGACATTCTTTCCCTCCCATCCCAGGTTCATTTCAGGAAGCCCTTTTTTTTGATTCTGTGTATCCAAAATCTTATCACTTCTACTGCCATCCTGTCCATCATTGTCACTCACCTGAATATGGCAGTAGCTTCCCAACTAATCTTCCTGCTGCCTTTCCACCTTATAAGTATACCTGGGACTCAGCTATGTCCTGCTGTGCATAAAATTTCCAGTGACTCTTATCTCACTCAGAATAAATGCTTTATTTTTCTGCTTACATCCTCCTGTCCCGCATCTTTGATTATTTGTCTTGTTACTCTTCAGATTGTTCAAGCTCTTTTTGTTTTGTTCCCTCATTCTCAAATCCTCTTCCAAAGGTACCCATTGATTCTGCATATATTTAAGTAAATGAAGTTTGTTAACTTAGTCTTCCCTAACTACCCTATTTCAAATCACAAAACAGAACTCATGGTTTTGAGAATGGGAGGAAATTATGAGAGTTTTACTGTAAATAACAAGAAGAAAAAGCTCTTGGTAAATGTCTATTGTGGGGGCCTTTCAAGCGGAAAATCCATACTATATTCCCACATAAGCTCTGCCCTTATGTGAATAAGCAGGGAGAGGAAAGGGATTGTTTCAGAGGGAGTAAATCCTGTATTCAAAAGAAAACTGATTATCTGGCATTTTTATTTCTTGAGGAGTAGCTGTTAGAGCTGTTAACTAACTTAGTGTACCCTGGATAAGTCTTCTTCCTGCAAGGAAGAATCTTTATCTTTCTGTTCTCATCCCAACCTTTTATTTTTTTGTTCTTGTTTTCTTTTACTTTTCCAGACTTCACCTGCTGCTTGAGTAACCAACTACAGTACAGTATTTGAATTGACTCTTTCATCTAGCCCTATTTAGCCTACTCATAAACTAAGCAATTAACAATGGTTATGAGAGTCTTCTAGATCAAAAACTAACTCTTTATATTTCACCATTTGTATTGTGATATTTTACACTTTCTTTTCTTTTCTTTTTTTTTTTTTTTCAGACAGATTCTTGGTATGTAGTTTAGGCTGGACTTGATTTCACTATGTAGCCCAGGCTGGCCTCAAACTTGAGGCAATTCTTTTATCTCAGCTTCCCAAACGCTGGCATTATAGGCTTGGGCCATCACCCCCACATATTTAAATCTTTGTTTGTGTGCTTGTTTTTTTTGTTTTTTTAACTTTTTATCTGTATCGGGGATCTTACTCATAACCGCCTGCTTGCAAGGCAAGTGCTTATGCCACTGAGCTAAATCCCCAGCCCCGCTTGTTTGTTTTTGACGTGAGTCCTTACTGTGTACCCCAGGCTGGCCTTTTGCCTCAGCCTCCTGAGTCCTGGGATTACAGGCATGTACCAACACACCAGGCTACATTTAAATCTTTTGGTGTATTTAGAATTTATCCTAGAATATATTATGAAGTTTGGGGCAACCTTTTTTCTTGACCAATTTGAGCTGTCATCATTATTACATCTAGAGATGTCCTAAATGTTTTGGGGTCTCATTGTGGATTTCCATTCTGTCCCATTAGTTTTCTACATATGTTTTTAATTATAAGTATCTCAATTATGTTTTTAAAGTCTAAATAAGTCCAGTCACACCCTCCCCTTCCCCCACCGCCAATCTGATTTTCCTATATGAACTTTAGAATTACCTTTTCAGTTGCAGAAAAAGTCTACTTTTACTGAGTTTAGTCTAAATTTTAACAGATTAGTGTACAGCATTTTTGGGTGATTTTCTCTCTAAAAAGTCTTTTCTATTTGTTCAAGCTTTTATTTTTACTATGTTTAAAAGTTGTGTGTGTGCACACAGATATGTTTCACATTCAGGTTACTCTTAGGGGTTTTATCTTTCTTGTCATTTTGCCAAAGAGTTTATGATTTTACTTCCGATGTAGTTCAACCTTAATCCTTAAAGCGTTACTTTATGTAAATTAACACATTAACATTATGGTATTACACAGTATCCTGTGTGAGCAGTTACTATGATCCTCAACAAGACTTGGATGCAATCCTCTCATATCAGTAAATCAGTGTTTGGAACATTGTGATGGAAAGCCAAATTAAAATTTACCCTAGAACATACAGTGTAGTGTTAGTGCACACCTATAATCCCAACACTTGAGAGGCTGAGGCAGGAGGATTGCTGTGAATTCAAGGATAGCCTGGACTATATATGAGGTCAGTCTGAGCTACATAGTGAAACCCTGTCTCAGAAAGCAAAAAACAAACAAAAAAGTATGCAGTGCAGGTTTTCTGATGGAGTGGCCTCTTGGTAGACAGCCAGATGGTCTCTGCTTACAACTGACAATCATGTATTTGCTTTTAAAAATCATAAGGATTTGGCTCAGTAGCTCTAGGACCTGCCTATTAAGCACAAGGCACCCTGGCATCAAAAAAAAAATAAAGATAAAAATCAGTACTTCTCTTAGTAAACTGCACTCTTGCAATGGCCAGTTAGCAAGCCTGAGTGATGGTAATTGGATAGAAATGGTATGTGTGCAGCTGCTACTGTTTACATCTACTTATGTGTTAAAGAACCCAGTCTGTCGTGCACTAATATTGTTCTGCAGGCAATTACTAAGGAACTGCCATTGATCAAATCTTTAATGAAGGTTTTAAATTCTTATATATTACAGAACTTCACAAACTTGTTTGGACAGCCCCTAGTCTGTTTGCTTTCTCCTACGGCATATCCAAAAGCTTTACAAGGTATGTCTTTCAGTGCCTGTTACTGAATGGGATGTGGATGCTGTATTTTGAATAATGTTGATATTTATTTTTCCCTCCCATAATGATTATGTGTGGATTGGTGGTATTTAATGTGGCAGATGTACGTCAATCTGAAATATGTCTAGAAACCTTGCCAACAGCCATACTTTCTTAGTGAGCTATGGGTAGGACCTGAGATAATTCCTCCTTGAGAGAGGTGATTTACTCCCTTCCTGTGGGGAATTCATGATTTGTAAATTTGAGATTTTGTTTTACAAGTGCTTATTTTGATTCACTTGTCATAACTTTGCTGATTTTCTTTGTCTTTCATTGCATATTTTAGGCATCTTTTAAGACCTTAAGATTACCGCTCTTAAAACTTATCAGCCTATTCCTGAGAGTTAGAATATCCTAACTGGCACAAGTTAAGGGCTTTCTTTTTCTTTTTTTTTTTTTTTTTTTTACCTTGTTTTACTTCTTAGATAAAAGAATCTCTTGTAGTCTGCCAGAGAGAAAAGTTAGTGTTCAGGTCATTTTTCTAATGACTGAGAATTGAAAGACTTTTGTCCGTAGTGATTTGTCCTTAATAGGTAACACATAAAACCTAATTCTAACTCCCAGTCATTTAGGAGGTAGAATGCTAAAAGAGCCTTCACACTGTTTTAGCAGTACTTGTCACTGTTTCACTATCTCCCTAACTGTGAATAGTGCTGATGTCTCTCTGGGAGATGGCATTTTACTGCTACTTCCCAGCCAGAAGTCCTGTCTGCTGACATAGTTTGACACAGGAAGTGATGGTCAGCATTTGAATGCCTGAGAGAAGCTGGAGACTTTCACCGTTGTTTTAAGGTAAGTTCTACTTTTTAACAGGGAAAAACATAGAAATTCTAAGTTTATATATTCAATATCCAAATTACAAAAGGGATAGAACTTACCTTCAAACAACGGTAAAATTCTCCTACTTTGAGGATTTTGTCATCCTGTTGTCAATCCTGGAGGAGTCTAACCCCTTCCAACTACTTGAGAGTGCTTTTTTTCCTCAATCTGTGCCATAATGGTGTAGTTTGGTTTTAAGCTACATAGTCAATTGAGTTAATACCAAGATTACTGGGTCTTAATACCAAGAAACACTATTGTGTGGAGGCGGACAGACTGAATGAATTTGACCTAGCCATTTCCTAGCTGCGTGACCTTGAGAAGTTACTCAGGCATTCTGTACTTGAGTTACTTCATCTACTAAATGGAATTAATAGTAATACTTACCTCAGAAAGTAATACTGGGTACATTAAAAAGCATTCCATATGTGCTATCAGTATTGTTAATATGCTTATTTGTAATACATGTCTTTAATGCTTTTTTGGTTCGGTATCCTATCTTTGTGCTACAGGGATTAGATCTCAAATATCTTAAATGAGTCGGGCAATTATATAGATTTAAATTTCCATTGTGAAAAGTTGTGATTTATCCAGTGGCATTGTTGTTGGCCCTCCAAAATCAGTTGGTCCTCCATCTGGGTACAAAACTGAAAGTATTTAAATAATAGGAATGTCAGATAGGGTTCCTACACTTTGTATATTTCAAGGCTATAGTCCTTTCATTAGTTAAGACTTGTTTCTTTGCTCAACACTGATTCTACACTGATTTGCTAGGCACTGTGGTAGGCATCAGGGTGAGCACTCTGACCTGATAAGACCCAGTTACATTTCTCCCAGAGCCACAGTCTAGTAGAAGATAGAGACAATCTTAGGCAAGTACTGTAAGTGGTACAGTGTTTCATGGTCGATGCCAGAGCGTCACACACAGGGAACCTCTAAGCAGCATGAAAAAGTGAAGTGGGGGATGAGGTGATGTCCAGTATGGCCATCCAGGGCATGCAGAATAGGATGGGGGTAGAGGGTGACTCCGTGTACTGTTCCAGCAGAGAAACTTTATGTGCTATGGCCCTGAGATGAAAGAACTTACACAGACCTTCAAGAAATTAAGATAGCCCCTTCTACTTGAAAGGTATTGAGTGACTGGATGTTGAAAAACCTTCTAAAATTTGTTATGTGATTTAGTGGAACGACAGTGAGGAACCATCAGAGGTTGTTATGAGGGGAACTTTCCAGTTGTCCTCAGAGAAAATGTAATAGGGAAAGCACAGATGGAAGTAGGAAGATGATGGTGACTGGAGCTCAGACAGCGACTAGGTGTCTGGCTTCAGATATCCTAAGACCAGTGAACCATTAGCACTGGTGATGGGCTGGATATGGGAAGAAGATCACGGAAGCAGGAAAACATGTTGACTCTCTGGTACCAGTAGAAATAATGAGATTTGAGGAGTATGCTTGTGAAAATTTTGTAAAGGGGAAAGAATTTGTGTTCAGTTATTGACTTGTTACGTTTGAGATGCCTTTGAGAGTTAAGTTAAATGTAGGAGTCTAGATCAACCCTGCCTGATAGAACTGTAGAGGGAGTACAGTGCCCACCTAGCAGGGGGCAGGTGTTACAGCTGACAGTTGAGCCCAAGAGCTTCACACTGAGATACATCTCCAGGTCTCCTTTTTTTTTTTTTCTTTAAAGTTCTTGCTGGGCTTCCCAGGATGGCCTCAAACTGCTAATCCTCTTACCTCAGCCTCCCACATATGTCTCCAGGCCCACCTAGCACCACACTTTAAAAAACTGGCACACATAGGTGTTTTGGCTTCCCATAGAGTGAGATTGTAGAGATGTAACAGGAGGAAGGAAAACTGGCCTTTATTGAGAGCATGGGAGGGCTGCTCAAGAAACACCAGCAGCCTTTAGAAGCTTCAGGAATGATCATGGGCTTTTTATCTGGAACCTAACAGGTCAGGAGCTTAAGGGTCGGACAGAATGACGCACTGACAGATGATAAGGATGCGTTAATGGGAGGTTTGACTTGCGAGTTTGGGAAAAGAACACCAGGGGGCACTGTCGAGCCACAAAGGGATCTTGTACATGAGGAAAAACCCATCAATAGGAAGTTTCCAGACAGCATGGTACAGGGCTCTTGGAAGTGCTGCTTAGGGACCTGTGTGGTCATGGTTGTTGTGGCAGGGAGTCTAACTGGCTGCAGAGGTATGGAGTTCCACAAAAAGTCTTGTGCCAGCACGACTTCATCTCCCACCCAAGAATGCTTAGGAGTCTCAGTGTCCAAAAAGCTGCTGATTGCAGCCAGTGCCCAAGCAAGTATTTGGGACAAATTGCTTATCATCTCCAAGCCTTAATTCCAGAAAAATGGCCTCTCTTCAAACAGTTCAGATAGGAAGGAGTCCATTACTAGACCAAGTTCAAAATTTTCTCCTGCAGAAAGCCCAGGCAAGTGAAAAGCTCAGAAAAAAAAAATGGAACCCATTCCCCCCTGGTCACTTCAATACTGAAATTATTGACAAGACCCTCGGCAAAGTTATACAAATGGATGTAATCTTATTTGAGATGAATCAGGCAGATTCAAAAGAAGAGGATACTTGAGAGTTCCTAAGGCAAGTTCAGAGTTTGAGGACAAGGGTGAACGTGTCACCATGAATAACATTAAACTTCCTAATTCAGAAGATAGAAAGATAAGATTGGAGTTTTGGACAGTCAGCAACTAAAAACATGGAATAGTGAAATAAATGATCTAAAAAGAAACAGGTGATGCATACCTCCTAATTTGAAAAAGTAAGCAGCTCTGGGTGCTTTGCGTTTATGGTATCTACAGTGCTCTTGTATGTTTAAGGTAAACTTTGTGAGATAGAAGGATCATTGCGAGAGCAAAACCAGCCTGGGCTACAAAATGAGCCCAAGTCCAGCCTGAACCACACAGCGAGACCCTATCTTAAAAAGAGAGAGAGAGAGAAGAGGAGAGGGGAGGGGAGGGGAGAGAAAGAAAAGAAAAACGAGATAACTCTTAACAGTTTGAGCAAAGAACAACTAATGAATCATGCAACACTTTCAGTGGAGAAGGGTTCAGAGAGCTCTGCTCTGTAGAGGAGGCAGCATGCTTATGTAACTGAACACAAAGAACTCCATTAGTTTACAGAGAGGCTTTTGCCATGGCTAAACATGGTCTAATCCACTGGGAGCTTGGGATTATCTGAATCTCAGCTGTTTGAGATTCTACCCTGCTTTTCAGATGTTAAGAATTTTTCTTTTTGAGTCAAGTTATATACTGTGATTGTACTTTGAAGTTTTGCACAGTTGGTGAATGTAGTTAACAAATAGTTATTTCAAAATAACTAAGAGATTCCAAACATTTTGATACAAAGAAATGACAGATTTTTGAAGTGATAAATATATTAATTACTTAAATATGATCATTACACATAGTTACAGATTCCAAAATGACATAGTCTACCCCATAAATTTGAAAAATTATGTATTAATTTAAATAAATAAAGAAAAAATACACTCCTTTAAAAAAAAAGTCAGACATGGTGATGCATGCCTTAATCCCAGCTACTTGAAAAGTGGAAACAGGAAGACCATAAGTTCAAGGCTACCCTGGGCACTATAGCAAGACCATGTGTCAAAACTAAGATAAGGGGGTAGAAATGCAGCTAAGTGTGAAGACCCTGGTCTGGGTTCAATCTCTAGTTCGCTCCTTCCCCCACAAAAAGAGAGTAAAAAGAAAATGAAATGAATATTAACAACATATATTCTTATGCTAAGGTTTTTAAATCCAGTTTGTGTTTACAGGGTATCTGTAGGCTGCATGAATATTGAGAATTATGAATCAGTAGGCATATAAATGGAAATGAAAATCGTGTGTGCAGATGAGATCAGCAATGTTATTTTTGCATTTCTCTTACATTTACTAGACTATCTTATTTCAGCAGAAGGCAATATATGTAGAATATATTTTTGTAGTTTCTTGAAAAATCTGCACTGTTGGATATGGTTTAGTGATACAGCTTGAACATTACCAGCAAATGAAATGTTCCTCATATAAATCTCTTATCCTTCTTAAAATTGTTATCTCTATATATGTAACATGTTTGTTATTGCAGATCAATCTCAGCGAGGTAGCCTCTTCACTCTGTTTTTGAACAACCCTCTAATGGCCTTCCTGTTTGTGTCTGGATTGTCAAGCATGCGTAGAGGTCTATGGGAAAAGTGCCAAGAATATCTTCGAAAAATCAACCGTGATATTGCTCAGCTACTGACCCATTCACGTTCAATAGGTACCCTACTAATCTAACTGCACATTTAACAAAATATACTGTAACGGCCTAAAATGATTACTTATTTTTAATTGTTTGATTCTTTAAAGGTATTTGTCCCAGGTAGGAAAGTCAAGAAGGCTTTCCTGAAGTTGTCTTCCCTTTGAAACATAATTTCCACATAAGCCTCCTTTTACTGTCACCTTTTCCTCATTGCAGATCAGGCATTTCTCCAGTTTTTTGGAGATGAATTTCTTCGCTTACTTCTCACAAGATTTATCTTTTGTTCAGCCACCATGAGGATGCACAAGATTTTTCGGGTAGGCAAAGAATATTACTAAAGACCAGTTTTATTATTTTAGTTATTTAAGAATTATGCATATTTTACTTGTATTTGAAAAGTTTGAATAGATCCAAAATAATGTTTAGAAATAAATAAAAATTAATAATATTAAGATACATCTGAGTACCTTCCATCTTATTTAAGGTGAGGCCCTCCGTAGGTTCTTTTTGATCATGTCTCCTTCTAAGGTGCAGTTGCCATCTTGAATTTTATCACTATTTGCTTTGCTTTACAGTTTTGCCACACATATTTGTATTTCTGTATAACATGAAAATATCTGTATTGCTTTTTTGCAATCAAAATTATTCTTGAAGTTAACCTATATTGATAATTATTGCCTTGATTTACCTTGACTGTACATCACAAATTACCAATCCAAGTTGACTCAAGTTTTTATTATTATATAAATGATACCACTGTGAAACTCTTGTATCAATTTTGAGCAACTTCTCACTAAGTCTTTTTCTGTGTTCCTTTTTGTATAAATTGTTTTCAAGTATTTTGCTGGAATGGATAGTTTGTTTTGCTTATTCTTATTCTGTGTATTCTTGAATTACACTATATAATTCATTGAATTTTAAAAATATTAGCCATTGTTTCTTGTATAACATTTGTTTTTCTTTTCTTTTCTTTTCTTTTTTTTTTTTTTGTGTTTTTCTTTTTTATCGGTACCAGGGATATCGAACTCATGACCACACACTGGCAAGGCAGGCGCTTATGACGCTGAGCTAAATCCCCAGCCCCTAACATTTGTTTTTCAAATACATTTGAAAAACTTTTTAACTTTCTGTTCCCTAATTTTCCCATTTTATTATAATTATACAATGTAAAAGAATTATACAGTGAAAACACACCGTCTCCTAGGATTTTGCAGCTAACATTTTGGTATATTTCTCACATATTTGTCTATCTTTCCCTCTTTCTATCAGTTCTTCTTAGTTTATGTGAATTACAAAGTTAATTGTGTACATCAGTAAATTTTTATCTGTATACACTTTCATGTATACATATGTTTTTGTGCTATTTGTTTGTTTTTATGAGATAGGATCTCACTGTGTAGTCTAGGCTAGCCTTAAACTTGCGATATTGCCCAGACTGGCCTCAAACTTCCAGTGATCCTCCTGTCTGAGAGTCTCAAGTGCTAGGATTATAGGAATGCATACGCCCATGGCCTGTCTGTTTTTATGTCTCTTCTTAATTGAAAGTTTGATCAAAAGTAAAATGCACAAAACAATAAAGTTTATCAATCAGATGAGTTTTGAGGAAGACAGAGCCTGTGTAGCCGAGTCTCAAGTTACACCACATAACAATAGTCCAGAAAGTTCCCTTCATAATCCTTTCTAATTGGTCCCTTAATCTTTTACACCAGAGGCCACTACTCCTTCACTGTAAATTAGATTGGCCTATTCTTAAATTTCAATCACACAGTCTGGACTCTTGATCAAGTATATTCTTTGAGTTTTTTTGTTTTGTTTTTTTGTTTGTTTGTTTGTTTCACTATGCAGTTCTGGTTGGCCTTGAGCTCACTTTATAGCCCAGACTGGTCTCAAACTTGCTACAGTCTTCATGCCTCAGCCTCCCTATTGCTGGGATTACTAGCACAAGCCACCACGCCCTGCTGAGTATATTGTTCTTGAGATTCATCTGTGGTGTGTTGTGTATCAGTAGTTTATTCCTCTTTGATACTGAGTAATATTCCATATATATTCTGCAAATATACTACATTTTATTCAAACATTCTCCTGTTGATAAACACCTAGAGCATTTTAAATCATTGACTACTATAAGTAAACCTTTTCATGTAAGAAAGAAGGCTTAAGTCTTAGTCATAGGGTTGGCGTGTGTTTAGTTCAGTTAAGAAACTACTTAGAACTTTTCTCAAAGTAGTTGTACCATTTTACACTTCCTCCAGCTGGATATTAAAGTTATTCTTCATCTTTCCCAATATTTGATGTCCTCAGACTTTCATTTATGACTGTTCGGGTGGTTATGGGGTTATCTCATTGTAGCTTTCAGTGTGCATCACCATAGTTAACATTGATATTCAACATCTTTTCATGTGTTTATTGGTTATATTTTATCTCATTCTGAAGCCTGTAAAAATTTCAACTAATAAATTTATTTTTCCTTTGTTGTTTGTGTTCTTGTGTGTTATATAACAATTCTTTCCCTGACTCATGGATACAAAGGTGTTTTTCTAGGAATCTTTTGGTTTAGCTATTACATTTAGATCTCTGATCTATTTTGAGTTTTTATTTATTGTGAGAGGTATGTGTGAGAGGGTTAAAATTTTTTAAATGTGTATCTTAGTTACTTTTCTTGCAGCTGAGACAAAATACCTGACACCCAAAGTTAGAGAAGGAAAAGTGTTTTTAAAGAACATTTACTGATTTCTAATTCCTTTGTGGTCAGAGCAGATACTTTGTTATTTGAATCCTTTTCAAATTATCAAGACTTGCTTTATATAGCACATGTTCTGTCATGGTAACATTTTTGTGCATGCTTGAAATATGTGTGCAAGTCTCACTGTTTTGTAATGTTGCAGATTCTTTGTATGTTTATTGTTCTTGACTACTTCTAGTAATTGTAGCAGTATATCATACATGTTTTCATTTTCTTTTGGATGCTTTTATTTTTTGTGTGTGTGTGGGGGGGTCAAACTCATGACCTTGTGCTTGCTAGGCAGGCTCTTATGCCACTGAGCTAAATCCCCAGCCCCTATGAATGCTTTTAAAATTTTTCTCCATATACTGGTTTCTTGTAATTGGATTATGATATATGCACTTGATGTGGTTTTCCTCATTGTTGGTTTTTCCTAGTTTAGGATTTGTCAAGCATCTTATAAATGTGTTTAAATGAAAGATTTTTTACTTCTGAGGTATATTTTCTTGAAGTTTTGGGGGGTTTTTTTGTTTTGTGTGTGACAGGATCTTTCTACATAGCCCAGACCAGCCTTTAAATCACTATATAGTCCAGGCTGCTTTGAATTTGCAATCTTCCTGTCTCAGCCACTAGAGTGCTGAGGTTACAGGCATGTGTCAGCATGTCTTGCTTTTTCAAATATTTTTTCTTCCTCTTCTCTCTTTCTGAAAGACCAGTTATATGTATGTTACACACTCATCACTGATTCATTTATTGTTTTTCTCTGTGCACTTTACTTTTGATAGTTTATTTTGCTATCTCTTCAATTTTTCTAATCTTCTGGAGTGTCTAGTTGGTCAGCTGTCCAATTTTTCATTTCACATGTTATTTTTTCACCTCTAAAGTTGTGGTTGATTATTTTTAGTATCTTCTATTTTCCTCATTACATTTGTTTTCCTTTATGTTCTTAAAAGTATCTAATAGTATATAAGTCTTTTTTTGTAATCCTATATTCACTACCATTTAGAGAGCTATAAATGATATTTCTTCAAATATTTGAGCAAACATGTATTCATACTGTTTTTTATATCAGTTATGGACCTTGTATTCCTGGCTTGTTGTACACCTATGAATTTTCTGTTACAGTGTAGAAAATGGGTGTTGTGAATTTTATGACATCTAATTCTAGATATTGTTGTCTTCCCTTAAAAGTGTTGGACTCTAGTCCTGGCAGCAATTAAATTACAGTACTTATAAATCTTTTTGATCTTTCATACCTTGTTTTTAAGCTTTTTTCAAGTAGACTTATGGTAGCCTGTAGCAACAGACTTAAGCCTAATATGAAAAAGCATTATTCACCTAGGATCTCTTTAACATGTTACCCATGTCAATACAAATTCTGTTCTCTGGAATATGTTTAATCAACTCAGACATCATCTGGGCCTTTGTCAGCTGACAGGAGCGTTCGGTTTTTGTTTCTGTAGTAGTTTTGTCACACTTGAATGGACCAGTGATAGTCCAGGTCCCTGTATAAGAGGATAAAAGAATTGCCACATGTACATCCAATAGTAAATATCTGTAGTAAGTAGCTATGTTTAGTGAAGATCACAGGAAATGTAGCCACAATAACAGAAAAAAGCAAAAAGGACCAATAACTCAGGCTTTCAGAATTTAAATGCCAGAGACCTGTATTCTCTGGTGCCTCTCAATGAATCTTTCTTGGCACCAATGCTCTGGCGCTGAGGCACGGTGATCTCCTAGGGTTATTTTGTACTTCTCTTTGGGTAGCGGAAGCGGGAATGACTGATGGGCTGCTGTTCAGGGTTACACAGAGAGACTGGTGTGAGTCACAGAGCTCCTTTGTTTCTAACTGTACTAATTCTTGAGTACTCTTCTTCTTCTTTCTTCTTTCTTCTTCTTCTCTTCCCCTCCAGCTTTGAAAGATTGTATTTTTGTCACTCCTAGTGTTACTGGGTAGCTCCTTCTCAGAATAGCTCACTACTGGATTTTGGTTTGTTTGCCTCTCTTTCTGGAGTTGAATTCTAGGTTCTTCTCTCAAACCAAAAATTGAATGAAATCAGCAAAAAAAAAAAAAAAAAAAAACAATGGCAGAGGTTAGTTTTAAAAAGTAAAAGTGGCCAGGAGTGTAGCTCAGTGGTATAGCGCCTGCCTAGCAAGTGTGAGATCTTGAAGTTTGACTCGTGGAACAGAAAAATAAAAAAACATAAAAGTGAAGAATGTGGAAGAAACTGGCTCTGCAGAGAAAGGTTAGGCCAAGGAGAAAAAAAAATCAAGACAAAAGAGTACCCTGGAGGACACAGGGTGAGCTGTGGTGAGGAAAACAGCTGTAGCAAGCTCTGTGTCCTTCTATATTGTTCAAATTTTGAGGAAACCTACGTAAACGTAACCATACGGGTCCTGAGAGATGGTACTGGGATCCCACCTGAGGCTGGTGTCAGGTCCAAGCCATCCTATCGAAAACCTGCTCAAGTCCTTGGGGAGAAGTCCACAGATAGGGCTTTCGGAACTGTTGTTCACCTGTGTTCAGAATCTTGTAATTAACAGGTCAAGCCTACTTACTTAGTTTTGCCCTACTCTTCTATCTCAATAAGATTTGCTGTGTGTAAAATAATTTTATTGTTGTAATGTGTAATGAATGAGCCTTCAGAGGAAAATAGAAGTAATATTTCTTTCCCCCCCCCCTTTTTTTTTTGTCTTTTTCTTTTTTATTGGTACCGGGGATCGAACTCACGACTGCCTGCTTGCAAGGCAAGCGCTTATGCCGCTGAGCTAAATCCCCAGCCCCTCTTTTTCCCTTTTAAAAGATTTTTTTGAAGTAACATTTAGATATATGAACTCTCATTTATAATCCATAAAAAAAGTAATTTATTTCTTCAGGAAATTCTAAATGTGAGGGGAAAAATTACAGTCTGTAAAAGTTACCAAATTCTTGAAATTGTCTCCTTTTGCTTCCATGTCACTTTTTCCTATGTCACTTTTTTCCCTTTTTTGTTGCTTTTTCCTTTTTTTCTCCCTGATTTTTCTTCATCCCTTTTAGTATCTCCTATACTCTTCTTTTTAATATAATTTTTTAGAGAAAAAAAGAAAAAAGGGTAGAAATAATACAGAACTTCCAAAAAGTAAAAAATCACTAGTTGATAAATTACATATTCTTACCTTAAAATAGTTGTTCAAATTACAAAATCAAAACATAAAAAGTAGGCTGGTCTGATGGCAGTGGGTTATCAGAACTTACTAACACTAGTGTCACTAAAGTTGGTATACCACCCCCCCTCTGCTAAATTTGACTGGCTTTAAAAAAATTTTTTTTAAAAACATAAAAAGTGGACAGTCAAATAATGACAATACAAACCTTTGTCTGATAAACTAACAAAAACTTTGTAGTATGGTTATCTATCTTGCACACTTAAACATACATACAGTTATATCCTTTAGAGCACTTTCTTTCCCTTTCATTATTATAATATCTAATATTATACATTTTGGATCTTGTTACTCTTTCAGTTTTTACTATTTTTTGTACTAGAGAAATAATGTATTTACAAATACGAGTTTGATTTATTTCACTTATGAGGATAGTGTAAAGTCTCCATTTACCTATAAAAGCCTCAAGATCATCCTTTTTATAGCTGAATAGTATTCCATTGTATAAAAATACCACATCTTTTTCATCCATTCTGTGGTTGATGGGCATTTTGGTTATTTCCAAGATTTAGCTATTACAAATTGCACTCCTATAAACATGGATGCACATTATGTCACTGTGACATGACCTTTTCGATTCTTCTGGGAAAATACTCAGGAGTGGAATAGCTAGATTGAATGGAACTTCCAATCCTAATTTTTTTGTGGAATCTCCATGCTGGTTTCCACAGTGGCTCCACAGTCTACATTTTTTTTTTTTTACTCCTTTTACTAATAGCTTAGAAATCACATCTGTTTTCATTGCTTCAGTATTTATTTTCACAAACATTATATCATTGTCTATTTATACTACCTAGATGTATTTTCTGAGATACAGCCCTGAATTGCAAATTGAATTTATCAAGCAGTTCTATTCATACTCCTATGTTACCTCACACAAAATGTACTTAAAACCTGAAACTGTATACTTCTACCAAATTATCTCCTTTTATCTTCTGTTTTTCTGTCAGTAGCTCCCAACTCTTCCATTAAGTCATGTATTTCTCTAAGCTTTCGGTTTTATTTGGCTTCTCCCACAATTAATAACCACATCCACTAATTTGACCTTTGCAGTGCTTTGCATGTCTTTTCCTTCATTTTGCTTTCTACTACATCTATTAATTTATTTAAACAGTGCTTGTATGATGGTTCATGTCTGTTGATCCCAGCCCTCTGGGCAGCTGAGACAGCAGGTTAATAGGTTTGAGTTCAGACTGATGAATTAAGTGAGAACCTGTCTCAAAATTAAAATCGGTTAGAGATGTAGCCTAAAGCAAAGGCCCTTTCATTCTTCAGTACTGGGGGAGAGAAGTGTTTGAAATTTCATGTGTGTTAAGATTTTTTCCCCAGCAAGAAGGAAATATATGATACAGTTTCTAGGTGATATAGAGCATGGTGCCCAGCACAAGCCTCAGTGAGCATTTATGAAATATCTCACTAAATAATATATTCGATTGGATCATATGAATGTGTCATTTTTAGAAGTCAAAATGGCAAATACAAAAAATATATTAATAATTAATCATAACCAGTATGAAGGAAAAAAATACTAAGTTAATATTGTATTAATGCTGTATAATAGTTTTCTTCAGTACCCTATAAAACTTGACTTTTCTTTTCTTTGCTTACCAGGAAACACGAAATTACCCAGAATCATACCCACAGCTGCCAAGGGATGAAACTGTGGAGAATCCTCATCTCCAGAAGCACATTTTGGAATTAGCATCCATTCTGGATGTTCGAAACGTCTTCTTTGAAAATACCATAGATGACTATTAAAACACAAACCCTCTTGTTGAAACAGTTTTTCATTTTTCACAGATTTTAAATGGTGCAGTTTTCTAATGTGACAACAGACACACAGTGTGTTACTTAGTTTTTATTTTTTGATTTAGGGACTACCATTTTAAAGGCAAACTGAAAAAAATGTTCAAACTTTTAGGGTAACTTTTAAAATGCAGTCTTTCAAGTCTTTTAGAAACTCAGTTTTTATTTTTGGGTTTTGATTACCTCCAACATCCAGTCATATACTTAAATAGTCACTGTTTTCACCCTGAGAAGAGTAAATTGTGTATTTTTTATAATGAGAAAAATCCAGCTCCTGTACGTGGACCTTAAATGTCTGGATTTGGAAAATATGTAATTGTTCATAATGACAAACTGGCTAGCATGGACTACTGAAAAGCAAGAACAGAGCCTTTCCATAATATTTCTTTTTATTCCAAATTAGTAGGTAAAAAAAAGTGTGCTTTTTTTTGGTACCGGGGATCAAACTCACAATCTTGCACTTACTAGGCAGGCACTTATGCCACTGAGCTAAATTCCCGGCCTCTAATGTGTGCTTCTTTTGAAGTGTAATCCATGCAAGTCCTGATCATTAAATACCTTTAAATTCTGTCAAAAATTCAGAAGTGGTTTAGGGTTGATTTTTTTTTTTTTTTTTTTTTTTTATAAAAGCTAAATCTTTTAGCTGGGACTTGAGGTGATAAGTGAGTATTGTGTTATTATGAAATTCGTTTGAAAATTTTATTTCTATTCAGTCTTTGCTGGAAATGAAAAAAAAACAAGTTTTAAATATTTCAATAAAATGTCAGGTTATTAATTTCCTAATACACTGTCGTTAGGAGTTCTACTTAATATCTTAATTTAGAAGGTCAAATTTAAAAACTGGATTGATATCTGTAGCATATTATATAGTTTCTCTTTGCCTAGTTCAAATTTATGAGACTTCAAAATCAGAGATAATAATTTTGGTTAAGTGTAACTTGATACTATGAAACTTAAAGCAAAAGTTGATTTTGCTTTGAAAATTTGGAAATATGTTTTGCTAAAAACTCTTAATTATTGTATATTCATGCACCAGTTTTATATGATTTTTTTTTACTTTTTTAAGTAGGATTCAGAATATAATAAGTTTTTGTGTTTTATCCTTTTATTTCCTTCATAGCTTCATAAGCACTATCTGTGTAAGGTTCTTCCCCATATTTTTATAACATTTCAGTTCACAAATTACCTATCAATCAGAAAGCCTTTTTATCTGTATAGGCTGTCTAGAATCAGATTCACCTTTGGCAGTACCAGGCAATATGAGGCAGTTGCTTTTAGTAACTTTCCTATGGTCTCTAGGGAAGTTTTACTGTAATATTTTTAACTTGGCTTTCATTTCTTGCCTAAAGAATAATTTGGGTCTAAGTTATTCCTATACTGGCTTTAGTCTGCTAATTTTTTATCTGAAGTCTTGAAATTATTGCTCTTAGATTTAGGTGTTCGTTTACTTTTAAAAAATTATTATTATATATATTCTTTCAAATGGTATTTCAGAAAGCTTGAGAGAAGCCTATAAAGATTTCTTTTGCAAGTGGCTTATTTTTCATTTTCCGATGGACTGCTTCCTGTTCTGCATGTCTTAACAAATCGTATAGGTTTCTTTCCTAACGGTGTTCACCTGACTGCATCAGTAGCCCATCTTCAGTTATCTGGTCTCTTTAATCCAGCTCCCATAAAGTTCTCTGCCAGTTATTCTCCTACGAACATACTTCCTGTTTTCAGATGTTTAAAGTAATATTTATTATTCTGGGCTTTTATCCTCACTTGTTAAGCATGAGGAATACTGATCTGAGGCCCAGGAAACCTGAGTTTTAATAGTGGCTTTCTTATTAAGTAGCATTGTGCCCTTTGACAAGTGTCTTCATGTTCTGCTTTTGAGCGCTCCCATGTGTAACACAAGACTCAACCCAAAGTCTGTGAGTCTACAGCTAGGACTCGTACTTCCGGAGATCATGATTTCTCTACCATTACCACCAGGAAAACTAGTTTCTGTGTTTTTAGTAGACACAACATTCTTATTGAGATCATGTATTGTTTCATCCATACCCTTAGAAGACATGTTTATTGCCCAACCACTCTACTCCACATTTTCAGAGTGTGGAGAAGCAAAATAGACTTTAAAGTGCTTATCTTTTGAAGCTTACATTCTCTAGGGTTTTTGGTTTTGGTTTTGGTTTTGTTTTGTTTTGTTGGTACCAGGAATCAAACTCAGGACCTGGCACTTGGCAGGAGGGTACTGTGCCTTTGACCTATATCCTTTACATTTTCAAAGAGAGAGTCACGCAATAAACAGAAATTATTAGATTTATGTTAAAAAGATAAGCAGGATGGAGAATTTTTAGAACATGGGAAGGAAATTTTTTTGTTTGTGTTTGAGAGAAGAGCATTGTCATGGGCTAGGGTTATAGCCCATGATAGTCAGGCTTAGTCACATAAGCGCCTGTCTGACAAGTGCGAAGTCCTGAGTTCAATTCCAAGTACCAAAATAGATAAAATAAAATAGAAGAGATACCAGAACTGAGCATGATGTAGTGTATGCGTGTAATCCTAGCACTCTAGGAGGCTGAAGGAGGAAGATCTCAAATGTGGGCCCACCATAAGCAACTTAGCACCATAGCAAGACCTCATCTCAAGATAGAAAGGACCAAGAAATGTAGCTCAGTGTGAAGCCCTTAGGTTCAATCCCTAGAGCAAAAAGGAAAGACAAATCAGTGTATGTGTCATTGAGAAGGTCATGTTTTCTTAAAAACTCTATTTTTGTCTTTATTTTTAATTATATTTTTAAACACATACAGAGGCTGGTGATTGCTTCTTTTGTACTCTTCATTCAGCTTGTATGGTTTCAGGCATTATTTTAATCACAAAATGTAAAAGGACAATGGGCTTAGTGTGACAGATTCTGTATTTTAACTGTTTGCCAGGCTTCTTTAGACCAATTTCAAGCCCTATTTAATTTTAGAATTCATAAAAATTTAAATATTAAGCTGAGCGTGGTGGCTCACACCTGTAATCCCAGCACTCAGGAGGCTGAGGTGGGAGGATTATTGGGAGTTGGAGACCAGTTTGGGCTACAAAGTGAGCTCAAGGCCAGCCTGAACTGCATAGTGAGACCCTGTCTCAAAAAAGACCAAAAAAAAAAATTTTTTTTAAATATTGGCATCAATAGCACAGCAACACAATGGGAAACAACTTTTTCATTTTCAGATTGCGCAGGTTCTCCACGGAGATTTCTGCAGTCACTGACCTCTTTTACTAATCACTGCAGAGAAGCTGGCCATAACGGGGGCACACCTGTAATCTCAGCTGCATGGGAGGCTGAGGCAGGAGGATCACAAGTGCATGCTGTATGTTCCATCACCAGTAACCAAACCAAGAAAGAGGTAAAAAATACAGTGTGCAAACTAGGAAACATAAAATTGTAAGAAATCAGTTATAACCAAAACATAATTAACTCAGTGGACTTTTCTTTTTCTTACCCTGATGTTTCTGAAGTTGGCAAAGCAACTGTTTTCCTTGTTTCACAGAAGAGAAAGCTGTGATCCAGAAAACTATCTGATTATTCATATAATGATAGAGCTGGAACTAAACTCAGATCTCCTAATCTCAGGCCAGTAGCCCCAGTAGTCAAGACTGCTTTCTTATAATGAGCAAGGAACAAATTATTAAGGGGCTCTGTCTTGGCGCAGAGCATCATGATATTCTTTTTATCAAAAATCTTTTTTTTGAGACAGGGTCTTGCTGTGGAGTTTAACCTGGACTTTGAACTTGTGTGATCCTCTGCTTCACCCCTGAGTGCTAGGATTACAGGCATGCACCACCACACCAGGCACTCATCAATTCCTGAAACCAGTAAATCAGCTCTGCAAAATTTTTCTTAATTATGAAAATCTGATTTTAATCAGGATATATTCTTTGTATGTATGAGTTTTTCTCATAGAAAATGGTGCTCTCAAAATCTCTCAAAGCACAGAATTTATCCTTTGCACTTTTACCAGATTGAAATGTGAAGCAAACTGCAACCCAGTCATGTCAGATGTGTTCCTGATGCAGGAGCAGGATTTTATTTTCCTCTGTTTATGGCTGCTGCCCTTTATTTTCTTCGTGCAGCTGAGTTTCTTGAAACATATTAAGTGGCAATTGCATTGAATTTAATTCTCACAAAAGGGGAAGCAGAGTCAGAAGAGGTGGCACCTATCTGTAATCTCAGCACTGTGGGAGGCTGAGGTGGAGAATTGTGAGCCTGAGCAATTTAGCGGCTTTGCCAGATCTTGTCCCAGAATAAAAATTAAAGGCCTGGAGATATGGCCCAGTGCTGTGGGGGATAGGGAAGTGTAGCAGATCAAATTGCTTCCTTTTGTAATTTTCTCCACATTTAATTTTTACCGTGTGATTTATCATCCTTTTATCTCTGAGAAGTGCTTTGGATCCAGTTGAAAAATCTTACACTTATACATAGAAATGAGTAATCAGCCTGCTATCCAGAGAATATTCTGGACTGGAAATATAGTAAGATGCCAAGATACGCAAACTTGAAACTGCCAGTAATTCACAGTCACTTGCCCCACACTCCATGAGTAAATGATTTGATATGGATATGGATGCTTTGAGTCTGTTGGTGGTATTTTGGGTGTTTATGTTTCCGTGTGTTTATTTGGAGAATATATTTACACTGAGGGCTCTCTTTTGACCTTATTTATTTAAAATTCCTGTTTTATTTTTAGTGGCATGTGTATATTTTTGTGATGCTAAATACAATCTCTGTGTATAGGTTTTGTATATATGTATGTGTACATATTTGTAAATATGTTGGTTGCAGTGATGCGGTTACATGTATATTATACCCATACCCATTGTGGGCTGAATTTATTTAAGTTCTGTGAGGACATCCTAGTGGCATTGTTCATGCTGCTGTAATTAGGTTGTGGCTAGATCTCATTCACGAGCTTCTATTTTGAGGGGCTTGTATTGGGATAAAATGGGCTCATTTGGAGTTGAAATTAATGATATGACATTAACAGAAAGCTGGACATTTTTAACTTTAAAATCATTTGCAAGCTTCCATTTAAATTGATGGTAAATTAAACTTGGAAAACCTAAGTATGTGAAACTGAGACACCAACAAGTTCTTAAGCTGTTTTAATCATTTATTTTGTTGACCAATAATTGAATATTATTATGGAGTAGTAAATTGTTTATACTATATTGAAACTTAAGGGGTTATCGAAAAATTACTCAAACCATATTTAAAAATAGAAATCTGTCTTTTAATTGGGGGAAGTATGTTCCTAGTTGTCATTTCAACACCTGATACTAAATTTTAATTTTGAAGTAAAATTTTATCAGTGTGCTTCATTTTATATGTGTCTCTATGAGGCAGGAAAGGGAGCGCAGCTCCTGAAGGCCCCACCTACATGGCATAAGACTTAATGAGGAATAGGAGGTTGTTAGTCTGTATATTTGCAGCAGCTTTGGTTTAGTCCTGTCTAAACATTTCCAACTATACATTTTTTGTATTGGAATCGCATATCAAAGATGAATATTATCTAGCTGGGGCTGTACCTCAGCAATAGAACACATGCCTGGCATGCTTCAGCCCCTGGGTTTGATCCCTACCACCACAAAAACAAAAACAAATAAATAAAGATGAGTATGCTTACCTGAAAAAATGTTTCCAGTGAATAAAATGCCTCCAGTTGTATTCCTGAATCTCTGTGAGACCAATTGTGTTTTGCAATTTGACACGATATAGTTTTTAATATTAGCTGCATGGTGTGCTATAAAAGTCTGGGCCTTCTAACCTCTACCAAGGATGATAGAATTAGGGAGGCTACAATTATAGAAAATATGTGCAGTGCCAATTTGTGAATCTATGGGATATTGCAGAATATCAATGTTTGACTACTCTTGTCTGCAGTTGACATGTATATTTGCATGAATGAATGTAAGAGATGTTGAATCTACACTTAAGTACACTCACTGCAGAAATTAAGGGTTATTTTTGCATGATAAAAATATAACTACAACACAACTTTTTACCCCATTTTTCTGATCAAATCGACCTGCTCCAACATTATTGTAAAATAAAGTGAGGAATAAATTCAGACGTCAGTACCACCATCCTCAAATTGTCACGTTTGCTGCCCCACTGTATTTTTAATAAAATAACCAACTATTCATAATATTTTTCAATTACTGTATGGTATTAAATTTAAAATCATTATAGGCTTTTTCTTAAACATTAAAATGCAATAATATATTATTTCTGAGAAATCACTGAAAATATCCATAGGGTATGATGTTTTGTAGTTTTAATAACCAAATCATTTTTTCAGTGTTAAAGAGTAACAGAGCAGATAGTATGCTGTCTCAGATTCATGGAACTGACTCAGAACCAATGTGGACATTAATTTGAGGAAAGTAACAGCAATAAAGTGTACATTAGATAAGATTGACCCTGTGGATATGACTTCTGACCCTAAGGGTTGTAAAAGCTGGTTAAGTCCGCAGTTGGGACCAGTTTACTTTTTAAAAGAAAATAAGAAGTAATTCATTTTTTTTCTAATTTAGAATTTTAAAACATACTATGTCCCAGCTTCACTTTTTGAACACAGAATCTTAAGCATATCTTGTTTTAAGAGAAAATGATCTGAATGAAAGCCATCACCTATTGACAGGAAAGATACCAAGTTGATTTAGGGGGATATACACTTAATTAGGTAAAGAAATGTATTAAGTATAACTAATTTGCTAGTGCCATAGAAATGTTTTCTTTGTATTTTTGTAAATATAAAATGTTTGCTTAAGCTAAAATTGTTTTTCACTTACTGCTTTTGTGAAATAGTAACTTTTGAGAATTCCATTTTTACATAATATTGTCATTTAATCACTGAAGTACCATTTCCTAATTTTAAAATATCTGTTAATTTCTTTTATGGTTTTAAAAATTATTCTTAAACTAATGAGATGTGTGTGTATTTAGGAAATAAAATTGAACAGCAGATTCAGTTTTCTAATAGTTTGAAGTACATTATATTACATATCAACTTAGTCAAACCTGACTTTCATTATAGAATAGACTATACATTGGGAATATTTTCCTGTTTTAGTAGACAATTCCAGTCTATATCCTAAGACAATCATCCTATTTAGGTGTAATACTGTTATAAAGACATCAGTAATTTCAGGTTTTATGTTTTTACTTTTCTCATAGGCTTATGGAATGAAAATTATAGGCCAAGTTACACTTTCTTAGGAAAGAAAGAATTAAAGCTAGACTTCTTACAGGTCTGCATGAAAGAAAGATAATTAAAATTTTTATGTATATAATTAATATTTTCTCACTTGAAAATATTGTGAATGTCCACTTGTCCCTGATCAAAGTTGAGATTTATAAATATTTGAACAATAAATTTTCTCAGACATCAAGGCAATATGAGTAACCACTGTAAAATATAAAATAATGATATATGATTGCCCCCAAGTAAATATTTCCAAACCATGGAGAAATAACCACTGTATTTTCTTCAAAATCCTATTCTTACTCTCCTTTGCACACTTTTTTTAATGGTATTAGGGATCAAACTCGTGACCTTGCATTTGCCAGGCAGGTGCTGAGCTGCTGAGCTACATCCCCAGCCCTATTTTTTTTCTAAAATAAAAAACGCAGGAAAAAAACACTTAAAGTACCACTGTAAGAATTTTTAGTAACATTTCCTGAAGAATGGGTTGTCTTTAAACTCTTGTAGCATTATTAAAATGACCTAATAGTGCAGTAAAATAATTTAGAACTTGAGTTTTATGTCATTATAGTTAATAAATGTATTCCTTTTGCCAAATAGACCATATGATTAGTTTTCCAACTGTTTTTGTTTTTAATAAACTTTTCTGGTCAGCTATCTGAGAGTCCTATATTTTGCAGGATTCTTCCAGTTGAGGTAGAAGTCTTAGATAACAGAAACGGAGATGGCAGTGTCCTAACATTTCCATAGTAGAGGTTACACGTGAAATTTATCCAAATGGGTTTTCTTGTGTAGCTGCAGTATAAATAATGTATTAATCAAGTCAGATAAAGCAGTTATATAAATCACTTTTTACTTCAGTCCAGAGATTCTTATAATTTCAGGCCACTTTATTATTTTCTATGAAATGTTACCATTGTAAGGCTGAGTATTCTTTTACATTATTCAAACATAAATTAATTTAGTCAAATAGTTAAAATAACTTGATTTTCTCCCCTGAAAATAATGGAACCTGCTATCTGCATCATGATCATTATAGGCAAAAATGCACTTGTTTAAATCATAGCAGAAATTACATTTGGACACTATAATTACTTGATTTCTAGTGGTGTGAAATGCTTTTTAAAAATTGTGCTTGTCTGTAACCAAAATGTTATAGAATTGTAACATGATAGACTATAGAGTTATATTTATTAGCTCTACTCAAGCGATTGAAGCACAATGATTTTCATGTAACAATCCTTATCAAAGTGCTGCTAATGTCGTGCAAATAATGAAGCTACTTGGTTGCCTATCTAGCTATTCACAGATCACTGTAATCTTTGAGACATAGTCTTGTTCATTTGTATTAGTTTGAGTGTTGTGGGTTAATACTTTAGAACAAATTTCATCAACTCAGCTGTTAGATCATTTGATTTTATTAGATTTTATATGTATTATCCATAGAATAAATTTTGAAGGGGCTACTTGTTACCAACAACTGTGGGGACATTATATTGTTAGTATCACTTGAGCATTTGTAGTATTTTAAAGTCTTGTCTGTTGTGTTTCTAAACTGCTTAAGCCATACAGGATGTTTTTTGTTTCTTTTCTTTCCAGTAGTCTTTCAGCTTTGTTATGGTTAATATTTAATAGATTTTAAAAATTGAAAAGGTTCTTCAAATATTTTCTGGAGTTCATCATATCCGCTCTTATTTGATATGTAATTTGTCGTAAAAGATAGCAAGCCGCCTTTCACCACTTCACTAAATCAATTTCAAAGTAAACACTGTGATTCTGCAGAGCAGATTCCATAGGCTTTCCAGTTTTTTTCCTATTACACAGTGCCTGCCACTTGAAGGCACTTAAATACTAGAAAAAAAAAAAAAAAAAAAAAAAACGTTTTGATGTTTGTTGAGATAACAAATACACAATATTTGATCTTTATTAGTGCATTAAAGCAATTTTTGCATTGATAAATGTCTAGGAATGTGATTACATTCATCAGATGTGAACTCTTGTAAATGAGTTTTGTATTTTGAATCCACGTATATCAAGTGTATCATCAATATAAAAATAAACATTATTTGCTTACAGTGTTGAGTATTAAGTATTATTTACAATCTAAGGGCTAGGCTGTCATGGTCTGTATCTTTCAGATGATGCCTCTGGTAAGTTCCACTCTTACGGGTTGTGGATTCCATGTTTATTCTAGTTTCTAGATTTCTTGTGCGTCCTGATTTCGATTTTTCCGTTCTCCCACCTACTGGTGAGAACTGGGATGGTCCGAGGGAGGGATTGTTGAACAATCGTTTGAAATCAGCTGACCCTCATGCTGCTGCTGTTCCATCAAGGGGCAAGTTCTTTATTTGGTACTGGTAATCGAACTCACGACCTTGAGCTAAAACTGAGTGGTTTGGGATTGAGGAGCCCAGAGGTTGCAGTGTGACTTTTAACTATACAGTTTTTCCTCTTTGTCATGTGGAGCTGGCCCGGGTGGGTCGTTAATGTAGTGAGTTGCCACATCGTGGTTTTAAATGGCAGTGTATTATGGAAGGGTCTGACAACTCAGTTGTATAAGTGTACTGGGTTGCGATATAAAACCTAACAGAAGATCTCAGACACAAAAGATAAAACTAGTCACAATTCGAAAACTGCCGATTCTAGTTGTGTAAGCACAGGCTTTCCAGGATTGCCAATAGAAACAAGTGGCTGCCCAGAGTGCAGAGAGGCTGGGAGGTCGGCTGGCGCTTAGGGGGGCGCGCAGCCAAAGCCCAGGGACGGTTCACACCAGCCTGGGGCACTGACTGCCAAGGAATTCCTCCCATGTCTGCCACTTTATCACACACTTAAAACAGACCGCTGAAATGTTTGGGCGAGCCGCTCGCTGACGTGGCTAACCGGCCTGTGACCCGGTACCTGCATCCCCAGCAGCTCCCTCCGCAAACTCGCCTGGCAGCCGAGGCGGTGCTCAGGACGCATGCGCCCCGCCAGCCATCCTCGCGCAGCCACTTCCGGCGCGCTGAGGACTTGCGGTTCCGGGTCGCTGCACGGATCACTGGCGGGCGGTGGGGGCTGGTTTGATGCTCGCCGGCGCTCACGAGAGGCCCCAGAGGCGGGGCTCTGCCGGCTGCCCACAGAGCGGCAGGTGCGCAGGCTGGGGTTCCGGGGACGTAAGCAGGCCCCCAGTTTTCCTGGTGGCTTCTGTCCCCAAAGCTGTCCGAAGCGGGTTTGCCCAAGACCCAAGCAGGGGGCGGGACTGGGTGCTGGAAAGGCGACGCTGGGGGCAGAGGCGGGCTGCCCCGGCCTGGGAGTCTGAGCCTGGGGTTCCGGATCCTCCCTGCGCGACCTTGGAAAAGTCAGTCCTCACTGGAGCTGTTTTCCGCCTGTCAAATTAGAGATGTTGGATCCCCGCTCTCCCCTGCGCCTTTGACAGTTCAAGTAAGGGCGTGGCTGGAGGGAGTGATCCAAACTGCCCTGCTGGCAGGGACCTTCGGACGTTAGGCATCTTGTCTTTTACTGAACTTTGCCGTCCTTTTTCTCACCGGCTGACTTAACGATGAATCAAGATTATGAACAGACAGCCTAGGGACTGGCCAGGTAAACAGCCTATGTGTATGAACGTTAACTGAGAAAATTCCAGCCCCGGGACATCTTAATCTCATTCAAGTTGTTTTGTTCAGGGCTCCCATGGAGAAATGAATTTAGGCATTTCCTGCAGTGAGTGTTTTTGTTTTATATGCCTGTAAGTGAAACTCTTAGATCACAAATTCATGGGAGAGGCCAGGGATTTAGCTCAGCGGCACAGGTGTCTGCCGGCAAGTGTGAGGTCATGAGTTCGATCCCCGGTACCAAAAAAAAAAAAAAAATTCATGGGAGACCAAGATGAGGGAGGTAGCCCATTGAGAGTTATGATAATGGCAAGCTTTCTTTCCCCACTTAACTCCTGGCTCCCTCCTGTTTCTCTGCTTTTCTCTCATTTCCACCCAACATTGCAACTTTACGTTTTAAATACCCAATCCACTTTTATTTTTGTCTTCATACAGGACAGAATTCACTGACATCCAGGCTGTTTTAAGCTAGTAGATAAGCCAGGTGAGTAAGACCTTTACAGACATTGAAGGTAAAGCTTTTGAAAATTTTACAAACTTAATGGATGATTTGAAGTGAGAAGTCATTTGTAGATCTTAGAATTTAGGTGTCCTCCACAAAACATGAAAAGTTAAGGTTGAAACTAGAATGTCAGTGTTTTTATTCACTATGAGGGAGAAAAGATGTTTTGAATCTCCTGTTAAATATCATGTCAAACATTCTGAAGAAAAGAAATTATAATTTGGGATAATTTTATCAAAATGAGAGCCAACCATAGAGCATTTTCATGAAAGGTTAAACGATATCTGATAGGTACCTGTTTACTGGCATTGAGTGACTTGCCTGCTCTTTTGTAAGTTATAAATTTTTTTCTAGGAAACTGCTGATTGCAAAACATCTGGAACATTTACTACACGTTTTCTTCACACTGAGTGACATATGTTTGAAATGTCTTAACTCTAAACGTACTATGGTGGGGAAGGATTTGAAAGCATTTTACAATGTTAACCTAGGAACGTTTACCAAATGTGTCATATGCCATAGCTAGTGTGGTGTAATTTTTTTAATAAGTTGAGATTTGTGAGTCAGAGAGTTGCTGTATTCAAATACCAGCCCTGCTGCTTACCTACATAGTCATTGGCAGGTTTCGTCCCCTCTTTGACCCTGAATTTCCTCACCTCATCTGTATATGTAACAGGAGCACTTAAGTGCTTTATGGATATTAAGTAACTATATTCTGTTAAGCATACATTTAGAGTGCAAAACTTAATTTTTGAAACCTGAAGTTTAATATAGTAATTCAGATATAAAATCCTTCCAGTTTTTAACCTAGAGCTACCTCTTTCATCTGACTCATAGATACGGTGTTGCCGCAGCCCTTGGGCCCATGTTTGAGTGGCAATTCATCTAACTTGGCTCCCTGAAACTTTTTAGACAACACTGTCTGATTCCAGTCACTGAGGATTACTGCAGTCATTCAGAAGCTTATCATCTGTGCAGACTAGCCAGACAGCAAAAATGTTTGCAAAGTTAAAGAAGAAAATTGCAGAAGAAACTGCAGTGGCTCAGAGGCCAGGAGGTGCTACAAGGATCCCACGGTCAGTGAGCAAGGAATCCATGGCATCTGTGGGAGCTGACTCGGGAGATGACTTTGTAAGTATCCTCTCAAGCTTTGAATATTTGACAGTCTGAATGTACCTTTTTAAGTAATATTGCAGGGAATCCTTTCAATAAATATTTTTAAATTGTGTGATTATTTCATGTCTTTTGTAGTTTGTAGCAGGATAAGACCCCACACATCTGCTTCTGTATTCCTTTTGTGAGATGCTTTTTCATTAATATTTGATTTGTTAATTCTAAAAGTAGTTTTTTTTTTTTCTTTTCTGTGAATCTCTTCTCACATTCTGGACATTGTCTACTGTACTGTCTTCCATCTGTACCGCTTGTGTTTTTTCCTTTACATTTCAGTCTTTCAAAATGTCTAGGCTTATTTTTTCTGTAGGCACATTATTACTTAAGTCATTATTACTTGATGTGACCCGTAATTTGAGATATGGTATTAACCAAATGTGTTTTATTGGACAAACTCATGGATGGTACCAACAACTAAAGTATGTCACCTTGTTTGTAAAGTGTCTTTGTGTTTGATAAGATTTTAAAAAATGAGAATATGTTATGGAAATACCATGTGTAAGGTTTAAAATATGCCTTTGGTGTACAACAGCATCTTTAAAAGTTAGATGACTTTAAAAATAATAATTATAAATACATGTAATATACATGTGAAGTCTAAAGCATAAAATAAATTTGGCAACCATTCAAAGACATACAATAATATCACTATGGCTGAAGCTACTTATAACCATTTCCTCCCTTTCAGATAACCACTGTTCTCCATTTCGTGCTCATCATTCCATTGGGTTTTAAAACATCTTAACAGATACATGGTATTAACTATTTACCATTTAACCCTGCTTATTTTTGAACTTTTCAAAAATGATAAATCTTAGTCTTCTTGGACTTACTTTTTTTTTTTGGAATCAAACGCAGGACCTCACACTTGCCAGGAAGGCACTGTGCCACTGAGCTATATCCCCAGCCTGGACTTAAGTTTTTTTAATTCAACATGTTTCCACAAAATGTCTGTGTTGCATGAAGCTGTGGTTCATTTATTTTTACTGCTGTAAAGATTCCAACATTTGGGGCTGAGGATTTAGCTCAGCAGCATAAACGCCTGCCTTGCAAGCAGGCAGTCATGAGTTTGATCCCTGGCATTGTAAAAATAAAAAAAGATTCCAACATTTGAAAAGGGTACAGTTTGTCTCTGTCTCTTCCCAGTGATAGACATATGAGTTGTTTCCATGATCAGATGACTCCTCTTTTCCTCCTTTCTTTCACTGCTTAAATCCCAGGTCATATTACATGGCAGAAGCTATTAGATTATTGAGGTGGAACAATAAGATGACGAGATCTAGATTCTCTTGGCTTCTATATTTAACAGGAAATGTAAGTGAACCTTTGATCACCAAGCTCAAGAATGTCATTTTCATGTTGAGTTGTACAGCAGAAGAAAAAGCAAATCTGATCCTTACTCCATGTCTCCAAATCCTTATATTCAACTGTACGTGCTTCTTCTAACACATACTTACCTTATGGCATCTCAGATTCTGAATGAACAACATTGGATTCAGTAACTTGATCTTCTCAAGTTGCCAAGATCATTTTTCTTTTTAGTTCTTACTGAATAATCAGTCAAAAGTGCTAAGGAATACTCCAGCGCATTTATTTTGAGTCAAAGTCTTACTGAATTGCCCACGCTGGCCTCAAACTTGTGACCCTCCTGCCTCAGCCTCCCAGATAGCCAGGATTAGCGGTTACATAATTGACACTTCTCCAAATCTGAATGATACTAAATACAGACCTACACAGTGGATCAGAATGACACCAGCAAACTATATAGATTCTATGATTTTATATCTTTTGAAACCAGGTAGCACTGGCAATTTGGCTCAGTGTCATAAGTGCCTGCCTGGCAAGTACAAGGTCCTAAGTATGATCCCCAGTCCTCCACCCTGCAAAAAAAAAAAAAAAAAAAAAAAAAACAGGTAGGAAAAAACTACAAGTTCGACATGGTGGGAAAGATCCTGGTAGCTCCAGTACTACATGGAGCCCAGGCAGTGTTTAACAGTCTGGATTCCACATTTACACACAGACTATAAAGAGCTTCAGCTGATGAACAAGTATATGTGGTTTTAATGACTGCCTTGCCACACCTTGCCTTGGCTGTCTTTCTCTGATGGACAAATGTGGTAGCCTCTCGGGACACCCTGCCTCCATTAGTCACCCCCCAAAATGATATTTCTAAAAGCAGATGTGCTTTTAGATATTTGATATCTAAAATCAAATATCAAAAATCAAAAGATATTTGATATTGTGCTTTTAGATATGTGATATTGTTTCTTGGTGTTTAAAAACTCAGTCTTCGGGGGCTGGGGATTTAGCTCAGCGGCATAAACGCCTGCCTTGCAAGCAGGCAGTCGTGAGTTCGATCCCTGGTACTGATAAAAACGAAAAAGACAAAAAAAAAAAAAAAAAAAAAAAAAACCTCAGTCTTCTTACAGCTTACCTGCACAACCTCATCTCTTAACTTTCTGATACCCTGTGCTTAGATCCACATTGAATTTATTGAACTTCATGGAATGGGTGACATTACTTCCTGCCTACAGCTGTTTTCCTATGAGGCTATCTACTCTGGAATATCTCCAGTCTCCGTCTTTCATGCTGCATTACTTTGAAATACTCTTGTCATTCCAGAAGACTCCTGACCCAGCTCTTTTCACAACTTACCAGTCTTTACCCTTCCTCATCAAGTATAGTGCTTTGTCTTCTGCTCACCTCAGACCAGCCCATTATGCTGCATGAGTAGTGACAATGAGCTGATGGTCTCTACCACTGAAAATAGGAGTTTGCTGAGAGGCAGTGAAGTAAAGCCTTTAGGAACTCACTCAAGTCTTAAGAGCAGACCTGGATCATAATTGTGTGACTTTGAACTAATTCCTTTATTTTTCTTTGCCTTAATATTGGGATAGGAACTATATCTGCTTTATTAAAATATGCATGTCACCCCAGGTTCAGTTTTTCAGTGAAACTCCCAAACCTTGACATATAATTTCAGTCGCTATCATTTATTATAGCAAAAAGATGCAGAGTACAGTCTACAAAGAAAAAGTACATAAGGTAAAGCCTGGAAGAAATCAGGTTCCACAAGTTCCAACTCCTGTGGTGTTACATAGGATATGCTTAACTCCCTCACAGTGAATTGTGATAACACGTGTGTAACAGGAAGTTCATTGAAAACTTAGTGTCCAGGGGCTGGGGATTTAGCTCAGTGGCATAAGCACCTGACTTGCAAGCAGGCGGTGGTGAGTTCGATCCCCGGTATTGATTAAAAAACAAAACAAAACAAAAAAAAGTGTCCAGAGTTCTTACTGGGAGCTGGTGACGCAGATATCTTTGGCCTAACAGATACCCTGATTCCAGATCCCACAAGAAAAGGAGTGCTGGGATTGCAAGTATGGGTCACCATACCCTGCTAAAATCATGAGAGTGGTGGGAACCTTCCAAAAATCTCATTTCCTTAGATGCCAGCCCAGGACCAGGCTTACAATAAGACTTTTCTAAGGAAAGCAGTCTCAGGCCTGTAATGTTAATCTTTTTCATAGTGTATAGAAAATGCAGCATAGTGCCTGGCTCTTAGGAAATATTTTGTGATTACAATAGTTGCTGCTGCAGCAGCTGTTCTAACAAGGACCTCTGGTTCACCAGTATTTTTAATGTGTGCACAGTGTTGACACCTAGGATGTCTCAGCAATAGTACTGATTGTAATTTCTTACACTGTTACTTCTATGGCCTGAATGTTTATTTCCCCCCCATGGTTCTCTAATGCTGTGATATTAGGAGGTAGGAACTTTGTGTGATGATTAGGTCATGAGTCTGGGTTGGGATTGGTGCCCTTATAAAAGAACCAGTAGTGCTGACTTGCCCCTTCCACCAGTTAGGGCACAGCTCGGAGGTGTCATCTGTGACACAGAAAGTGTGCCCTCCCCAGCCGCTGAACTTGCCAGAACCTTGATTTTGTACTTCGCAAGCTCTTACAACTGTGAACAATAAACTTCTGTGGTTTATAAACTTTCCAATTTAAGATATTTTATTATAGCAGCTTGAAAAGACTAAGAGAACTAGTAATGGATGACACATCGAAACTACTAATGCACCGTGCTCTGTTTTACAAATCTGACAAGCATTGAATTATTTAATGTTTATCACTGCTCTGTGAGGGAGATGGTATTTGCTTCTTGCAGATTAGGAAAACAATAACCAGGGAAATGGAGAAATTGGCAGTTCTTGCAGCTTCTAAGCAGTGAAAGGTGGAGGTAGTGGTGCATGCTTGTAACCCCAGCACTCCAGAAAATAGTAACTTCAAGCCCAGCCTGGGAAATGTAGCAAGATCCTGTCTCAAAGAAGATGGGGTAGCTCACTGCAAGGCACTGGGTTCAATCCCCAGTACTACCAAAAAAAAAAAACAGTAAAACTACAACTTGAACCCAGGTCTTCTGATTTCAGACATTACTCTTACCTCTGTAAATACTGAACAGGCACGTATGCTGCTGGATAGGTTAATAAATATTTCAAGTGAGTTAGAGCCAGGCATGCTGGCCCATACCAGTAGTTCAAGCATTCAGGAGGCTGAGGCAGAAGGATCACAATTTAAGGCCATACTTGGCTCAATAGCTAGTTCAAGGCAAGCGTGGCCTATGTCATGAGACCCTTACTCAAAAAAACACCAAAAAAGTGAATTGAAACTATTCAACCACTGTAAAAACATTTTGAGGGTAAAATACAGAAGTATGATTAAAGAGTGCATATTAAGATGGTTTAAGACAAATTATATTAAAAATTTTTAAAAAGATGTGATAATGATATTGTAGCTATGAAGAAAAATTTCCTTATTTTTCAGAAATATCAAAGTATTTGGGATGAAATATCATGACTGTTTTGATCACTTTACATAAGAGTTAATGAAGCAAATATGAGAAAGTGTTGGTAATTGTTAAATAAGAATGTTCATTAAACCTTTCTCCCTACTAGTAAAAACTAATTTTTAAATTCAGTTATTTGTTAGCAGTGGAAATTAATTGCCCAAAGTAATAATGCTACCCATAAACTTTTTAAAAATTTTATTTCTATTAGTTTACAGTGCATGATGATTATTATATTCATCATGGGAGTTGGTGCATATACATAACAACACATTTTTTAAAACAACACATTTTAACCCATAAGTTTGAAACTACTCTGAATTGGAGAAAAATAGATGTCTCATTAATGTGTTGAATGCATGTTATCTGTGAAAGTCTTTGATGACTTTTTAGAGGTTAATGTTAAAAGCAGTTTGTTTACTAAACGAAGATACTAAAGCTCCTTTGTCAGTATCAGAATGGATTCTTAGTCTTAGGCAAGACTTTGATCCCTTGTTGAAGGAAACCCCCCCCCTTTTTTTTTGGTACGGGGGATCGAATTCAGGACTGCACGCTTACAAGACAGGTGCTTATACCACTGAGCTACATCCCTGGACCGAACTTTCCCCTTTTATCCCAGAAGTATTAACTTTCTGAAAGATAATATGATTTTTTTTTGTCTTCAAGATTCCTTTTTCATGTTACTTGGTGTAATATGATCCTAGTAAACTGATTTACTACCATTTATTTCAGTAGCACACATACACATGATTTATTACATTAGTGTTGCCTTTCTTCACATAGGGGAGCAAATGTCACTTCCATTATTGAAGTAGAACAACTAGGGCTAGTTAAGCCTTCCAGTGATCACAATTACTTAAAATATGATCAGGCTTAAAAATATGAATTGTCTCTTTCTGGCTTCGTACTGCAGTTTCACCATGCCGGAAAACCCTTGTGTGACTCTGACCTCTCCCCTGTCCCAACAGGCTTCTGATGGAAGTAGCTCTAGAGAGGATCTTTCATCCCAACTTTTGAGAAGAAATGAACAGATACGGAAGTTGGAAGCCAGACTTTCTGGTATGTCTAGAAGTAATAAATAGTAAACAGGAAGCTTGTCTTCCCTGCGCTCTGTCCCTAAAAACCAGCCTTATAGGATAAGTGTACACTTACTCTGATAGAACATTTTGATCTTCTTAGTCAGAAAGGAGCAATATGCATACTTCCTTTGTTCTCTTATTTTTTCATTGTGCCAAATAGTATAAATTCAGAGCGAATTTCAAGGTTTATTCTTAAAAACTCTTAATTGTTTTGCTCCTAAAATATCTAGCCATGGATACAAAAGATGTTAAAAGTATATATAGAAGAGACTGGGGATTTAGCTCAGTGGCATAAGCACTTGCCTTGCAAGTAGGCGGTCATGAGTTCAATCCCCGGTACTAATAAAAAAAAAAAGTATAGAATAGTTTTCACCATCTTCCAACATTAGCATAGCTTCCTTTGTTTATAGGGAATGGCCAACACATGTTGGGTTCAGCAGCCCTGGAGAGGGTTATGCTAACTTAGCACTTGCTCTAGCTGATGTCGCCTGTGGAAGTATTGTGAGTCTTTGGGCCACAATTCAATGGTATTTCTGAGTTCACCACTCACTTCTCATAGAAGTTATAACTCTCATTACATCTTTACATGTAATTAACAGTTTACACCATTTCCATTATATCCTTTGCCTGGTTGTAATAGAATTGTTAGCTGGAAATGTAGCTCAAAGGCACAGAGCCTGCCTGGCAAGCTTGTAGGCCCTGTATTCAATACCTGGTACCAAACCAAAAAGAAAGAAAGAAAGGATTGTGAGTTCTTAGTTTGGTATTTGCCAGTGGATACATTTTGACAGCTTCATCCTGTGAATTGATCTATTGCTTCTGTGTGTCTGTGTATTCTTTGGTTTTATGCCTATTTTATAAGAATAAAAGCAGTAAACCCAAAGTATAAGCGCAATGCTTTTATTTGTGTAGCTCTCAAAGGATACATAACATAGTTTACAACTATCAGTTAAATCATTTTGTCCTCAGAATAGCCTTGCTAGGCTTAGTGAAGTTTAGATTAAACAAATTAAAGTGGTAGAACTGGGGATCTTGATGGTGCTGAAATCTGTACTCTTAGTTTTCTTTAAACTCAGTTGTTACTGTCCTGTTATGTTTTCCCATAAATGATATCTATAATAGTGACTAAATTACTCAGCCAGGCTGAGACAGGAGGATCACAAGTTGAGCCCAACCTTGGCAATTTAGCAACATAGTCAGCCCCTGTCTCAAATCAAAAAGCTTGGGTGGGCAAAGGCTGGGGTGTAACTCAGTGCAAAGGCTCTGGATTCTATACCCAGTGCTAAAAATAAGAAATTACTTTATATTTGTCTAATGTTAGGAAGAGAGTTCTAATGTAATCTCTGTCTTTCCTGATACAGAAAGGACAGTTGGATTTAATTTATGTTAGTAAAGGGACAGAAAAGAGCTAACATTTATTCAGTCCACCTAACATGGTGGGTCTTGTTCTGTTATAAATAGTAACAGTAATGGCTACTTGTTAATGAGTTCTGTACACCAAGCACTTAAGGAATATAAAATACTTTATTGTCTAATGGATTTTTGGGAGTAGGTATAATTAATACTGTTACTGAATAGATGAAGAAACTAGAATTCAGGATCAGTAATTTGCTTGAGATCCCCAGCTAAGGGTGCTGTCTACTTTTTCATTATAACATAGGATCATCTTCTTTGGCCATCCAGATAATTAATTCTGACTTTCACCTTTGCTATTGTGTAGGTAACTCAGTTCTTGTGTAGAAAATTAAGTACCTTAAAAAATGATGATACCATTGTAAGATGTTTAATATTTTTCTAGACACTGTTGCTCAGTTATATGGACTACAAGTGAGCTTTTGTTGAATTCCCTTGATTTTTTGCCTACTCCTAAGGCCATCACTTTTTAAAAATAAGTGATTAGATAATGTATTTTTCATGGGAGGACATTTCTTTTTTTTTTTAATTTTATTTAAAAGGAAAAAGAGAAAAACACAAAACAAAACAAAGCAGTGTAAGGGTACACGTAATACAGAACTACAAAAAAAAAACAAAAAAAAAAAACAGTAAGAAATCACCAGTTAATAGATTACATATCATCATCTTAGAGATAGTTGCTCAAGTCACAGTATCAAAGCATACAAAGTAGACATTCAAACAGTGAGACTGCAAACAGTTGTGTTCAATGATCCAACCAAAAACATTAATATGGTCAACTATTTAGCACCCCTAAACACACTTGCTCATGTATCTTTTAGAGCACTTTTTTTCCTTCTCTTTTTTACAACAAAATTTACACATTTTGGGTTTTATTACTCCTTAGTTCTTATTACTTTTTTGGGGGGGAGAGAATAAAGTCAAATATGGCAAAACAAAGCTGTCAGTCAAAACCAAGGATAGACATAGCACATGATGTAAAAACAGAGTACAAGATTATCAACAATGGTTACCATAGTGTCTCTTGTTTCCTTAAAAAGAATTGTCTATCTCATTAGGTATTATAAAGTTGAACAAAACAGTAGAGAACAAGACCAATAAAACTTGAGCATTGTAAACATTACAGGACTTCCAAAGGAGACAATAGTAATATCAGGCCTAGACTAATTGTACTTCTCTGTCATGGCTAAACAAATCTGCCTGTTTGTACCATGCCTATTTGCCATTTGTACCATGGACAGTTTGTACTATACCTGTTTGCCTGTGTCATTCATTGTTAGGTGCAAGACTGTCTGCCTAGCTTTCCTTAACAGGGCTTAAGTTAAGAAAGTCATCATCATTTTCACTCATATTTCTTTGTTTAATTAACTTCCTTTCCTGATGTTTGTCCATCCCTTGTATGTGCATCACCCTCCTCACCCAAGACTATGCTGAACAGGTCCGAAACTTGCAGAAGATAAAAGAGAAGCTTGAAATTGCATTAGAAAAACACCAGGATTGTACGTATTTTTTTCCTGCTTTTTCAGTCTTCTTAGGGTTTAGTTTTTGAAGTGAAACAATCTAGTATCATCATCAGAGCTCATGTCATTATTTTATAGTGTACTTCTAAATTAGCTTGATGTGACATTTGTCAGACATTTACTAAGGATATGGCTTGTTTTTATGTTGTTTTATGGGCATTGAGGAGGGGTCACTATGTACATCAGCTTGCTGTGTCCAGAGACCCACTTACTGGCTGCCCTTAGGTGTAGGGAAATCTAGTACATGACTCTTGAGTCTAAGCTAGCAGATAACTTCTAGCCATAGCCACATTACTTCTGTGTCATGAACTAAAGGAAAGCGTTCTTATCATTCCTCCAATGATGGATTATTTTGCTTAACTCCCCTAAATTATACCTCCCCTAAATTATACTGTCCAAGAATAGGAATAGAAAGACATTTTTGTTGATACATCTAAAATTTGTTTAAAGAAAACTACAGATAGTTGTTTTGGTTTTGATTTTTGTTTTTGTTTTCAATGGTGGTGAAGGGATAGGAGCTATCACTTAGCACTAGCATTGGTGTTTTCTGGCCACCTACCTTAGTACTTTGTTGTACATTTAAAAATTATATTTTAGCATCTTATGTATATTTCACTATTACAGAAAACAAAAATAATAAGGAACTGGACAACAAACATAATTGTGGTCTATTACCAAGCCCAAGGAGGTTCTTTTGGAAGGTCAATATGGAGCAGGTTTTTCTCAGTCTCATAATCTACTTATGTGACCTTAGCCTTTTTTGTTTGGTGATATTATAGTTACATAAAATTTCATGCTATTTCTGCAGTATTTCCATATCTCAAATAGAGCCTTTTTGTTAACAGCATCCATGCGAAAATTTCAAGAGCAGAATGAGACATTCCAAGCCAACAAAGCCAAAATGGCAGAAGGACTGGCTTCAGCATTAGCCAGAAAGGACCAGGTATTCTATCCTAGCATAAAGCAAATATAATTTTGTTTAGTGCCCTCCTTAGTAAATAACTACAAGCTTATATTTGCATTCTAGAATATCTTCTCCTTTGAGAACTTTTAGTTTTATTAATATTAAATCAAATTTATGAGAATTATGTGGTGTTAAGTTGTTTGCATATGTTTTTTTGGATTGTGGGGTTGCTTGATTGGTTGTTTTAGGATGAGAGTTGGATTGTTTGTTTTGTTTGCACTTTTCCCTGAAAACTACTTTTTGTGTTTTGTTTTAGGAATGGTCAGAAAAACTAGATCAGCTAGAAAAGGTTAGTTGATCTTTATTTATTTTCTCATTCATGATGGATTCCCTTCTGAGTCTGGAAAGTGCTTTCCCCAGTAGCCAGTGCATAGTGCTAGCGGTGCTAGCACCTCTGGGTAGCAGGCCACTATACTGGCTTGGACATTATCTCTTTTGAGCTTTTTATCCATCCTGTGGCATTGATAAATCCTTTTATTAATCCATGCTCAAAATAGCTAATTTGAGTCTGCTATCTGTTTCTTGGAATATTTCTTGACAAAGTAGTAGAAAATGAGCATTTCTCAAGGCTCAGTATTCAGCAGATAACAGAACCTCTTATTTAGACACAGATGAGGGAAACTGATTATAGAACCATAGCTTGTATAACGGTGTGTAGGTGCCTTAAATAATGCATCCCTTACCCCCTGATATGAGTAGGAACATGAGATTTTAAAGCCTACAACTGGAAAAACACTTTAATATAAATAATAATCAATTTTCTCAGCACCAATCGTATGCTGCTACTTAATTTTTCCTTTGAAGGGGCTGGAGATTTAGCTCAGCGGCACAAGCGCCTGCCTTGCAAGAACATGGTTGCAAGTTCAATCCCCGTTACCAATTTAAAAAAAAAAAAAAAAATTTCCTTTGATTATTCCTAAATTGTTCTTCGTGGTAGAAGTATTTCTTAGATTAATATGTTCAACTAGAAAGTATGTTTATTATAGTTTTTTAATCAGATGAGTTTTATTATTGCTGCATTCCTTCCATAAAACAATGGAAGCCAGGGATTTTCTTTGTGTGTTCCATAGAAGTCTGATATCAAGCTGTCAGAATACATTAACTTTTTTTTTTTTTTTTTTTGGTCTTTTTTCTTTTTATCGGTACTGGGGATCAAACTCACGACCACACACTTGCAAGGCAGGCGCTTATGCCACTGAGCTAAATCTCCAGCCCCTACATTAACATTTTTTGTCAGAAAAAAATATTTAACATTTCAAGCTTCACCATTTGTGCTTGGAAAAAAATGTCCTAAAAGTATTCTGTTAATATTTTTCTCATATACAGAAATGAGTTAGGGTAAGGTTTCCTTGTCTCAAAAAAAAAAAAAAAAACCCTTAAGTTATATCAGTTGAAATCCTCACTGAACTGTTTATCATTTAAAATTGTGGTTAAAGGCATTCAAATAAAACCTACTTTAGTTTACTGGCAATTTTTTTCATTGTTTTGCTTAGTTTTTTCAAATTAGAAATTAGGAAATATTTTAGATGAAAAAAATGATGAGACATCTATGAGGATGGATCTAAAAATACAGTGAATATTTAAATTAAAAATACATATATAGTACAGTAAAACATACAGTGCCATTTTAATCCCACTAAAATACTTGTGCTTCTTTTGAACAAGTTCATCTCATCATTCCTGCTACTTTCTGAAGCAGTCCTGGAAGTGTGTCCATGAGTGCCTTTAGTTACACCATTGCAGCCACCTGAATATCTTCAGGTACTCAAACTGTGTCCCTTTCATAGTCATTTGATTTTAGGGGAAGATCCAGAAATCAAATAGCGCCAGATCCAATTAGAAGGGTGAATGAAGACATGTTTCTTACAAGCCTGCCTTTCTACTGAATGCCACTCAACACAAGTACTCATTACATTTTTTATCACACTTTGAAAAGATATTAAAGAGGACTTCCAGAACTACTTCAGAGGCTGGCAAGAGCCAGGCATGGTGGTACACACCTATAATCCCATCATTTGGGAAGCTGAGGCTGAAAGATCACTATGAGGCCAAGGGCAGCCAGGGTTACATGAATTCAAGGTTAGCCTGAACTACTTAGTGAGACCCTGTCTCAAACAAACAAACAAACAAACAGAAATTGGCAAGAACAGTGGGATAAGAGTGTTCAGAGAGAGGGGAGTATTTCAAAAGGGATTAATGGTAATCTGTATTGTACTGTAACAAATTCTTTAATTTAAATATTCACACATATTTTGATAATGTCACTTCTTTAAAACCATATTTCAAGAGGTGTTATTTAGGGACTTTTAATTTCTTTTTTGATTAAAACTTTGACACGGGACTGAGGAATTAGCCCAGGGGTAGAGCACTTGCCTAGCAGATGCAAGGCCCTGAGTTCAAGCCCCAGCACACACACATGCACAAAGACTGTGACAGCAGTTTCCTTAAGAGGATCTTAAAGGTGTCATTTAGGACATCTAATTTTTTTAACTTGGTAAATTCTACAAGCTTCTCAGGACATTTAGTTTTATTGCAGTTATTCATGTTTTTTTAGCCAGTTCAGTTTGTCACTAAGAGTAAACATGTAAAACGTGTATCTATAGGTCTACGCAGACTAAAGAACATAGTTTTGAGGGCTGGGAGTTTAGCTCAGCAGCTCAAGTACGTGGCTCATAAGTACAAGGCCATGAGTTTAATGCCTGATACCAAAAACAAAAAAAGAACAAAGTTTTGAGTAATTGTGTTCTTTCCTTTATTTCCAATTATTAGTTAAGTATTTAATTAACATTTTAGTGGTAATTAATGCCAAATTAGTAATATTACTATTACACTTCTCATGATCAATGTTTTATTTCCATTAGCATAAGATTTTCTTTATTAAGAATTCTGCTTTTTTTTAGTACAGATTTTAATATTTTAGTTGCCTGAATTAATGTCTTCTTCCAAATAGGAGAAAAGATTTTTGACAGCTCAGTTACAAGAAATAGAGAACCAGAGTTTGAATCTTTTCCAAAGGAGAGATGAAATTGATGAACTAGAAGGGTTCCAGCAACAGGAACTAAGTAAAGTAAAGCACATGGTATGTATTTTGTTTTAGACGTTAAATCCTGACTAATACTACTAAGTAACAAATAATGATAATTTACTCTCAATTTGGCTATTCATCACTCTGCTACTTAATAGACCTGTAGTGTTTGATATTAATCACATCTAAGTGTTTTTAAATTTACTGAAATAGAAAATTTCTTTTTGAAATGTATTTATTTTTCCCCATTTGGTTAAGTACAAAGTGTGTAAGTCTTCCTCTAGCCCTGTAAATTTTGTTTAGAATAAATGACAGAGTTTTGAACTGGAAGTATAGCTTATGGTAGACTCCATGCCTAACATGCCTGAGTCTCTGAGTTTGATCCCCAGCGCTACCAAAAAGAGAGAGAGAAAGAGAAAGAGGAGTTTGCCATGTGCCCACGCTGCCCTTGAATTCATGATCCTCCTACCTCAGCCTTCTAAATAGCTGGTAAAGTAGGCACATGACATTGCACTCAGCAAAGCCCCTCTGATACCACAAGCATGTTATAAAGTTCTGGCTGTTTACTTTTTTTAAGTATATTTCTTGAGCTGAGGATTTAGCTCAGTGGTGTAAGTGCCTGTCTGGCAAGCACTATGTTGTGAGTTCGATCCCTGGCACACACACACAAAAAAGGTATAGTTCTTAAGCTGGGTGTGGTGGTGCACACCTGTAATTCCAGTACATATGAGACTGAGACAAAAGGATCATCGCAAGTTTGAGGCCAGCCCGAGCTACATAGTGAGTTGAAGACCAGCCTGAACTACATGATGAGACCCATCTGAAAAAATAAAAAGTGTATTTCACATATTTCATTGGGAACCTCATGTTGGCCAGGCAGGTACTCTACTGCTGAGCGAAATCCCCAGCCCAAAAGTATATTTCTTAGCAGAAACCTAATGCAATCTTATGTCTTTGAATCAGCTTTTAAAAAAAGAAGAAAGTCTGGGGAAAATGCAGCAAAAATTGGAGGCACAGACCAGAGAACTTTGTCAAACCCAGGAGGAATTGATGACCTCTAATCAGATGTCATCAGACTTAAGGCAGAAGCTAGAAGAGTTGCAGAGACGTTACTCAACGCTGGAAGAGCAGAGGTTCTTGCTTGGTCTGTGGGGCCCGAGGGAAGAGGTGTTAGTGTAGCTCTGGCTGTAACCTGCACACCTTTCCCCATTACTCATCGAGACACTTAGTGGTCTTAGTGCTGGCAAAGGCCACCACACTTGCCCTTACCTGCCCAGCACCCAGGCTCTTCACCCTCATCCCTCCACGGAGCCTTTCTCCCCTCCACCTGCCTGCGCTCTGATCCATTCCTGCTGAGTGGTTCAGTATGATTTTACTTTTAGTATTACGGTTGTGTAAGCAAAGGCAAAACCTGAGGGCAATTCTCTTTGGGTTTCTTCTTCAGAGAGAGATAACAAATGTTTCCTATTGCTAGCCTTTATGTGGTTAACAATGTTTGCCGCCCTCACATATAGGAAACCATCTGCATTTTTTCCTTTGGAGAGTGTGTCATAGATGAATTATCCAAATTTGTTCCTTGTGTGCTTTCTTTTGATGAAGAGATCATGTGACAGCTGCAAAAGCAAGTGCAGAAAATACGATCACAGCCTTGGAGCAAAAGGAGCAAGAACTCCAATCGTTCATTCAGCAATTGTCCATTACCTTGCAGAAGGTAAGTGGTACATGAGTTCCTAGGATTCATGAGTAAAGATTCAAAGCTAATCCCATCAGAAATTTCACCCTTGGATTAGCATCCGTGGGCTTTCCCTATATTGCTCATGCAGGCCACCTTGCCCTACCTCCAGTTCTAGCTGAGCTGTGTGCAGGTGAAGCAGCTTCCAGCTGAGAAAGGTTGCCTGACAGAAAAGGTCAGCAGTGTCCTGGCAGTGCTTCTTAGAGTGCACCATTTGGTCTGCTCAGGTATGTCTTAACCACTGTAACAGTTTCCCTGAGGGACACCTGGGCAGCCATTTGTTTATGTACTGCCTATCTTCGGCTATCTCAAGCAACATTCAGGCAGGTGTCATTTCAAACAGTTGATTCTTGTATAAATTTGATAAAATTGTCGTTTTTATATTTCCTGTTTACCATATGAAAATTAATGAAAAAATATGCAATTTTTGATCACTTATATTTAAATAATTGGACTGATAAATAGTTAAAATACCACATGGTGGGCAACAGTTGTGGTTGGTGTGACCAGGGTGTAACTCTGACAAATGTAGCTTGAATCCAGCTCATTCTATAGCACATAGTCAGATGATATCATTGTAATTTGTGTTTTTATGTGGTCAACGTAGATTAATTGTTCCCCTGCTCAGGGCCTGTGCTAGATTCTGAGAATATAAAGGTTAACATAATAATATTATTGAATAGAAAGTGATATTTTCTTACTGGCATTTTAAGTAAAACAGTTTGTATTGTTTGATTGTCCTTTATACTGTAAGACATTTAGCTCTCCTAGCATCTGGATTTTCAGTGCCAGCTCTGGCCTTCAGTCACTGGCAGTCCAGTCGTTCTCATGTGACAAGATGTCCACTATAAGATGCTACTACCCACCCCTACTCCCTTGAGAAACATTTTTCTCAGTGGGGTAGAGACTTAACGTATTCTAGTTCAGTAAGATTTGTGTAAAGTTTGTAACCCCATCCAGCTAAGTTTTACCATACTAGAGATACCTAAATGGAAATGATCATGTATCTTGCTGGTGTATGTTTTTTGTGAGGCAGCGAGGTTCTGGGGATAGAACCTGAGGCCTCATTCGTTCTCACCAAGTGCTTGACCTCTGAGTTATGTCTCCAGCACCTTAACCTAAGTCTCACTCAACCTACTGAGCTGTTACCTCACAATAAGATGACCCAATAAATAAATACATCTTAATAATTTTTTTTGTCTTTTTCTTTTTATTGGTACCAGGGATCGAACTCATGACCACACACTTGCAAGGCAGGTGCTTATGCCGCTGAGCTAAATCCCCAGCTCCCCCCCCCCCATTAAATACATCTTTTTTTTTTAAGATCTTTTTTTTTTTTTTTAAGATCTTTTTTTTTTTTTTTTTTTTTAATTTAAGAGGAAAAAGAGAAAAACACAAACCAAACCAAAGCGGCGTAAGGGTACACGCAATACAGAACTACAAAACAAAACAAAACAAAACAAAACAAAACAAAAAAACATAACAGTAAGAAATTACCTGCTAGTAGATTACACACTATTTTCTTGAAAATAGTTCCTCAAATCACAGTATCAAAGAACACAAGGTGGACATTCAAACAGAGAGACTGCAAACAGCTGTGTTCAATGTTCCAAAAACATTGATAAAGTCAGCTATTTAACACCCCCAAACACACTTGCTGTTATATCCGTTAGTCATTAAATACATCTTAAACAAATGATCTGTGATGTAAGGTTTCTGCCCCTAGTGAATTTAAAATCTAGACACACATACTCTTTTTCCCTCAGAGCCTTACAGTTTCAGTATAGAAATCAAAACTCCTGTACCTGAAAGAAAAACAATTCAGAAATTCAGCCAGTCCTAAATACATGAACTGTGCAAAAGGTGTACTGTGGGAAGAGTACATTTCCAACCTAGATGTCTAAGAAGTCTTACTGGAGGAACTGGAACATCAGGGATGGGTAGGACAGCAAGGGGCAAAGAAGGCAGAACAAGAGTCTATCTGAAGCTGTGGACCAGGGGTCAATAGGTACACAGTTTTGGTCCTGAAGGGACTTTGTAATAGCAGTAACACCCATCCATTAAAAACTATCCGTCCTTTTTATAATTGGAGAAAAGAGGTTCAAGGAAGTCTAGACTGTGGTCACAGTAAGGGCCTTCATTATTGAGCCTCACTCTGTGCTAAGTTCTATACTGGTTATTAGAAATCCTACGATGGACAGCACTGCTCTTCTCTTTTTTGGTGCTTATAAAGGGGAAATCAGGCTTTAGTCAGTATATATATAAAAATTTCTAACTTTTTAGTGCTTGGAAGTAAAACTACTAGGTGATTTAGGATTCTATTACAGCCATCGTATCAGACCTAACCTTGGACTGACAGAATGCTTCTCTTTAGGAAGTAACACTGCTGTGCATGGAAGGGGAGTGATGGGAGAGAATTTCAATCAGGAAAGAGCATGGACAAAATCCCTGAGCCAAATAAAAGGACTAGCACATTCAGAGAACTGAAAGAAGGCCAGAAGGATGCCGTGCAGGAGAGAAAGAATGGGTGCTCTGGCTGTCGGAAGCAGACAAACTGAAAGAGCCTTCTGCGGAGGGCGTTTGCATGTCCAGTCATGAGATGATGCAGGCTTTGGTGAAGAGTGCTAAAGATAGTGAGAAAATATTGACATTGATGAACTTGCTAATGCAATAGATAAGGAAGGAGGAGAGCAAGAGAAAAGAAAGGGTTAGGAATTCCTGGGTCTCTGGCTAGAACAACTGAGTGGCTGGTATTATCAGTCATTAGGCTCATTAGCTACAGAAAGGGCAATGTTTAGTGTGAAGAGCATGAATTTGGAATCAGTTTTTGTTTTTGTCATCCTTCTTAATATTGAACAGATACAGAATAACAGAAAATATGAATAGGGTGAAAAGTATAACAGTGCAGTGAATCGTCTTAGGTCTTACGCCCCCAGGTTAAGAAAAAGAATATTAATTTTTGAGGCTTCCTATGTGTCCTTCATGATTCTATTCCATTCCTTATTCCTCCAGAAGTTAGCACTATCCAGAAATTGTTTCTGTTATTTTCTTACTGTATTTTATTCCTAAACAATCTCTTCTTTCTTATGCTTATTAGTATATAAATGAAATCATGTTATAGATACTGCCTTCAAAAAATTTAGTTTTATTACCAATATATGTCTCTAAAAAATATTCACATGAACTATAGGGGCCAGGGATATAACTTAATGGCACAGCACCTGCCTGGCAAGCATGAGGCTGTGAGTTTGATCTCTGATACAAAAGAGAAAAACAAGAAAAGAAACTTACAACTATAACTTATTACTGTAACTGCATAGCGTGACACTTCTCAAACGAACAAACAAGCAAAAAACATTGCTTATTTAGCTCATGTTTTTCCCTATAGTAATTGTAATAATTTATATGCTCTCACCAGTTTTTCTTCCTGTTAAGGTGTGAAATTATGAAACCTTTACTTATTATAAGTTTGGTGAATATGAAATTCCTCACCATATTGTATAGTGAGCTTGGGTATATTTGGTCATTCACACTCTTCTGTGAAATACTTCTCAAATCTTTTGTCCATTTTTCTGTTGTGTTTTCTTTTTCTCATTGTAGGAATTCTGACTGTCTCTTTTGTTGTACTGGGTTTTAAACCCAGGACTCTGACATTGAGCTATTATCCAGAAACTTTTTTATGTTTGATTGTATTTTATTGTATTGTGTGGAGTCGGGTAACTTGCTAAGTCCCTAACTTGCCCAGACTGAGCTCAAACTTGCGATCCTCCTGCCTCTAACCTCCCAGAGTGTTGGGATTGCAGGTATGTGCCACATGCCAGGTTAAGAATTCCTTATGTAGATCATGGCCATCATGATCCTTTGTGAGTTATCTGGGTTGCATAGGTTTCATTCCAGGCTTTGGTTTACCTTTGCATCCTTGGTGGTTTGTTCATATATTCAGCGTATGTATTGAACTTATTATTTTCTTTTGAACTTGTACTTTGGTTTTTTTAAAGAAATGTTTCTTTATCCATGATTATAATGCTATTCTCCCATAAAAGTTTTATAGTTTTGCCTCTTCTATCTAAGTCTTTACTATGCCTAAAGTGTGATTTTGCTGTAAGAATGGGGTCTGTATTTAAGTCCATGTGTACATGGGACACTTCTAGGCTTTGGCAGATGTGCCACTGGGGTGTTGGCACCAACACTAAACAGTGCTTTTCTAGCTGTAGTTGTAAATAAGTCCTGGTGTCAGCAAAAACTGTTCTCCCCCAACCCCGTGCTTTTTTTTTTTTTTTTTTTTTTTTTTAGGAGTTTGTTGATTATTTCGGGATTATTACTCTTCCACAGAAAGCTTACAAACTCCTTTTTAAAAATCTGTTAGGATATTGATTGGAATTGCATAGAATCTGTACATCAGTTTAGGTAGCATTGATCACTTTTTTACCCCCTTTGATATAGGGGATTAACCCAAGGTCTTTACACAGAGCTATATCTCTAGCCCTTAGAAAGCATCTTGTTAAGTCACATAGGCTGGGCTTGAACTTGGCATCCTCTTGCCAGGATGCTAGAATTGCAGACATGTGCCACCATACCTGGCTTAGTTCTTTTTTTCTTTTCTTTTCTTCTCTTTCTCTTTTTTTTTCGAGACAGGATTTCACTATACAGTTTGCACTGGCCTTGCACTCACTTTGTAGCCCAGGCTGGTCTCAAACTTGCAATGGTCCTCTTGCCTAAGCCTCCTGGGTGCTGCGATTATAGGCATGTGCCACTGTGCCCGGCTGAAGATTTATTTTTTCTTTTTTGGTACTGGGAATCGAGCTCATGACCTTGCACTTGCCAAGCAGGCACTTGTGCTGCTGAGCTAAATCCACAGCCCCTGGCTAAAGATTACACAGTATTCTTTTATTTATTTATTGTTTTGTTTTTGGTTTTGGTAATGGAGATGGAATTCACAATCTCACACTTAACCGGCAAGTGCTTGAGCTGCTGAGCTAAATCCCCAGCCTCCCAAGTGTGCGCTGCCCCTCTCAACTCAACATTATAAAGTTTTGACATTGTTAGATGGCATTTCCTTAGCTGAGCCTGTCTTCCCATTTCCAATTTTTATCCCTTTTCCAACTTGTATTATACTTAATATAATATTATAATGGAATTCATCTTTTTTTTAACTTAAATGTATGTACAATGAAGCAAGGAAAGGATGTTGAAAGAACTAGGATAGCCAGGTAGTTAGACATGTGGAAGGGCAGACATGGGGAAGCCATGTTAGATGAGGCCGGAAGTGTATGCAGGAACCAGCTACTATAGTATAAATAGTGAGATTTCCTCCTTATTCATCATGAATCATTAACTCTTATTTTAAAATAGCTTTTTAAAAAGCTCTTGTTCAGAATAGCTGCTGTTTGTCAAACAGTTACTGTGTTAGTATTCAGACACTTTACTGAGAAGGACACATCAAATCTTCAACATGTGACTACATTTAAGTCGCACATTGTTTTCCCATTTTACAGATGCTAGAAGGAGGCTTCAAGGGGCTGCATGGTTTGTCCATGGTCACACAGATGGAATAGATAAAAGAGGCAGGATTCAGACTCACATCTCTAAGATCCATTGCCAGCCCCCAGTCTTTCTACCTTTGTATTCCAGCACTGTAGCCGCGGTGCTCAGACTTGGCTAGGAAATGGGTGAGGAAGGTGACCTCACAGCAGGGGCAGGTTTGGCAGCAGGAAGTGTGGCATGGTTGCTCTTCCAGTTGTGCACAGCAGGTGCTGAGGGCCCACAGAAACTAGGAGATGTGTGCTCAAGTACATGACTTTGCTTCACAAAGTATAAGATATATTTGTTTTTGTGGTTTTCACTGGAAGGAGTCACCTGCATCTCCTAAATTCAGATTAATGTGTTCGAGCACAGGCTTTAGATCCAGAAGACTGGGTTTGAACCCTAATCTGTCACCAAGGGGTGTATGTCTTAGGTCGGTGCCCAGACATTAGTTTCCTTGCAGACAGTGGTTGTGAGGAAGCACTTGTGTGTGTTCACCAGGTTATAGCAGCTGCTGCTCCTGAGCCACATATTTGTACTTAAGACTATGGCTCTCGGGGCTGGGGATTTAGCTCAGCGTTATAAGCGCCTGCCTTGCAAGCAGGTCATCGTGAGTTCGATCCCCAGTACTGATAAAAAGGAAAAAGACAAAAAAAAAAAAAAAAAGACTATGGCTCTCATTAATATTATTAAGAAACCCCTAAGAGGGCTGAGGATAGCCATAGCTCTTTGTTTGCCTTCCTGTCAGTTAACCCCTGCACAACAGTGCCACTGAGCTGAGTCTCAGACATCAGAGTTCCTCCAGCTCTACTGTCCTCCTCACCTGGCCTCTTGGGCACAGGGAACCTGTCTGCTGCCTTTTGGCACATGTTACCTTGACTCACACCACCCTCCTCTGGACTGGTCCAAACACTGGATAACAACTCCTTCCTCTGACATATCATAGTGCCTTGTGTGTCCCTCTGCTGCCGCCTGGTTGCATTGTTTCATCGTCATTTGTATGTATATCTGTCTCTACCAGCAGCCTGCTTGGTTCTGTGTCTCAGGATCTTTGTATGTCCAGCAGACAAGAGGTGCCGGAGGGGTCAGAGATATAACTCAGTGGCACAAGCACCTACCTGGCAAGTGTAAGGTTGTGAGTTCAATCCCTGATATCCCCCCCAAAAAGAGAGAGAGAGAAATACTAGAGTTTAGGCGTCATAAAAGTTTATCAAATTGTGGGGCTGTGAGTCAACTCTTCAGACACTTCCTCTTGCTACCTGCCTTGGTTGTTGCCCCAGTGACAGTGGAGAGTGGCAAGTGGTTCTTTCCCAAACCCTGGGCCCAGGTTGTTCCATCCTTTTCTGAGGAGAGATTGGCCAGGCTGCCAGCTGAACATGAGTCTGTGCTTGTCCTGGAACCACAGGAGCCTGCCTGGAGAGGACTGCAGGGAGCACAGTGAGAGGGGTGTACTTCTCCATGGGAGGTGGATGCCATGCTACAATTCTGGGGGAAGAGAAAGAGCATATTCAGTGGGTGCAAGCATCCCCCTAGGACTCTGAGAAATTGCACATTCAGAGCATCTTGAATCCACTGTTTTGATGTGGAGCAGCATTTGAGGACTGGTCATAGGAACAAAGCTAGTCTTATTACTGCTAAAGAGATGGAATGCAGTAAAGTGGAGACATTTGTTCTGAGGCCAAGACCTGAGGTGCACGCAGCTGTGACAGGGTCCCTGTGCCTTAGGTCTGGGTGAATACCATTATTTGTTTCCCAGTTCTCTGGCCTTAAAGCAGCTACATTGGCATCATCACTGGTTCATCCAGTCTCTGGAGTTTCTAGGTCAACAGACTAGGAGCTTCTCAGGTAGGACTGGCTCTCCTGCCTCTCCCAAGAAGGTCATGGTTTAGTTTCTTCCCTGACTTGTCAGTTGCTTGAATTAGGAAGAGTGCTTGCTTCTTGCCATACTGAATTTGAGTGTTGCAGTGTTTTAATCTGGCATCATCTGTGTCCCCTTTACAGTGTTTTTCTAGGATGCAGTTGAGCACAGAATTTCGGGAAGGTCCTAAAGGAGATAGGAAGGAAAGGAGAGGGCTCACAGTATAATCAGCTATCGGCTTTCCCCTGCAGGTCACTGCTGAAACTCAGGAGAAAGAAAAACTCATCACACATTTGCAAGAGAAGGTTGCATCCTTGGAGAAGAGACTGGAACAGAACTTATCGGGGGAAGAATATGTGCAGGAACTCGTGAAGGAGGTAATTTTCACTCTCCTTGTGTTGGATGATGTGGGAAAGGCAGTAGTGACTCCATCAGTCCCAGAGTTTCAGAGCTGGGGGTCAGCAAACAGCTTGCTGAGAAAACTGCTCTCTCCAGCTATGTGTATTTGTGAGGGCATTGCTTTTTGGATATGGGTCTCATCATGTTTCCTAAGCCAATTCTAAACTGTACTTAGCCAGTTGTGCCTCAGCCTCCCAAGTAGCTGGGACGGCAGGCGTGCATCTCCACCCCTGGCTTCTCCACCTTTGAACTGTCCTGCTTGCATCAAAACAGCTTGTGTGCCCCATGCATTCCTCAGGAAAGGGGAGAGCTTTGTTCAGAGATGTGTGTGAACCGGTTGCACCAGATCCCTTGGTAATTTGGTGAGAGACCCCTGCACTCTCTCATGGTCTGTGCCCTTTTGGGCAAGGAAAATCATTACCGTCTGTCTTTGGCACAAGCAAGGTGATTTTGGGCAGTGATTCTCATCTGAGAGCCTTTTGGCAGTTGGTCTCTTGCCCAGTGGTATAGCTGAACTCCTCTTCAAGTCTGGGGCTGACCTCTGCCCCATTCTGCCACCTCTTCCTGTCCCAGTGACTGGCCTCATCGTGACACAGGTCATAAGCTTAGGCTTATTCCAGCGTAGGCACTCACTTTCTATCTCCAGTGTCTCAGAATAAAAAGGACTGGGAATGGAATGTGTGAAGGCCATGGTGCCAGTCTACACTACTCAAAGAAAAGAAAAAGGATTGTGCCAAAAAAAAGAGTATATCACAATTAAAATTTAAGACCTGCCTAGCAAGTACAAAGTTGCAAGTTCAATCCCCACTCCCAAAATAAAAAAAAAAAAAAAAAAAAGAGTATAGAAAGGAAAAGGGGTGATGATTGGAATACATGGGCTCAGTATCAGCTATTTGTATTAGTATTGTGACACCATTGTTGTTACATTAAGTGTATAGAGTGCACAGGAGTTTCTTGAGAATTTGGTTAAAACATATATCTTCAGCCCAACCTGTGAAATTCTGATTTTAGTAAGTCTAGAATATAGACTCTCAAGCTGAACAACTTCCTCCAGGTAAATCTAATGCCAAAGTTTGGAAGCTCAAAATATGTTGCCTACAGAATAACATTCAGGCTTTTTTTCTTACAGCATTATAAAGCCTTTTATTATCTGGCTCTTTTTTTTTTTTTTTTTTAAGAGTAGGAAATATCTATTCAAGGAAAGATAGCTTCTATCTAAGAGAGACACAAGGGAACTTGGAAAGGATTGCCACAATCTGGCACTTTTACTCAACGTTGTAATCACATTTGTTTCTTTTTTCTTTTCTTTTTCTGTAGTCCTGGGAATTGAATTTAGCACCTTATGCTTGCCAGACAATGTGCCACTGACCTACATCCCTGGGCCATGTAATCTCATCTCTTGACCTAACCCCAGGACCTCCGCTTTCTTTTGGAGTTGCAGTTCCCTGAAGGCAGTGAGCACTTCTCTTGCCAGCAGGTTGCCACCTGAAACTCTCACCTGCTGTGGCCTTCTGCGTTTCCTGCTGTGTACCACCATTGCAGCCACTTTCTGCATTATTAGTCATTTGACCCAAACTCAGGGACAAAGGACTGTGCCAAGTTTATCTCTGTGGTTTTGATCTGTGAATTGTGTCTCCATTTGCTGCTTTTGTGTTGTTTTTTTTAAATCCCCTGTACATAGCACAAATCATGGTGTTGCAGGCATCAATTATTCAACAGAGAAATGACTGTTTTCCTTTGCTCATCTTTCAACTTACAGAAAATAGTTGCTGAGCAAAATTTGGAGGATACCAGGCAGCAACTGTTGGCAGCCAGAAGCAGCCAGGTGCAGGCCATCGGCGTCCTGGAGACTCGGGTACTGACCTGACTCAGGGCTTCCCAAGTCTGGGTGGTGACCTGGCCAAAGGTCTCTTACGGGGTTGAGATGCTCATTTTCTTCACTCTTGATTAATTACCATCATTCTTCCTCATAGAGTTGTTCTCTTGCTTATTTAGCTCCTCTTATTCCTGTTGGCCTCCTTCCTGTGGAGTACCATTTGAATGTGGTTAATACAGACCCTACCTTAAAATGGGTAGTACTGTGATATGTGGTTTTTTTGATACCAGGGATGGAACTCAGGACCTCATACTTGCCAAGCAGGCACTTATGCCACTGAGCTAAATCCCCTGAGGTGCATGTGTTTTTAATTTGTGTAAATGTACTGACATAGGGTCTGGGGATTTAGCTCAGTGGCATAAGCGCCTGCCTTGCAAGCGTGTAGTCGTGAGTTCGAACCCTGGTACCGGTAAAAATACAAAAAAAAAAGTACTGACATAGCTATGGATAGGTCTTCTTCATTACTTTCAACTGCTCCATCTTCTGCCTGAATCTGCCTTGTAGTGCTTAACCTCCTTCCTGTGTATTTATCTAGTACGTGGCAGACACCCAGACTGCCTTCCTCTTGCTGCCACCTTAGTTACCCTTTAGGCAACAGCCTTCTCGGGGTCCCATAGGATAATAGTGTGATTGAGTGGAACGAGACTGTTCCCAGAAGAACCAAATCTGGCTGTCCTCCTGCAGCATGCATAAGGTTCCTAAATCTGCATTTCTGCTTTTTCTATCACAACTGTTTCACTGCCTTTTTCTTTGATGTTATTGGTTTTGATTTTTTTGCTTTTTGCAGATTTTTTTTTGCCAGTTTCATAGTGTGAAGTAATAAGCCACGGCTTTATTTTTAGTCCTGTGGTTATTAATGAGTTTGGCTGACATTCTCCTTTTGGAATTGTACATATATATCCTTGGCTTATTTTTCTGTGTCATTTTCAGTCTTCTTACTTAGTTGGTAGGATTTCATTGTATAATTTATAGTATTTTGTGAGTTTCAATTCTGAACAAGTCTGTTAACATAATGCCTCAGGCCTTTGTTAAATAGAAATTCGTAGGTTTGATATATAATCAGATTAGTCAAGTGTTTTGCTATATGAAGTCCTATTTAAGAAATCCATTCCTGGTGGGCCATGATACCAGCACACTGGGAAACTGTGGTGAAAGGATCTCCAGTTCAGCCCAAATCATTTAACAAGTCTTTGTCTTAAACAATGAAGGGCTGGGAATATAGCTCACTATAAAGGCCCTAGGTTCAATCTCTAATACAAAAAAAAAAAAAAAAAAAAGCCATTATTGCTTCCAAGTCACAGAGATCATCTGAATTTTTATATTAATTTTATAATTTTGTCCTTCACATAATCTCTAATTTATGTGCAAACTATCTTTATGTATGAAATTAAGTAAGGAGCTTTATTTTCCTCCAGGTTTAACATTTGCTAGACAGTCTATCCTTTCCACGTGGACTTCGCACTAACTTACCATATGCTTAGCTTCTGTGTGCACATGGGTTTGTCTTTATGTTTGCCCTGTATTCCTTTGATCTGCTGTCTGTCTCCTGCAAACTCTACAGCGTTTCTATTACTGTCACGTTGCCAGCAGTAGAGATCAGTATTACTAAGACAAATTTTCCTTTTTTTGAAGGTTTACTACTTGAGAACTTTTGAAGTTTTGTTTGTTTCTTGGTTTGGAAGGTTTTTTTGGTTGTAAGTAGTACCTTGGTTCATGAACTCAGTTGTCTCTGTGATTCTGATAGCAGACTAAACTGGACAAGAACCAAATCAAATTTTCCCATAAGGTCAACATGGACGCTAACCTTTAAATTTGATTTGGTTCTCATCCAACTGGGTTCATGACCAGAATCATGGAAAGAATCAAGTTTGTGAACCAGGGTACCACTGTACTTGGAATCAAACCCAGGACTTGCATATACTAAACAAATAGTTTCCCAGTGAGCCACATCTCCAGCACTTTTAAATTTTTATTTAAAAATAAGTAAATAGGGGCCAGAGATTTAGCTCAGAGGTGCAAGCACTTGCCTGCCTGTTAAGTGCAAGGTCGTGAGTTTGATTCCCAGTACCAAATAAATAAATATAAACTAATTAAACTGTTTAAAAGATAAAAACTTTACTTGAGTTATTTCAGGCCTTGCTCTCCCAGCAATCTTCTTGTCTCAGCCTTCTGATTGCTGGGATTACAGACCTGTGCCCTGGTGCACCGGCCTTTTTTTCTTGGTAGGTTTTGCCAGTGGTTTGTCACAGGATTGGGCAACTGTGGCCTTTAGTCTACGAGCTGCTAGGAGCTGTACCCCTTCATTTCCATGCTGCCTCAGCTGCTCTCTTGCTATATGGCAGAAAAGTGTATTTGTGACGTGATTACAGTATTAACTGGTCTCCTACATAAGATATTTGCCAGAATCTGAACTATCTTACTAATCTTTGGAAAGAAAAAAATTTTGATTTCATCTGCTCAAGTTTTTATTCTTTTATTTCCTCACTGATTAATTTTTTCCTTCCTATTTCTTTAGGTTTGCTCCATTATTTTCTTAATTTCTCAAGTTAAATGAGAAATTAACTCTTTTCTCTATCTTTCTTGTTTTCTCATATTTTAACATATATTTTACTCTAAAATCTGTCTTCTCATAGTTTGGTTCTATTTCTGAATATTCCTTATGATTTTTATATTAAAATTTACCATTTTAGTGACTTACAGGGAAACAATTCCTATAGTTAATGGTATTAACTACATTTGTACTGTTGTGCAACCATCACCAACATCCATCTGTGGAAGTTTTTCATCTTTCCAAACTGAAATTTTGTAGCCATTACAAAACAAACTCCTGGGGCTGGGGATTTAGCTCAGTGGCATAAGCACCTGCCTTGCAAGCAGGCAGTCATGAGTTCGATCCTCGGTACCGATAAAAAGGAAAAAGACAAAAAAAAAAAAACCAAACTCCTAGGGCTGGAGATTTAGCTCAGTGGTGTAAGCGCTTGCCTGTGTGAGGTCAGCACTCAGTGTGAGGTCATGAGTTCGATCTCCGGTACCAAAAAAAACCCAAAAAACTCCTACACCTCTAATCCTGGTCACTCAGGAGTCTGGGGCAGGAGAATCACTGAGTTTGAGGCCAGGCTGAACTATACAGCAAGAAGAGACCCAATGAATCAATCTATCAAAACAAACCCCCCCAAAACAAACTCTCGTTCCATCGGACCCCCAGATCCTGTCAACAACCATCTACTTTCTGTCACTGTCAATTTCAGTGTCTCAGATACGCATGTAGGTGGAGTCATACTTGTCTTTTTGTATCTGGGATTATTCCACTTAGCATAATGTCTTCACAGTTCCTCAGTGTTGCAGTATGTATCAGAGTCCTTCCTTTGAAGCCCGAATAATATTCCATTGTACCAGTATACCACACCTGTTTATTCGTTTGTCCACTGCTGCACATTTGAGTTATTTCTACCTTTTGGCTCTTGAAAATAATGCTGCCATGAATACCAGTGTACAAGAGTTTTGTGTGAAATCACATATCTTGATTTCTCTCGGATATATACCTGGCTTTAGAACTTCTAAAGTCGTACGGTAACTTTGTATTTAATCTTTCAAGGATGTGAGTGTTTAAAAAAAAAAAAAAAAGAAGAAGAATGTGAGTGTTTTTCTTTGTCTTGTCTTATTTTGTTTTGTTTTGTTGAGACATGGTCTCACTATGTATTCCAGGCTGGCCTTAAACTCACTGTGTAGCCCAGGCTGACCTTGAACTTGGAGAGATCTTCCCTAAGCCTCAAGGATATGTTTTGTTTTGAGACTTACAGTTTTTTGGGGATGGGTGTTGAGTGCTGGGATTACAGCTGTGTGCCCACCACACCCGCTCCTGGTGTGTTTTAAATTAAACCCCACTCAACTCCTGGTGAACAAGAATGCCTCTGTTTCCCTGCAGGTGGAAGAGCTGGAGCAGAGCCTGCAGGCCTCTGAGGAGCGGCTCAGGCAGAGCAGCCACCTCGTAGCCGCCCAAGAGGCACAGATCCAGCAGCTCGTGAGTGCTGATCATACTTCGCACCCATGCAGAAGTCTGCAGTGGTGTCTGTCCTGGACCTCAGTTGCTCTTTTGGTGACAACAGTAATTGAGGACCTGCTGGAGGGCCAAGCAGTTACTCAGGATGGAAAATGACTGGGTGGTTCCCCTGACACATGGCTGTCAGGCATGTCCTGTTGTGGGACAGTTAGAGGCTATAGCACTGCATGGGTTTGAGCCTCAGCTTTGCAGAGAGCAGGTTGATACGGGAGAAGGTGGCAAGGGCTTGACCATCATCACTGCCTCAAAGGGGCTGAGCTAGAACTAGAGAAATAAAAGCAGCTAGCATTGATTTCCAGTTGTCACGCTGAGGCATGATGCTCACTGAGTGTATGCACTTTGATCATGCACACCTGAGAGGCCTGCGGTCCTCATTCTGTGGAGGAGGCCGGTTCAGAAGGTTTAGTCACAACCCATGGGCTCATAGCCAGCAGATGGCAGCACTCACCTTTTTATGCACAGCCTAGTTCTTCACCACTGTGTTCTGCTACTGTTTGGGGAAAGCCCAAGTGTTAGGGGCACACTGAGTGGCGTGAAGGAGGCTCATCCTAGGGTCCCCACACACTGAGAGTGCAGCAGTGGCAGCAAGACCAAAGCTTGGCTCCACCTCTTGGGCAAGACAGGCCCAACAGCAGCAGCAGGGGCAGAGTCTGCAGGGGTCCTCAGCAACACCAGGAGCACAAGAGTTGTTTCCCTTGGCCCCAGCCTTTGGCCACAGAGTAAGACCTCCCTTGGGACACTTGTCCCTTGACTGACTCCCCTCTGGTTTCGCCACAGGTGGCTGCGAACCAGGAGAGTAGCCTTGCACAGCAGCAAGTCCTTGCCCTGGAGCAGCAGTATGCAGAGCAAAGATGTGCACTGGAGGCCCAGATTGTCGCCTTGGAGCAGGCACGGGCAGCTGACCAAACAGCTGCTAAGCAAGCAATGGTGTGTGGGAAAGGGAGGGAGGCTGAGCAAGCACTGGGCCGCGTGCTTGACTGGAAGAACATCACCCTCAGGCTGGGGGAGCCACTTGAAAGGCCTGTTCACCCTGCTCCAGTGAAGACCCACTCCTGAGACTGGATGTGAACAGGCTACTTTTGTGTCATTTTTTTGTTTTGCTTTGATCCCAGACTCTTCACATTGAACTAATCCCCAGCTCTTTATTTATTCTTTTATTTTGAGATGAGGAACTTCCTGAGTCACTAAATTGCCAGGGTAGGTTTCAACTTGCAACCCTCCTGCCTCAGCCTCTCATGGTGCTGAGATTATAGGCACACACCACTGTGCCCAGTTAAAGGACTACTCTTTATAGAAACTCAAATGTGTTTTCTTTTCCTTGGACCCCTCAGGGACTGAACTTCCTGATGCCTTCTGACCATTCTCCTCAGCTTCTTTCTGAAATTCATACTGCTCCTTCTTAAAGGTTTTTCCTATTCCACAATCGCCCCCTGTGCCACAGTCCTGAGAAGCATTTAATCCTCCATGTGAGGCTTGTTCTTTTTTTTTTTCCTCATCTTTGGTGGCGCTGGGAATTGAACCCAAAGGCAAGCCTGTACCATTGAGCTACACCCCCAGCCCCAGGAGGTTTGTTTGTTTGTTTGTTTGTGACAGGGTCACAGTATGACATTCAGGCAGGGTTTTAGCCCAGGAAGACTGCAAACTCACAGCAATCCTCTTGCCTCAGCTCCTAAGCACTGAGATTACAAGCATATGCCATCACTCCAGCTCTTTTTTCCTTACTCATACTCTGTTGTCCCCTTTCACTGCTGCATTGACCAAAGAAAGCACATTTCAGCCGAATGTGGTGGCGCACACCTATAATCCCAACACTCGGGAGGCTGAGGTAGGGAGATCAGCCTGGGCTACATAAGTGAGTTCAAAGCCAGCCTGGACTGCATAGTGAGACCCTGTCTCAAAAAAAAAAAAAAAAAAAAAGAGAAAGAGAGGGAGAGAGGAAAGGGGGGAGACAGAAAGAGAGGGAGGAAGAAAGAAAGAAAGAAACAAAGAAAGAAAGAAAGAAAAAGAAAAAAGGAAAGAAAAATGGGCTGGGAATTTAGCTCAGTGGCTCAAGTGCTTGCCTGGTAAGCAGAAGATTGTGTGTTTGATCCCTGGTACCAAAAAAAAAAAAAAAAAAAAAAAAAGGAAGAAGGAAAGAAAGAGAGAGCGAGCATTTCATAGGTGCCCTGTAAGAGAGGCCTTGCCTGGGGAAATACTGCATCCGCCTCCTTACATGCATTCTTCTCTATTTGCAGAGTGAACTGGAGCGAGAGCATGCTGCCCTGGAGGAGAGCCGGAATGAGTGTGAACGTTCTTTACAGCATCATCAGATAGAGCTGAAGAAGCTAAAGGTATTTATCTGAGGGAGTCAGTGTTTGACAGAAGTGTTCATATCTTGCACCTGTGTTTGAAGTAGTGGCCAAGTGAAAATCCCATACTTAGAGTGGAGAAGAAATGAACTAACATTTGTTCATTAACTTGCTTAGGCATCGGCTAGAAAAGGCCATCCATTATGTCCTCTCTGGGGATACAGACAGTAGGGAGAATTGTGTTCACTGAGTGGTCAGCATCATCGAGGCTGCAGGTGTCAGTGATTTGTCCAGGCCGCATAGGGAAAGGGGCCCTGGTCCGACCTTCTGCTCCACCAAAGCCCCAGCTTGTCCCTCTGTCTTTAGCTATGGCTGCCTGCCACACTGTGCTGTCAGGTTGTCTCCGTGGCTTGTGTTTGCAGGGGGCGCAAGTCAGGTGAGCTCTTGAAGGGCCATGAAGACTTTACGTGTATCGGGGACCTTAGAAATGAAGAAACAGCCTGCTAGACTGTCATCCTTGCCCTTCTAAGAACTTGGCGTCTAACCATAGCCTGCCTCCTTCATTCCCTGGACATAGCTGCTGGCCCTCACCCCACTGGGCCCTTTCACAGGACCTTTGGTGATAATGAAAGACAAAATTGCAAATTTTGGCAGAAATTTAGAAAATAATAAAGACATACGCTTTTCTGGACATGGTGGCTCATGGCAATAATCTCAACTGCCTAGAAGCTGAAGCAGGAAAATTGTAAGTTCCAGACTAGGTTGAGCAATGTAGTAAGGCCCTGTTTCAAAATAACAAAAGTGGGGAGGGATGTCACTCAGGGGTAGAGCACCCCGGGTTCACTCTCAGCACCACCAAAAAACAAAACATCAGTTTGGAAAAACAAGGAATCAAGTAAAGTTTTAGAGTTAGAAAATACAATAACTAAAATGAATAGACTAATTACAAAAGAGCATGAAGAAAGTTTTGAGGATAATAGATACTTTCAAACTTTTCATTCTAATTAAGTTCTTATTCATCCTTTTGCACACTAAATATATGCAGTCTGTTGTTCAGCAGCAGTGTCTTTGGAAGGCTATTTAAAAAGCAGTGGGGCTGGGCGTGGTGGCTCACACCTGGAATCCCAGCATTTGGGAGGCTGAGGCAAGAGATCACTGTGAATTTGAGACCAGCCTGGGCCACATAGTGATTTCAAGGCCAGCCTGAACTACATAGCAAGACCTTATCTCAAAAAAACAAAAAACAAAACAAAACAAAGCGTGGGTAAGTGATGGCACAGGCCGGTAGTCCCAGCTACGCAGAAGGCTGACACAGAAAGATGCCAGGTTCAAGTTCAGCCAGGGTCACTGAGTGAAACCTTGTCTCCAGAGAAAATGCAGCAGGCTTGGGGAGTATCAGTTACTATACGTTAGGACCTGGGGTTAATCTTCAGTAACACATATACACTTTTAACAGCCAATTCTAACCAAAGAGAGAATTAGTAAAGTGAAAGGAAGGGCAGAGTATGCGATCCAGAATGAAGTACTGAAAAGAAGTAAGAGAAATAGGGCTGCGGATTTAGCTCAGCAGCATAAGTGCCTGCCTTGCAAGCAGGCAGTCATGAGTTCAATCCCTGGTACCGATAAAAAAAGGAAAAAGACAAAAAAAAAAAAAAAGAAGTAAGAGAAATCACAAGACACAGGCAGATGTTTTAGCATGTGTTTCTGGTTTCCCAAAAAGCTAACTGCAGAAATCCAAGCAGGGTAAATTGTAAAATCCATATGCACGGGGCGGGGGATTTAGCTCAGCAGCATAAGTGCCTGCCTTGCAAGCAGGCAGTCATGAGTTCGATCCCCGGTACTGATAAAAAGGAAAAAGACAAAAAAAAAAAAAAAGAATTAGTGCTCAATAGACATGCACTAAAGGAAGTATTAAAGGATATCTTTAAAAAAAAAAAAGATATATTTTAGGTGAAGGAGGATTCTATATAGAAATACAGAAATGTAAAGAGTAAAAAGGAACTAAGAACAACTTTAAATGAACTTTATGAAATAATGATTTAATAAATAACATAAAGTAAAATACAAAAGGAAAGTAACCCAAGTCAGATGAGATACATGTGACAGTATTGTGGGCTCCTTGCATTGCCGACAAGAGTGAGATACCCGAGGTGTAGGGTAATGGTAGTGTGTGCTTAGCATGCACGATGCTCTGGCTTCAATTCCTAGCACCAAAAAAGAAAAAAAAAAGGACTGGACGTTGATAAGACAGAAATGCATGTTGTAATTTCTAGGCTCATCACTAGAAAAGTAATGTAAGAGTATATAATTGCCAGGCTTTCAAAGGAAAAAAAGGTTTCAAAAGTAAATCTAAAATAGAAAATAACAAGTGAAAAAGTAAATATAAAACGAGAGGCAAGCTTGGCATGATGGTATACACTTGTAATCCCAGAGCTCTGGGAAGCTAAAGCAGAAAGACCACCCCGAATTCAAGGCCAGCCCAGACTAGATAGTTCAAGGCCAGCCTTGTGAGAGCTGTCTCAAAAAAACATCATAATCGATGTATATATAGACCCCTGGTCTCAACAGTTGCAATATGTATATGTTTTCAAGCATACCAAGAATAGTTGTAAAGATTGACCATAAAGTATAAATTTCAATGAATTAAAATCATACAAAGTATGTTCTCTGACCACAGTGCATTAAAATAAAAATCAATAATAAAAATGTAGAAAACCAGTCATGTGATGATGCATGCATTCATCCCAGTACTCTGGAAAACTGAAGCAGGAGCATCTCAAATTCAAGTCCAGCCTGGCCAGTTTAGCAACGTAGTAAAACATGTCTCAAAATAGAAAATAAAACCAGGTGTTTGTCTATAATAAATCCATTTGCTTGTCTATATCCTGATCTTACATAGAACCTGTGAAATTTGCCTTTTGTGGCAGACTGAGCCCTGCAGATGTGACTAGGAATTCTGAGACAGAGACGTCATCCCTGATCACCTGGGTGGGCGTGACTGGGTGATTTCGCAGAAAGAACAGAACATACTCTCAACTGCAGACTTGTAAAGATTGGGGAGTGAGCCTTGAGCCAGGGAAGGCAGGTCTAGAAGCTGGAGGAGGTAGGGAACTACCTTCCTGGGCCAGCTGAGGGGGTACACAAGCCTACTGATGCCTTGATTCAACCCTGCGAGGTTCCACTGGATCGCTGGCTCCAGAGCTGTGCGCCCTCAACTTTACAGCAGTTTCTTGCAGCAACTGTAAGTGATTAATACTCTGGAAGATGCTGGCAGGAGCAGAAATGGTGACCCATGGTATCTTCACAGCCCTGGCAGGAGATACGGCGAGCTCCCTCGTTATCTGGGTGAGAATGTGAAGTAAACTGTAGGAAGTGGCTTCCAGCTCTTGGACCAAGAGGGCAAAATGAAGTGGAAATTATTAAGGTTACAAGGAAGAGGTGGAGCCCCACCCTTCTGACACTGAGGCCGCAGAGCAGGCCTGCTTTAAAGAATGGGTTAAGCGGGCTGGGGATTTAGCTCAGCCGCGTAAGCACCTGCCTTGCAAACAGGCGGTTGTGAGTTAGATCCCGGTACCAATAAAAATGAAAAAGACAAAAAAAAAAAAAAAAAAAAAAAAAAAAAAAAGAATGGGTTAAGCTGCACGTGTGAAAAACGTCCAGGTGCATGCCCCTGCTGCTGGAGGAAGGAATCCAGCAGAAACCGGAGCGAAGAAGCCTTGCTGGATTAAGGCTCATCCAATGCAGGAGCAGCAGGACCTCAGGAATTCCTTCCCTCCTCTGGCTTCCAGTCTCTCTGGAGCGCCCCCTGTTGGCAGAGATTAACACAGCCTGCTGGTTTAGCAGAATTGCAGTTTGGGGACTCCCAAACCCAGATGTTTGCTGAGGCAATAACTAAAAATCAGCACACATGGGTCTTTAAAAATGTGGCTAATATGAGCCAGGCGTGGTGGTGACGCCTGTAATCCTAGCACTCTGGAGGCTGAGGCAGGAGAATCATGGCGAGTTCAAGACCAGCTGGGTTTTACAAAGAGCAGCCTGAACTACGTAGTGAAACCTTGTCTCAAAAAGACAAAAAAAAAAAAAAAAAAAAAAAAAAAGTGGCTAATTTCCAGCTGTTGAGGAGTTTTCTGGATATTTGGAGTTTAAAATTATTTTGATCAGATATTCCCTCGATGATTTCAGTCTGCTAATATTCTGACTTGTTTTATAACCCAACCTATAGGCCCATCTTGGGAAATATTTCATTGCATGAACATGTTAGGCCCACTGTTTGGCAATGCTCATTAAGTCAAGTTGGTTGGTTGGTTATTAGAATCTGCACACTTGCTCATGGATTTACTTACATTCTTATATCATCAATTCCTGAGAGGCGTATGCTAAATCTCCCCCTACAATTATGGATTTGCCTCTTTCTTCTTTTTATTTCTATCCATTTTTGCTTCGTGTTTTTGAAACACTGCAGTTTTGTGTACACAGAATTATAGTTATTTTTTCAGTACTGAGTCCAAGCCCTTTTCCCTTTCTTGCTCTATTTTTTTGTTTTTCTGTTTTTAGAGGCAACGTCTCACAAAGTAACCTAGGCTGGGTTCAAATTTGCAGATCTCCTGCTTCAGCCTTCCAGAGCACTGGGATTACAGGCACACACTGCCACATCCAGCTAGAATGTTTTTATTTTGACTTTTCAAAACACCTGTTCCCTGAGCCCCGCCAGGCTCATTCCCAGGTGCGGAGAACTGCCCTGGGTGGATAGCCTTCAGGGAGGCACAGCATCCTGTCGTCCTCCCTTCCTGCATCTCATCCTCTCCACCCAGCTGAAACCTCTTGCTCCTTCCTCCATATCTACGGAGCCTCTCCTTAAACCTATGGAGAAGCAGGGCATTGTTTGGTGGGTTCTGCAGCCCGACCTCCACCCTCTCAAGTCCTGCACCAGGTTTTCTTTGTCTACCAGAAGTGGAGTCACAGAAGGTCAATTCTGAACTCACCTGAGTAGGGGCCCTCATGCCACAGCACAGCTGGGGAGGTTTCTTGGCAAGAGTTTGGCAGCTGACTGAGCTGGAAAGACTGGTCAGGCTGGAACTAGCACCTGCACTGACCTGTCTGTCAACTTGTCCATCTTCCTGCCTTTCTACTCCTGCAGACTGATAGGCAGCTCCAAGATTAGGGCTTTCCAGAGCAGCTTGTCTCGCTCAGCTGCAGCATTCTGATACAGAAGGGTTCCGATAGAAGAAAAGATTTTGTTGATTCATTTTGGGCTACAGATTCATCTTGGCATGAATATATTTGGCCAGATTGTATGATTGGCAGATGTCTTAGTTACTTTTTACTGATCGCTGAGACAAAATACCCAGTGCCCAAAGCTGGGAAAGGAAAGGTTTATTTCTTACAGTTTTTGGAGGTTACAGTCCATACTCAGTTGGCTCCAAAGCAGGGTGGCATGGCGGCCGCAGTTCATGGTGGCTGCAAAGGGCAAGGCAGAAACCAGCAAGAGAGAGTGACACACCTTCCTGCCATTACATTGTGTGCTGGTTATGTGGGTGTAGCACTGACACCATCAATCCAAGCGCCAGACAATGAACCAATCACAAATGCATAATGCAAGGGCATGAGGCCTGGGGGCCACCAACATAACCCATGACAGCGGGTCTAACTCACATGCCACAAAACTAGGGTACTATTATTGATGGCCCTACCAAAGCCATGTGGAATTTTAGAGTGGGACTAGCGGACAACAGTGAAGAGGCACTTAGCCCCAGAGCAGGGCCTTCTGGCTGGGCTGAGACAGCACCCATGCTCTTTCCAGATATCCGCCTTACCAGAATTTGGGCCCCCAAGCAGTCACATTTTGCACGTGGGGATTGATTGGGGAGTGCAGGCATCAGTCTTGGGAGGTGTGTTTGTACAAGGGATAGTCCCTGTGCTCCAGGCAGGGCTGGTCACATAATCCTGTGGGAAGTGCTCCAATGGGAAAGACTTGATATTTGAAGGCCTTGGCTCTTACTTCACATGCTGGCTTTCAGTCTGGCCTAGTCATTTACTGTCTCTGGGACCTTGTGCAAACCACTTAATCTCCAAGAGCCTTATTTTTCTCTCCTATAAAATGGGGTCATTTTGCCAGGTGTGGTGGCATCTGCTTATAATCCCAGCATTCTAGGAGACTGAGTTAGGACCATCTTAAGTTCAAGCTCAGCCTGAGTGACTTATTGAGACCCTGTCTCAAAGGGAGTTGGGCCATTTTGATGAGTCAGTGACATTTTCCATATTAAAATTCAGTATTTGCTTATTACATCTTCTGTAACTTGACTGTTCAGTGACCACTTGTATGCCTAGGAGTCTGTTATGTTTATTTCTTTAGACAGGCACTAGTTCTGCACACTTGGACCCCAGTCTGCCGGGTCCTGGCTGGTGTGCACATGAGATGACTGTCCCACGGTAGTGTCCTGTTTCCAAAGACATCAGTGGGTTGTGCACCAAGACAATCAGGGAGAGAAGGAAGCAGGAAGAATGCTGGTCTAGGCCAGCAAGGCAGTGCCCTTCTGTGAACTGAGGCTTGAAACTCCACCTGTTGTCTGTTTGTAGGAAGAGTGGAGCCAAAGAGAGATCGTGAGCGTGGCCGTGGCCCAGGCCCTGGAGGAGGTGCGGAAACAAAGGGAAGAGTTCCAGCAACAGGTGGGCCTGTGATACTGAGATGTGGGCCACAGGGTGACGTGCCCCAGTGCCCCTGCTGTGCGGCCACCAGAGAGCCAACCTCTGTCGTGCACACAACTCTCTGGGAATGCAGTGGCCTGCATGATGCCCTCTTAGTCTCTAGGAAGCCGGGAGCAGTGTTAAAAGAAAAAAATTCTCATCCATATGATGCCCCTTTCAGGTTTTGAGTCAATTATTGGTCCTGTAAATATTACCTGGCAAAAGTCCTCAGCAGGGACGTGCAGCTCTGATTCTGTGAGATGGGCCTCACCGCCCTGGCCTGAAAGCTATCTCAGGGAGGTTGAGCTGTGAGCAAAAAGTAGGAGAAAAACTTGCCTTTGGAGTCAGTCTGGCCCCAACCTGCTGGTTCACAGTGCTAGGCCTTGTGAGTCTGTGGCATTTCTGGGTCCCAGTCCTCTCTGGAAAGGCCTAGACACCAGAACAAAGTAATGCACATGGCAAGTACGGCCACAACAGCATTGGAAAACTGGACGGAGCAGCCATGTCTCTGGTTGGCCCACTGTGGCCCGGAGCACAGGGAGAGATGGTCACCTCACTGTAGGTCAAGGGGAATAGATGGTTGCACGAGCACAGGACATAGGTTACCCTGGGTTTGTTGCACATTGTAGCCCTGGACAGGGTTTTCTGGGCACCATGAGTAGCGAATGAGTAGTGGTCCCTGAGGGATAGGGGTGATGCTGCCAGCCCCATCTCATGCTGGTTTCTCCCCAAGGCTGCTGAGCTAACAGCTGCAGTCGATGAGAAGGAGCGGATTCTGCAGGAAAAAGCAGAGATGCTTCTCCAGAAGGAGCAGGAGATCCTCCAGTTGAAGAAAGGTGAGGGTTGACCCTCCCTGGCCGGCACAAAGCAGCCCAAGTATCAAGGCTCACACCTTGTATTCCCTCTCCTGCCCAGGTCAGGACTGTGCCCTGCTGCAGATGCACCAGCTACAGGGTGAGCTGGAGGCGTTGAGGAGTCACAGGGCCCAGGAGGCCACCCCAGCAGAAGCACAGGAGGACCTGCTGAGGCTGCGGGACCTGGAGCTACCCGTAAGTGCAGCCCTGTGCCACAGGGGGACCGGGCCTCCACAGCACCTGTCCTTTACGGTGGCATGGGGGCACCTAGCTGGCTAGAGGTGGCACGGAGAGGCATTGTAGGATCCTTTCGTTTTGACCTGTGCTTCCTGGCCCGCTGCCTGTCACAGCACATCAGGCCACAGCTGTGCAAGGAGCAGGCTCCTCTCCCCACGCCTGTGGCTTAGCTTCAGCACTAGGTGTCCTGGCTCTCAGCCTGCTGCCACCACCCCCTAGGTAACTGCGAAGGATGCACAAGACCCTGTGTACGAGCTGCCCCTTGCAGAAGGAACACCAAATGGAGAGGTGCGGACCTTGGATCTAGGGCAGCTACAGAAAGAGAAGCAGGACTTGGAGCAGCAGCTTACAGAGAAAAATAAGGTGAGGCTGCCTTGTGCTGTGTGTCTCTAGTCCATCCTTGCCCTTGACCTGTGACCTAGCCCTTACATTTGGTCTTAGCCAAAAGGCCAAGAAATGCCTGACATTGCTCAGAAGGGCTGCCTCCTGCTTTTCATCTTCCACGCATTGTCACCTTGTCTTTCCCCTCAAGTTACTGTCCAGAGTATCAAAGCCCAGCTGTTCCCACTGTTCTGCTGTCCACAGCTGGGGGTGACAGCACTGGCCTTGGCCTCCAGGGCACTTTGGGGGCAGGGGTGAAAGGAAGGTGTGTGCTGACTTTCCCATAAACAGCCTGTGTTTGGCAGCCCCCCCGCCCCACCATGAGTTCAGGGTGTCATTTGTCCTGTTTTTGTTTTTTTTAATCTTTTTATCGGTACCGGGGATCGAACTCACGACCGCTTGCTTGCAAGGCAGGTGCTTATGCCACTGAGCTAAATCCCCAGTCCCATTTGTCCTGGTTTTTAAAGGGCCCCCTGAAGTTCAGTGCACTCCCTGAATACTTCTCTGGCCGGAAATCCAGCCCCCAAAGGGAAAAGGTATTCACCCTCCTCTTCATTCAGTCTCTTTCTGTGAAATGTAAAACACACAGAAAATTATACAAAACAAATGTGTGGCTCAGTGGACTGACGTAGAACTGTGGCCAGCGCCCCAGAGGCCAGTCCTTTTTTCGTCCTCACATCCCCCAGGGACTGAGACTGACTTCCAAGGAAATGGCTCTCCTGCTGCTCTCTGATTATACTGCCCTGACTCACATTCTGGAATTCTAGAGTTTAGTTTTGCCTGCTGGTGGGTTTGATGTGTGCTGCACCCCCAGACCCTGCCGTCGGTCAACCTCCAGCCTCTTTGTGCAGCTTATGTTAGCCACTGCCTGGTCACCACCCGCCATTCTCTGGCCCCTCTCCCTGTCCTCAGGCTGTGCCGACCAAGCTCCTACCCATACTGCAGTCCCAGAACCCGAGTGGACTGGAGATGGAGACCAGTGTCCCCAGGGCACGTCTCAACGGCAGGCCCCCATGCTGCCACACTGTGCCCGCTGCTCTGCCACCTCCCTCTCCACTTCCACCACCCTCCACCTTCACCCACCTTCCATGTCCCCTCCTGCCATCCCTGCATCCCAGGACACCCAGAGCAGACTCCAGCTTCCCCATGTTCCTTGCTTCTGCTGCCGTCTTTCTCCTCTCAGGAAATGTCAAGTCAGGGAGCATCCTGAGCCTATGACTCCTCCCTACCCTCCACGCTGCACCTAAATCCACCACTTTCTCACCCATTCCAGGTCGCCTCTGCTCCAGAAATTGCTGCTAAGTTTCTCTTTGCTTCTTTTTTTTTTGTCTTTTTTGTTTTTATCGGTACCAGGGATCGAACTCAGGACTGCCTGCTTGCAAGGCAGGTGCTTATGCCGCTGAGCTAAATCCCCAGCCCCGTTTCTCTCTGCTTCTGCTGTCGCTCCTCTTTTCCAGTCTGATGACTTCCTGTCTCAGTGCAAGTCAAAGGCCTTGCAGTAACTGACAAAGCCCTGTGTGATCAGTCCTTCCCGCTGCTCCCCCTCAGATCCCATCACGCCCTCTCAGCCCCTGTGGCCTTACCTGTCTGTGCACCCAGAAGCCCCTGCTCACCTCAGGGCCTTTACCTGTTCTCTCTCCCTGTGTCCATGAGGGCTTCTCTGCCAGCCTGGCAAACCTCCCCGCCAGAACTCCTCAGTCTCTTACCTTGCTGTTTCTCTTTCCCTCTGAGCAGAAATTAGGTCTTATTTTGTTTTGTTTTGTTTTTGTGGTACTGGGGATTGAACTCAAGGCCTTTGTGCATGCTAGGCAAGCACTGTATCACTAAGCCACATCCCCAGCCCTAAAAATTGGTTCTTTTTAATCATATTTTCCCCCAGCCCCCAAGGACATATCTGGCACTTAGTAGATTCAATCAGTGATTATTAGATGAATTAATAAGTGGCATAGCAAGCACCCTAAGATAAAATAGCAGTATACTTCCTAGGGGAATGTCTAGCGTCTTATTCAATCAGGAAAATACAAACGCCAGGTGTGGTAGCACACACCTGTGATTCCAGCACTTGTGAGGCTGAGACAGGATCACCATGAATTTGAGGTCAGCCTGGACTACATAGCAATATCTTATCTCAGATAAAGAAAAAAAAAGATCTAATGCCCAGCTTTGGTGAATTGCACAGAAAAATTATGACTTTTTACACTGTTGAACACTGCACATTATTTCAAGAGGGCAGTGGTAATGAGAACCCTGTGTTCTGGCCCACATATCCTACTTGGGGATCATAGCGCACAGGTGGAGTTCCGAAGGCCACACAGGCGCCAGGACAGGCCAGAGAGGGCGGGGCAGTGCTGGGGATTCCTGTCTTACAGGAGGGTGTAGCAAAAGGCAGCCCCCATGGGACCTGGCCAGGCCAGGGTGTGGAAAAACACCTGACACAGTCACTCGGGAGGGCTTCTCGGGCAGACTTGTGCTCGGGACGTCAGGGGTGTCTTTGTTCTGAAAAATGGTGACCTGTGCCGATAACTGCTGGTTATTTCGGGTGGGTTTGTATCAGACTATAAAGCAGATGCAGCAGAGGATGCTGGAGCTCAAGAAGACGCTGCAGAGGGAGCTGGTGAGTGCTGAGCCTTCACCCACCCTGTTTCTTCTCCTCCCTGTCCTGCACAGCCCTGCCCTCTTGAACACACTCCTGAGAAGTGGCCCTGAGACCTTGGCCAGGCGCCCTCTTTTCCTGTACCTTTTTCCTCACCTATGAAGGGTTGCTTGGGAAGTCTGTGCAATGGTAGCATTGTGTATGTGGCAAGTGACTGGCCTGCCCACGACAAGAACAGCACCCTGCTCCAGGCTGGGGTGCTCACATGTTGTTGATGCGGATAAAGAAATGTGACCTTACCCCCCCCCCAGCTGTCAACCCCACCTGGAATGCCTGCACTCTCCCTCCTTTTGCCCTGGGAGGTGCTGGGAGGTGGAGGAGCAGCAGGGGACCACAGCAAGTGGGGTATCTCCTCTGGGGTTATAGTGGCTTTTGAGGCACCCATGAGTTTCTCCAGTCAGATTCTTCTTCCCAGCCTGGGTAATGGCCTACTGGCTCCCTCAAGACCTCTCTGTTGGCTTTTCAGAAAATCAAACCCGACAGTGAGCTTTTTGAAGTCCGGGAGAAGCCAGGCCCCGAGATGCCAAACCTGGCACCCTCTGTCACGAATAACGCTGACCTGACTGATGCTCGAGAGATCAACTTCGAGTACCTTAAACATGTCGTTTTAAAATTCATGTCCTGTCGAGAATCTGAGGTAAAGTGCTCCATCTAGGTTCTGGGCCCAGCGCTGTGAGGTCAGCCCTGCTTGGCCTCCCACCTATGTGACACTCCTCTTCCCCAGTCCTTTCCTCCCACCAGCCTTGGCCTGCAGACTGAGCAGTGGCAAGCCATGGGCTCCCAGGGCAGATGCGGGCTCCGCATCTCTGGCCCAGCCAATATCTGCCAAGCCAAAGCTGGGAGGGGCAGCACGGGTATGCTCTTGCTGTCAGACCTCAGAAGCCATGAGCGTCACATCGCCTGGTCCTTGTTAACCAAGGCAACAGGAAGTGCTGCCATTTAGCCCCTGACTTCCTGTCCCACCCCCACCAAGGCCAGGGCAGCAAAGTCTACTTTGTTTCAGGCTTTTCATCTGATCAAAGCTGTGTCAGTGCTGCTGAACTTTTCTCAAGAGGAAGAGAACATGCTCAAAGAAACCCTAGAATATAAGGTGGGCTTCTCTGATCTGTTGTTTGGGCTACCGACCCTGTAGTCACTATCCCCCCTCAGGCAGGAGACCACATGGAGGCGGGAACCAGCCATAGCTGCTTCCTTGCCTACCTGCTTTGGGGCGATGACTTGATCAAGTGGTACTGAGGACATCCTTTGTGCCCAAATGTCTGTATGACTTCCAGACTTTGAAATTTCCAGACTTCCACTGATAGCACTTCATCAACACTGAGACTTTTTTTAAAAAAGGCCTGGAAGGCCACTGTGGTGCATGCTTATAACCCAGCCCTCAGTGAGGTGAGGCAGGAGGGTCACCACCAGTTGAAGGCCAGTGTGGGCTACATAGTGATTCAAGGCTAAACTATATACGAAACCTTGTCTCAAAAAAATAAAGGTGCTGTGACTGAAATTAGCAGAGCACTTGCCCAGCACATACAGGCTGCAGGTTTAATACTCCACAAAATAATAAAATTTTAAAAGCACCTGCATAAATGCTGTAATAGAGAAAATAACCTAAAGTTCCACTACCCTCTTCTCATCAGTCCACTTTCTTTAATTTCTTCCCTTACTTAGAATGGGCTCCTCACCCAGCAGACTGGGTACTGGAACCACCCCAGCCAGTCAGAATGCCTGGAGAGCAGGGCCTAGGGCACAGGGAAGGGGAGGGCTCTGTCTCTTGTCTCTGCACCTACTACACTTCTCAAGAGCCTTTTTGTTTCTTATGCAGATGTCCTGGTTTGGATCCAAACCAACTCCCAAAGGCAGCATCCGACCATCTATCTCAAACCCTCGGATACCATGGTCCTAGAGGAACCTCCCAAGGATGAGCTCCATGGCTTGACACCTTTTCCTGTGAAAAGAACACTGACACACCAGTCTGGGTGGGTTTTTAATCACTGTAACTGCAGTATTTTGTACATGTGTCTAAACATTGTTTACAAGACTTAAGGCCCACTTCCCTGCAGCCTGACATGAACCTCAGGAGGCAGCTGATTCTATGTCATTCACGTCACCAAGTGGGAGGGTCCCAGTATACCCAGATTTCCACAGTGCTGCTGACACCCAGTCCTGGCCAGCTCACGCCTGCACCAGATCCTCTAACTTTGAACAGTAGCACTTAAAGCAACAGCATGTCAGGAGGCAGCTAACTGGTTGTGTAGCGGACCCTGGAGGTAGAAACAGCCCTTGAGTGTGCCTCGAAGGCCAGCCCCCTGCTTCTCCATGAAAAGCCACCTGGAGAGGGTGACTTTGTACAGCCCTCCTCCACACTGTGTTTGGGGTCAGAAGACTGAGAAGCGGCTTTTAACCCTTTCTCTCAAGAACACATCGTTTCAGTTTCCTGAACCACCTACAACTTGAGATGGGTACATCTTTAAGACATACTGGGCCAGAGTGGATTTATGAAGAATATGCAACTTTTTGATGGTATCTCCATTTTGCTTAAAACTAGCAAACAGATAAAAGAACCTAAGTATAGTACCAAATACACTCACCTACCTTTTTAATGAATGTATTTGTCTTGGATAGGTTGCTGGTAAACCATTTTAAACTATTTTTTATAGCTAAATCTCTTCACTATTATAAACTTATCCTGTTTATTGTAAAATCCATTTAATTGGTATTCTTAAAGGAAAACCAGAGCATCAAGAGCAAACTATTTATAAAACTGGGGTTCCTGTCCCTTTGTAATTTTGCCAGCCTTCTGTGGAAGGTGCTTGCAGAAGCAGTGCTGTATTTCACCTGCTTGGCTCGTCATTCTTCCACTGACCAAATATTAGTGACACCTTTTTTACTACAGGACAATCTGCTGGACTCAGTAGAAGCAGCAGCTGTCCCTTCTTGCCCCAGCCTTGAGCAAAAACAGTAGAGGCAGTCTGTCTTGTATGCAGAGCCACCCCTCCTCCCCTCCTGCCCCTCTAACTTAAGGTGACACTACATGCACACCGGGCGTCCATGCAGCCGCAGCTGGTGGCAGGACTTCATAGCACACGCACACCTCTAGCAGCAGCTGACACACACTTGTATTTATTATCACACGTGTTGTGGGGAAGCCACAGCATCAGACTGAAAGGGCAACTGTTTTATAGTTTGATGAAAGTTTCATTGGTAAATAAACTGAATTAACTGGAGCTCCTAAATTTATTACCATTTTTTCTAACTATGTACACTTGTTTCTCAATTATGCTTAACATCAAAAAAAAAAAAAAAAAAAAAAAATATATATATATATATATATATGTACACACAGAATACACACAAAAACAAAATCCCCAGCAAAGTACTTGCAGAGTCTACCCATTAAAGTTCCAGGCGGTATTAAGGCAGGCCATTGCCCCCCTGGCCAGCCTGGGTGCTGCCATCCAGGAGTCACTCTTGAGTCACCTTCATGTGGCTCTGTTTGCAGCTTGTGCCCTTCAGGTTGCTCCTTCCCATTTAGGTGAGGCCGTGAAACACAGCAGTCCCTTCTACTGAGGGGTGAGGAGTAAGTAGCATTTTATCCAAGGAGGATTTCCTCCCACTGTTCTGGGAGCCGGCCCCTGTGAGGCCTGGATAGTCCACGGCTTAACACCCGCAACGGCCACCCCTCTCCCGTGACTTCTCTACCCTTTGTGCAGGTCTCCCCCTAACCACACTCCCCAGCAGTTTGAGGTGTGGCTAGGGCCTCTTATGAAGTTGGCTGGCTTGGGAATACTCCCTTTGACTAGGCTTTCTTCCTGCATGTTGTTCCCTTCAGCTTTAAGGGGAAGAGTGGATTAATATTCCAAATGATTTAATGCACTTTTACTTGTATAAAACTTCCTATGATACAGTATACTGTATATGAGCAACAGATCTTTATATGAGCAATGGATCTTGATTTCTCAGAATTGTAAATAGGGATTGTATAATCTAAAACCTGTAGAGAACTCATTTGTGGTGAATACACTTTTTGATTAAAATTCTTTAATCCAGATACAGCTGCAGTGGGTTTTGCTTCATATTGTTTGCTATGTCTGGATTTCCTTGACTCTTAAATCTAGGACATTGGGCTGGGGAATATATGTTCAGTAGCAAGCTCAAGGTCCTAAGTTCGATTCCTAGCACTCCCCCCACCCCTAAATCTAGTATGCTGTATCTTGTACTTAAAACTTCAAGGGCTATGCCTTTGTCTTTCAGAAGGATCCTCCCCAGACTGGGTTTGGGCAAATAAACCCGTGTAATTTTAATGAAACCAAAGCCTAGTCCCACCTCCCAAGCATCACAGTGGTTCTGCAAAGAGCTGGGAGGCACAGGCTTGTCACTTTGGTGGAAGTTTGCAAGACCCAGGAGGGCTTCAGGACGACAGATGGGGGCCTTACCTTTGCTACGTGTTTTTGGAGTTTAGTTCTTCTGACAAACTTATCCAGAATCAGCTAAGTGAATGCCTCCAAGAGCGGACACAGCTCAGGCCCCACACGGAAGACTATGGCTAATCACACAAACTGAAGACTTTTAAAAGCCTTGATCAATTATTAAATGTTTGGCACTTTATTAAATAAGCTCCAAAGTTACATACAAATCAAAGCAGTAAGAAACAATAAATAGTATTCAGCAAACACCTCTCCGTAGCAGCCACCAGCAGGTGGCTGAGGTGCATGGGACTGCCATGGCAGGAAGGCCTGGAGATTGCCATGCTCCTTCTTAGGGGTGGCCCTGCAGAGGCCCGACTCCCTCCCACGCCGCACTGCCAGGACAGTGGAGCTCTCAGTCGCCACCATCCCATCGCTACCACTTTGGACATACAGGAAACACACCGCAATGGATATACTAATAAGCCAAGAGCTTTATTGATGCAGCAGGCACTTTACAATGACCCGAGAGTCTGCCTTCTCCGGAAAGACAGGGTATCTGTACAAACTCTCAGGTTTTCCCACATCTGAAAAACAAGTTCTCCCTTTCACCACAGCCCTTGGATCTGCACCTGCCCAACTCATCCCTCCCTCTCTCAAACAGGCAGCGCACCGCAGTTAACACCTGACCGACACCAGCCAGCCACTCTGCAGATGGTCAAGGGTCACTGCTACAGAACTCTGTAGACAGTGGCAGACTCAGATCCTGCAAAGGACTTAGAGAACAGCGACTCTCCCTCCACCTCAAAAATAAAATACATTTCAGTAATATGTGTCCTGAAATTTGCAGTTGGGAGTTCCTAGGATGATGGTCCATTGTCAATCCCTTCTTCACCAGCCTGGGCATCAAATTCTTCAGGGTAACACAAGTCCTTTCCTTCTTTTATTTTGTTTTTGTTTTAAACAGTCTTTCTTGCTGTAAGAACTCTTATAATGGAGCCTAGTCCTCCTACAGCTAAGGCCTGTGGGGCAGGAAAAGGAAAGAAGTCAGATAAGACCTGGCCAGAGAGGGAGCCCAGTTCACCAGGGAGATGATAGCAGGAGCCTGTGCTCCTCTGAGACCCAAATCCTTTCTGCCCGGGTCCGTCTGACAAAGGAGTCCCACAGCCAAGGCCTGAGAGCAGACTGGCTTGCAGCCCCAACAAGCTCACAGACAGCCCGTTTCTCCAATAGTTGCTTCCAAACTATTGGCACGGCCCTGAGCAAAGAAATGTATAGCACCCACGAGAGCTGCCTGCCAACAGGGCTGGCGCCACATCACCTCAAAGGTGAAAAGACTTGGCCTGCACACCACAGAGAGGGCACCACTGCCACCTGCGCCCCCTGAAGCCAAGCAGCCAAAGGTGGGAGGCACAGCCACACCAGCACCTCGGCTGCCTCAGGATGGACCCAGACAGAAGCACTCTTAAAGACAACAAGGCTGAGCTCAGCAGGAAGGACAGCATCAGTCAGAGCCTGGTCCCATTAACAGTGGGCATGCCTGCTATGGTCTCTAGAGAGGGGAGTGGGGAGGGATACTGGCACGCAGGCAGGACAAGGACGTGACCAGAACCTCCCAAGCAGAGGACGCACCAGCTGCTGCTGCTTCAGGTGGAAGCAGGCCACATTAAATAATCAAGTCTTCTGCCCACTGCACTGGCTGGAGACAGTCCAGCGGGAGGGCTTGCCCAGCCCGCACCCAAGAGCACCTCACATGCGTCTCCAGTGGCCCTTCACATCAGGGCTGGGAAAGTGTCACACAGCCCCCGCCAGCAGGCCTTCCTCCGCCCTCACCATGCCACAGCATCTGCTACCAAGGGCACCTGCTCTGCCTGGCACCTCCACAGCCGGGAATCGAGAGCAGCCGTGATTTCCACAGACAGGATGTGACCGAGCAATGTCCGGCCAGGTTTAAGCCTGTCATCCTCACAGGCTGTCACTGTCCTTCCTTTTCTGGAAACTGACCTGCTGGTGTGGGCCCCAGCCGAGGCAGGGCCCTCCGACCCATTCACGTACCTTTTCATGCCACTGGAGTAACACTGCGCTGCTGTTTTCTGTGGGCTTCTCAAACCCTTTATAAATGTACTTCATTAACAAGTCAATGCCGTTCCTGTCCAGGGACTGCACAGCCTGCTCAATTTCGCTGCTCTTAAAGTTTGTGAGCACTTTCAGCACCACGCCCTGGGCTCGCTCCTACGGCGGGAAGAAGGCCAGGTCAGCACTATCCCCAGGCACAGCCACGGCTTGTTAACAACACTGCCTGATCTCTAATTTAGGGTGGTTAAAAAAAAAGTAAGCGGGCTAAATAAAATTCTTGTATTGCTTCAAACTTCTCTGTGTTTTTGGTTTTATGAGACAGTCTCGCTGTATAGTTCCGGCTGGCCTCTAACTCTCAGCAATCCTCCCATCTCAGCCTTCTGAGTACTGTGATATGGGAGTGGGCCACTAGTCCCAGCTAAATCAAGTGTCATTCCACTTATTTCGGAGAGAATAAATGGTTTACTGAGGACTGGCCGAAACTCAACGATCCTCCTGCCTCAGCCTTCTAAGTGTGTACCGCCATGTCTGGTTTAGCTTCACTATTTTTGATGATGCCAGCATGGCCTTAAACCCCAGAGGATCACAACCATGGAAGATCATTTTAAAAAACAGAAAGTTTGGGGGCTGGGGATTTAGCTCAGCGGCAAAAGCGCCTGCCTTTCAAGCGCATGGTCATGAGTTTGATCCTTGGTACACACACAGAATGTCCCCAGAGATTGGAGTACAGTTCCCCTGCAGGTCATCAGGGACAGGAGGGTCATTTCTCTCTACCTCTGCCAAGATGCAACCACTAACTGCTAGTCACTTCACTGCCCCACAACAGAACTCACTGCAGAGGCCCCTCTCCCTGCACCAAGTGTTAGCCTCGGTGAGGCAGTGAGCACAGTGCTATCTTTCTCCCAATTTTTGAAAGGCAGGAAACCCAAAAAGCACTCAAAACCCTCCTACAGATACAGCCCATTGAATTGCCTATAAAAACATAACCACTAGGGGCCAGTGGCACAAGCCCAGTCATGAGTTTGATCCCTGGTACAAAAAAAAAAAGAACAACACTGGTAAGCCCCACTTGGCAGCTAATTTATCTGTTTTGCTCATCAACAAGGGCTGGGCTGACTTCTCACCCCAGAGGCCCTAGGGAGAAGGGAATGGTTTCTCTAGGGAGCTTTTCTTATACAGGTGTCTGCCTGGTAGTAGGGAAGTAGCTCCGGGGCAGAGCGCTTGTCTAGCATGCATACAGCAAAAAGGAAAACACACAAACATCCCTGAGAGCTCTAAAGTCTGCAGCCTGACCCTCAGGAGGCTCAGACCCCAAGGCGCCAGCAGCCAGCTAACGAAACACCACTGCACCGCAGCCCCGGCCCCCCACCCAGCAGAGCCCTTTACCTTCACAGCCTGGTTCTTGGTGTTGACTGGAGAGTTCCGCAAGGCTGCGTGGAAGGCCCGAAGCATGTCCCCTGTGCAGCAGCGCCAGTTAAGGATGGCTGGGCTCATGTGCGGCCACGCTTTCATTAACAGACTGACCTCGAAAGCAGCTCGAGAGCAGGCTCAAAAGGGATCTTTCCCTTGCCACCCACTGCCGCCCTCCACACCGTGGGCACAACCTGTTTATAGCCTGGGGCTGTCCTGAGCCGCAGAGGGTGAAAAGTGCCTTGGTGGCCCTTCTCTCTGCCTTCACCTAGAGGGTCCCTGCAAACAACTGCCTGTGTGGGTAACTGCAATAAAACCCGACGGCGCCTGCTGTACCTACTCAGCGCTGGACACCCTTCCTGCACGACTGTGCACAAACTGGGAAGTCACTCTTACCCTCTCAAAGGGAAGAATGAAGGCCGAAATAGGTCTAACTCTTCATTGAATCCTGCTCAGCAGTTAAATTCCTAAAGAAATTAAAATGTGCAAAAACTTCTGCTTCCTAGGTCAACAGGCCCCAAATGCTACAAGAACCTTTTCCAGTGCCTCTGCTTCCCCACCCCGAACCTTAGATGCAACCCTAATATCACATTCTCTGCCCAGTTTCAAACACCCAGCGAGCAAAGAAAATTACAATCTGGGTTAGGTCCCCAAAGGTGACACCTATTTTAAACTGAATTACATCAGCTGACTTTCATTTCCTCATGTGAAACACTGGCTTCAGCCAAAAAGCTTCAAAAATAGAACAAGGAATGGTTCTGCCAATGAGGTCTTTACTCCTGTTCATGCATCAATCCCCATGTGTGAGCAGACAGAGCCCCTGGTGCAAAGCTGAACTCCCAGTTCCCCTAGTCGGGGCTCCAACTTGAGCTGGGTTCACCTCTAGGCAAGCCACTCCCAAACCCCGGGAGCCCGGCTCTGCACTGGGATCTGATCGACCTTCACCAGGAAAGGTAGCCCCACTGCCCAACCAGGGTCAGTCCTGAAACCAGCCACCTATACCTCAACTCTTTTAATATGTCCCCCAGCAGAAGTAGGCTCCCCAGGGGCTCACCAGCAAAGACATCTAGCACCCTCTTCACTTCTGCCTGGCACAGCTGGAAGCATGATCACTCAGAAGGTGGACAGGTTAGGGTTAGGGTTAGGTGCAGGAGGGTCCAGATGGTGTGCAGCGACCACTCTTAACTCCCCGCGGTACCAGTCATCAGGCAAACACTACTCAGGAAGTCCGAGGAGCAGCAGGCTGTTCCTGCAATCACTGGTCATTCATGAAGCTGGCCTCTATGCCTAGCCACTCAGGCCCTTGCAGCAGATCCTGCTTTCTACACGGACTCTGTAGACAGCACAAGTCTGATGTGGGGTCTGCCCTGTGCTTTACAGGTTGCTTGGCCACTACTCACAAGGTTGCAATAGCACCCTCAAGCTGTGACAATCAGAATGTCCCTCAACAAGTGCCAAATTTCCTGGGGGCCCAGACAGGAAAGCAAAAGCACTCAGAACCATTGCCCTAGATGGACTCATGCTTCCAAGGACCAGAAGCTGCTTCGCTGATGAAGAAAGGAACTAGGAATACTTTAGAACTGTAATAAGGTCTGGGAAATTCAGCCAAGCCATTCACATCTCATTTCAAAAACTGACAGCAATCATTATTATTCTCATTTTAAAGACTATGAAACTGAGGCTCTGAGAGAGACAACTACCTGCTGGCCCAAGCTCCTTCTGTAACCCTTCGCTGCTGCTCTACTCTAGACCCGAGCTGCTTGCCCAGAAATTTGCTGTGTGCCCAGAGATGCTCTGGTGGAACTGGGGAGGCCAGTGTGTTGTCCTTCATTTCAGAGAGGACAATGTGGAAGCAGAGAGAAGTTACGTGACCTACAAAAGGTCACACAGCTAAAGCAGGACAGAGCAATCTGTGTTGACACTGAGCCCATGTTCTTTCTACTCCTGTATGTGACCTCTGCCATGACACACTTCCCAGTACAGCCAAGACCTCTACAAGCCCCCTGCCATGGGTCAATCCTGTCAGGGCCCCTCTCCTAACACCCTAAAGGCTCATAAATTCAAACACCTAATATAGGCTGGGCATGGTGGCACACACCTATAATCGCAGCACTCAGGAGGCTGAGGCAGGAGGATAGCTGGGAGTTTGAGACCAGCTTCAACTACACAGTGAGACCCTATTTCAAAAACAAACACCTAATATAGGTCCAAGGGCTGCCATATGGTAGGAACTCAAATATTAATTTCTTCCTTTTCCCTTGGTGGAACCCACATTTGCCAGGATTTCACTTCTCATCTGCTACCCTTCCTTTCCCCAATCCCAAGAGGTGCTCTCCATGGTAACAGGTTCTGACAATAGTGGCAAAGCTACCATCCACTGTGCTTTCTAGGTAGCCTAAGACACCTGGCTATGACTAGCCGGGGGCTCGGGGATCAGAGACCTTCAACAAGTCCCTGCAGCAGTAAGAGCAAGGCAGTGGCTGGCCAGGCCACCGTCTTTCATCTGTTGAATGAGGGTTCTGGGTCAAAGGCCCGGGCATGGAGTTTTTTCAGCACCTCCTCCTGCCCGACAGCCAGGCCTTGTACCAGACTGGAGAACTGACCTTACCTCCAAGAATCCTTCTCATGACCCATTTCATTAGTAGGGTATGTGAACAGTCTGGATGGGGCAGGAAATTAAAGTTTAAATCTGCACCTTTGAAAGCACATTCCTGTTCAAACAGTCTGCAGGTATTTGTTTTAAAGGCATATTGGAGGCACACTGCAGGACTCCTCCCAAAAGCAGTGGGCCTGACTTCCCAAGTGAGTCAACTGACTAAACACCCAGAACCTGATTTATATACAGCAGGAGCCTCCAACCCTGCCCTGGCAAGTGCAGGGGGAGGGGAGCACACTTCCTGTAACACCATTTGAATAAAGAAAAATTCTTCCTGTGAGAATAAGTCAGTTTCCTGTGCAGAAAGTGCAAAGGAGCCAAACTGTGACAATCACCTCTATTTTTAATCTTCTAAATGCCCGCTTTCTGCGGACACAAGAACAACCGTTTCCAGTCTTGGGGGTTGCTTTTTACACTTCACGCTATATAGTTTCCTTAACTCTAACTGCTAGTTTTTTCCATTGCTTCCTGCACGAGGCCAGTACCTCGGCAGCAGCCACACTCACTTTTTGAGCTGGGCTGAGAGACCACGACGGTCCAGAGCCCAAGGTATTCAGCAGTGAGACCAGCAGAGGAGGGCGGCAGCAGGGGTGGGAGGCGCAGTCCCAGACCTAGGTTGCAGCGAGGGTGCCGCCTTCACGTCCCTCTTAGTGCTCCTTCTCCTCAGTCCTCCCCCCACCTATCCTCAGAGGTCTGCCGTGGACCCCAGCACAGCATCAGGGCAGGCCTGGGAGGACTGTGCCCTCCCGCCGACCAACCACCGAGAAGGGTCCTATTTCTCGCAGGAGGCATGGAACGATGGGTGCCCTCGGCAGAGGCCGCCAGGGCAGACAGGGAGGCCTATGGGAGGGAGCCTGGAGGAGCCGCCCACCAGGTCCAGGGCCGCGTGGGGGCGGGAGAGGGAATGGGACCGGCAGAGGGGAGCCGAGCCCGAGGGGAGCCGGTATGCAGGGGCTGGGGGAAAGGGGAGCGAGGAGGCCGGGCTGCAGTACCCGAGCCGGGGATGAGAAGCGTGAGCAGCCCAACCGGAACCGGGCCGCCGCGCGGGGAAGGATATTGCCGCAGGAGCCCGTCCACCTCGCTGGGGTCCGGGCCTGGCTCTCCCGCCGCCGCCGCCGCCTCCTCCTGCTCGTCCACGAATTTGTTCTCGTCAAACTCATCGATGTCCACCCGGCGGAAGCGCGAGGACAGCGTGTTCCGGGCCATGGCGCGAGCTCAGCGCCCGCTCAGCCGGCTCCACTCCGAGCCCGACCTCGCTCTGCTCGGCTCTCCACAGGTTCAGGATCTGCCTCCAGCTCCGGCTCGGGGGCGGGAAGCTGCCGCCCGGCACCTCCTCCACCTCCTCCGCGCGCAGTCTCCGCAGCCCGCCCACTTCCCGTCGACGCCGGAACCGGAAGCGCGGGACGGAACCCGTAGGAAGCGTACTCGCTTGGCTGGAGCGGCCCAAAGCTCCATGGTCTCCATGGCAACCTGGGCATCGTGGACACTATGACTCCGTTGGTTCTTAAGACTTCCTCCCCTGCCGCGAGGACTTTGTGGCCCACCGAGGAGCCAGCGCCAACATAGATGCCGAGTCTGGGGTAATCGTTGCCCAGATGGAGAGGGCCCCAGTCCCTCGGGACGGTGGCCGGACCTATTCTCGAGCTCGGGCCAGGCTTCTTGAAGAAGAAACCTTGGCGCTAAGGCCTGTGCTATGCCCCGACAATGACCTGAGTCTTAGAGCCTTGGCCCCACACTGAGCCAGGAGCTTGCTGCGCAGTGATTAGAGGAGTGACCCTGTCTTCAAAGAAGTGAGGGGACCCTACTAATATTCAGCGTATCCAGAGTCACAAGGCGATGAAGAATTGTTGTTCTTTTCAGCTACTGGGGATTGAGCATTGGGCCTTCACTGAGATACAATCCTGCCCTGCGCCTTTCTAGGCAGTCTCACTAAGTCAAACCTATGATCCTCCTGCCTCAGCCTCCCAAAGCGCTGAGATTACATGCCAGCACTACCACGCCCAAAGCTAAAAACGTTTCTAGGGTGTAGGATCCTGCTTAGATAGCAGTCACTTTGGCTTGCAGGTGAGAGCCAGGAGCAGGACACAACTGTGTGGCCCATACCGGCTGGAAGAGAAAGGTCCTGGGATGCCAAGAAGTCAAGCCTAACTGAACAGGCATATTTTAGGATGCACAATCCCCAGAAGCTGAGGAAAGGGCACAGTTTAGCAAAGTTGGGGTGCCATGATTGGGTTCCTAAGGAACTTCTTTAATTGGCCTTAGACCTTAGTTAAATAGGTCTGTTCATATAATGGTATAAAGAAATTATTCTCACTACATTTTTGTCTGATGGTCTTTTTAGTAAAAGTCAATGGTTGACACATTTGTTTTTCTTGCTTTGTATTCTTCTCATAGAACAGTCTGCAGATCAGAAAATAATGCCAAAGTGATGTAACCTGGGGCTGGGGATTTAGCTCAGTGGCATAAGTACCTGTCTTGCAAGCAGGCAGTCGTGAGTTCGATCCCTGGTACCGATAAAAAGGGAAAAAGACAAAAAAAAAAAGTGATGTAACCCAACCTTGATAATAAAAATACCGACTCCCAAACTGGGGAGGGTGACTGACACATGGCTGTAATCTCAACACTGGTAGTCTGAGGCAGGAGAATCACAAGTTCAAGCCCAGCCCAGGCAATTTAATAAGACACTATCAGAAAGAAAAGAAAAGAAAAAAAAAAAAAAAAAAAAACAGAAAGACTCGGGCTTCAACTCAATGCAACAACAACAAAGATACAGACTCCCATAGTGGTAAAGAGGTGTCAAATAAAGTCTCAGGTCCAGAAACAATCAAAATCCACCTACATTTTGCCTCCATACCTGGAAAGAAACCTTTGTGATTCAGGAGGCAGGCCACAAGACAGCACATTCATATCCCCAGAACATCCTGATCAGAAGGAACTTGAAACTAGGCCTGGTAGCACACAGCTGTAATCCCAGCATTTGGAAGGCTGAGGCAGGAGGAGTGTGGTGAATTTGAGGCTAGCCTGGGCTAGAGTGAGTTCAAAGTCAGCCTGAACTACATAGCAAGACGCTGTCTCATAAAAGAATGAAAAAACTTGAAGCCAAAATTGCTAATTTTATGATTATGGAAAGAGCCCCAGGTAAACTGGTGAATCATATTCCAGTTCATGGTCATGTACTTCCATTCCATGAAGGAGGAAGAATTTTAAATTCAGTATTATAGCCATATCATAGGAGGAGTGTGGTTGTACATGGCTATAAACTAGCATTCTGGGAGACTGAGACAGGAGGACCAGGAATTAAAATCCTTCTTGGGCAACTCGGTTCTAAAACCCGATCTGAATGGAGAGTGGGGGGAAGGTGGGGGGAGGGTGGGGATGTAGCTCAGGGCAAGGGCCCTGGGTTGGGTCTCCAGCATCAAAAATAAATTTTAAAAATCTGGGCTAGGGATATAGCTCCACAGCACAGTGCCTGCCTGGCACCACCAGCACAGTGTTGTGAGTTCAATTCCTGTACCAAAAAAAAAAAAAAAATCCATTTTTACTGTGCAGGGATGATTGAGTGATGGGGGCAAAAAAATCACCCAGTGCCTGGCAGTTTCTTAGCTAAAGGAAGAGAACAAAATCTTAACTCAGGACAGGCTTAGAAGTTCTGAGCACAGCAAAATGACATGATCTGACTTCTGGCTTGTGTTGAAAGGGGTCATTTAGCCAGTCATGGTGGTACAGTCTCAGCTACTCAGGAGGCAGAAACAAAAGGATCACAAATTCAAGGCCAGCCTGGGCAACTCAGCAAATCCTAGTGCCAGCAAAATAAAAAGCTGGGGATGCCTATCAGTGCTAGATAGCTTGCTTAGCACGTGCAAGTCCTGAGTTCATGCCCCAATATAACAAAATGAAAAGATGACTTTTTTTGCAGCTGTACTGAGAACATACATGGGAGCAAGAACCAAAGTGGGGCAGGCCATGACACAGGCCTGTAATCCTGGCACTCTGGGAGGCTGAGTCAGGAAGATCATGAGTTCAAGCCCAGCTTGGGCAATTTAGTGATTCAGGAGAGAGGCCCTGTCTCAAAAAACGGGGTGAGGTGGGTGGTGTAGCAGCAGGCACAGGTCCCGGGTATAATCAGCAGCACAGACTCCCGACGCCATGAAAAAAGTGTGTGAAAGTCGGGCTTGGCAGTGCACGCCTGTAATCCCTGTGCTGGGAAGGCTGAGGCAGGAGGATCATTTCGAGTTCGAGGCCAACTTGAGTTACATACTGGATTCAAGGTCAGCCTGAACTCTATGGTGAGATCCTGTCTCAACTGACCCCTCCAAAAGCGTCAAAACTGAGAAGTGATTCGGATGACAGCAATGGTACAGGTGGTAGACAATGGTAATCCAATCCAGCAGGTGCCAATCAGGGTGTTGTGAAGAAATCAAATATTACCAACACACACACACACACACACACACACACACACACACACACGAAAACTGAATTGAGATCTTTCACTCTGATATATCCCCTACCCCTTTTTTAGAGACAGTGTCTCGCTAGGTTCCCCAGGCTGAGCTCTAGCCTTCGATTCTCCTGCCTCAGCCTCCCAGAGTATGGGGACTATGCCACCTTCCCGGCATTAATGCATCTTTGCAAACCCTCCCTCCCTATCCCCTCCGCACCCTCAGATCACCGGTGCCCAGCTCACAGCGGCGGACTGGGAGATGGTCAAACTTCGCCGAACGAATGAGTAAACAACTACATGACTGAACGAAGAACCTGGGCCCAATCTATGCCATCTTCGGCCAACTCCCAGCCAGCTCTGTCCTCAGCCGCTCCAACTGCGTCGCTCAGGACCTAAAGCTCACCTAGCTGGCAGGGAGCACCTAGAAAGATGCCTAGACCAACCGACTTAGCTCGGGCTCTGCGGACTTCTCAGAAGGACGAATCACACGCTACTAGGCAAAACTGTAAAGGGGCGGGGCAGGGCTCCCGCGCCGCAGCGCCATTGGCTGCCCTGGCTGCCACCCGGCAGTAGTAACGGGGTCAGCCCCGCCCCTTCCTCTTTCCTTCGGAGCAGGCGGCGGCGGCGGTGGTTTCTAGTGCAGCTATGGTGAGTGTGAGGGAATCGGGTGCCATCCAGGCACCGTGGGGCTCGGGGACCGGTGTGGGGGTTTGCAGGCTGAGTCCTCGGATCTCATCTGCCGCCCAGGCGTGGGGTGCACTGCATAGGACGGCCCAGCGCCCTCCACATCTCCCCCTCTCCTTCCCGCGGGCCACGGGCCGCGCGCGTCTCCCGTCCGCGGCCTGAGAAGACTGCGCTTCCAAGACCCCGGCCTGGGTTGCGGGAGGAGTCGAGACGGCCCGCGGGGCGCCTGACCCGGACCTTGCCTGTGTGCAGGCCAAAATTAAGGCTCGGGACCTTCGGGGCAAGAAGAAGGAGGAGCTGCTGAAACAGCTGGACGACCTGAAGGTGGAGCTGTCGCAGCTGCGCGTTGCCAAAGTGACGGGCGGCGCAGCATCGAAGCTCTCCAAGATGTGAGTGACCGACTGGGAGGGCGCATGTGCCCCGGGAGGGGTGGTGGGGTTTCGAAGTTGGCTTCAGGAAGTACCCGTTCAGGTCCCCGCGAGGTGTGCGGCTTGGGTCACGTGGGAGACCTGCTGTGTGAGTCCTCTCCTGCTTGTCGCCCTATCCGGAACCACCTGTCTGCTTCTGAGCTGAAGAAAGAACTAGGAGTCCCTGCAGACTCAGTCTTTCTTTCCTCCTTTCTTTCTTTCGATGGTCTCCCCAGCTGTAGTTGGCGCTTAGTCTCATAGCTCAGGCAGTGCCAGAACTTGGGGCGTCTTTCTAACGCAGCCTCTCCGTTGCTAGGATTACAGCCCTGGGCCACCATGCTCAGCTTTTTTCGTTATGGGGTTGTTTTTTGTTTTTATTTTTTTGAGACAGGGTTTCTCTGCAGTTCAGGCTGGCTGTGGGCTCGCTTTGCAGCCCAAGCTGGTCTCGAACTCGCAACGATCCTCATGCCTCAGCCTCCCAAGTGCTGGGATTACAGGATTGCGCCACCACTCCCAGCTTCGTTGCTGTTTTTTGAGACTGACTGTCATTGTGCTTTGAACTTTTGTGGCCAGGCTGCCCCCAGCTTCGACAGTGTAGGGGTTACAGTCTGAGAAACCATCTCATCGCTGCCTCTAAAGCCTAACGGACCTTTTTTTTCCACCTCCTGCTTTTACTTGACTTTAGTTACCCTGTATGGTGGGAGGGGCCTTGCGCCCATGTAAGCTGTTACCTAAATTATGTGGGTAAGGACAGAGGACACAGATTTGGACCCTGGTTGCCAGTTTTGGCACAGGTGGGCTGCCTGCACCCGAACAGTTTTGCAGGGAACAGGAGGTGACTGAGTGATTTGGGGAGCACATCACCAATGCTCTCCGGTGTGCTCTCCCTGTCCCTCCCTTGTTCAGCATGGCTGCAGGTGCAACTCGCTGCCGACCGCACCTTTTCCAGGTGTCTGCTTCCTCTCTTGGGACTCCCAAAGCTGGGAGGGTGTTTGACTGCGGCGTGACTCCCTCCCTTCCCCTTTTTTTTTTTTTTTTTTTTTTTTTTTTTTTTTTTTTTTTGTCTTTTTCATTTTTATCGGTACCGGGGATCGAACTCACGACCGCCTGCTTGCAAGGCAGGTGCTTATGCCGCTGAGCTAAATCCCCAGCCCCTCTCCCTTCCCCTTTTGACATGTGATCTGGGGGTTTCAGCCTCTGTGTTCCTGTCCATGGACTTGTGGACAATATAAACAGGCACGGGGTTAGGGGGTGCTGCTGCTGTCCTGCTCTTGGTCCCTTAGTCTGGAGGGAGACACCTTGGGGAGCACTGTGTTTTCCCCATTTCTCACTGACCTCTGTTTTGCAGCCGAGTTGTCCGCAAATCCATCGCCCGAGTTCTCACGGTTATCAACCAGACACAGAAAGAAAACCTCAGGAAATACTACAAGGTGAGGGGCACCAGGGAGGCCAGGCTGCAGGCATTGTGCAGCTGTGGGCCGGTCCCTGGTCTGTGGCTAGGTTTCCCATCTCAACAACAGTGCCCCGAGCTGCCTCAGCCTGAGCCCTGCATCCTGAGTGAGTGGCTTGGTGCCATGAATCTGCCCTCCAGTATGGGCCCATCTTCACTTGCTTTGGCAGTGCCCAGAGTAGAACAGGACCCTGCTGTCCCTGCTAGGTTTAGATGAGGACCTGAGGCTTGGGACTGGGGTTTGTTCCCACACCATGTCATGGGGCTGGATGAGGATGCTTAGGGGACTTCCATAGCTATCTGACCTCTGGATCTCACATTGTGACAGCCATCTGTCTTGTCCCTGGCTACAGTTTCAGCAGGGTCTGGGCAGAAGCAGCAGCAGGGCACAGATCATGTCTTTGGGACCACACTGGAACTCAGGATTGGCCTGGGAGAGACCTGGTAGCCCCAGGTGGCACTTGGAGGGAGTCAGGCCTGCTGTTAAACCAGTGGGCTGGCTGGCTTGCTCAAGGCAGTGTCACCTAATGGAAGTCATTTAGAAGGGGCCCTTAGTTACCTCTGCAAAACCGGCTGCACATCTACACCAGGTTAGAGTAGAGGTTGACACATTAGACAGGCTATCATCTTGTGGCTGGGGTGCTGCCACCCTTTGGCTGTGAGTATACCTGTGAGGGACCGGTAACCTGGGGCGGGGCCTGAAGCCTCAGTCAGGTCCTGAGGGAAGGCAGAGGTGGTGGCCAGGAAGAAGCACCTTTGCAACTGTGTCCTTTGAGTGTCCTATTCTTGTTCCTAGCCCCAGACACCAGAAGTGAGGCTCTGCACAGTAGCCCTCACCTTGTGTGTCCTGAAGCTGGGAGGGGGCTCGACTCAGGCTGTTGTACTGGGTGGTGTCAGATAGGGACCAGGTGGCAGGACCTCCCTGCCCTAGTGCAGATCTGGCAGAGGGCTTGCCTTTGAGGACCCCACCTGAGAGCAGCTTGTGCATGTGAGGGTGAACCATTGTCCTCCCTGGGCTGCGGTCCCCCAGAGCGTGGGCGAAGGACCACTTTATCTGGAGGACTTGCTGGGGAGACTGGTGGTCAGCAGTGGCACAGTGTGCCCTGTCATGCTCTGGGCAGCAAGCTCTGGGAGACGTGGCAGCTCCAGTGGTGTCTCTGTAGCCCTGGCACTGTGAAACAATCTTCCCCGCCCTTGCCCACTTTACCCTCTGTCCCAGGGCAAGAAGTACAAGCCCCTGGACCTGCGGCCCAAGAAGACTCGAGCCATGCGCCGCCGGCTCAACAAGCATGAGGAGAAGCTGAAGACGAAGAAGCAGCAGCGGAAGGAGCGGCTGTATCCTCTGCGCAAGTTTGCTGTCAAGGCCTGAGCAGCACGGTGACAATAAAACTCAAAACTCTGCCTCGGTGCTCTGTGCCTGCGCCATTTCTGTGCCCGCTCCCCCCTCCCTGTGCTGGGCTGACTTGCAAGGTGTGCAGAGGGGTGAGGGCTACATCTGAGGGTCCAGTGACTGTGGGTGTGGTTTGGCTTCTTGCGTGATTTGGGCATCCTTCTGAGGGCCCAGGTGAAGGTAGAACACTGGCCTGTAGGTGAGAGCCTGTCCCTGTGACCAGTGGGTCCCGCTGATCCCTTCTGCGCCACAGCCACAGGCCTTATTGAAGGTCTCTGGGCCTGTGTGTGTGTGCCCTCCTGCTTCAGCCTCCCGGGTAGCTGAGAATTACAGGCACATGGTGCCACCAGCCCCGGCTCCACATGATGAGTTCCATTGTCTGCAGGGGACTTACAAAATGCCCACAGTGTCTGCAAATCACAGTGGGGTATACTACCCGCAGGCACCTGGGTTATGGAGATGTTGATGCCTCTGCAGTTCAGGCCAGCTCAGAAATGAACTGGGGGCTGTGGCTTGCAGGAAGAGGCTGGTGGGCGAGTTGCTGTATATGAGTGTCTGCTGCTGACCACCAGAGAGAAAGCTGTGTTTCTTACCCAGCCACATGGCCCTTGCACATGACCCATTACCTGCTGGTTACAGGTTTCTGGGCCCAGGTTATAAAGGGTGGCTCTCAGTCTGCAGTGTGGTGTCCCTGCCCCCTGAAGGTGCCCTGGCACTGCAGGCTCAGGGGCAAACTGGAGTTCAGGAAGAGTTGTGTGGAGTGGGCATTGATTGGGGCAGAAGTCACTGTGACCCCTCAGGAGAGGCCGGAGCTGCAGGGACTCAGGCCATGTGGTGTGACCCAGCCTCAATGGCTAGGGGAACTGGGCACCAGAGGGGTGTGGCATGCGATTCTCCATTGTGGCAGCATCACCCAGTCGTCCTGACTGAGGCTGACAGTCTCCATTGCACTGGTGACCTGCATGCCAGGGGGTGCAGGTGACAGGACCCTTGGCTCTTGCTCAGACCCACAGGCAGGTCTTGCACCCCATCAGAGGAGCGGCAGGATTTTGGGGATTTGGCAGGGGCAGAAGTCACCCTGGGAGAGGCCTGGAGCACCTAGCCCAGTTCCCCATTTGGAAAGGGGCGCAGGTCCTCCAGAAGTTGAACCCCATTCCATGCGCCTTGGACTCAGCTCTTCCTGCTTTACCCACATCGCCTGGCCTCACCTGCTGCTTTTTCCAATCTCTGTATATGCATTCTGTCTGAGAACGCTGTGCCCTTTCCAGCTGACGGGTGCTCTAATTACCTCATCCTGTGGGGACACAGCCGTGAGCCATTCTGTAAGGGAAGAACCGTCTCACAAGGTGGCACAATTTAGCCAAGAGCACAGTCCAAAAAGCAGGCACAGCATGGATGACCCTTGATGACATTATACCAAACGGAAAAAACTAGTCCCCAAAGACAAACACTTTTTTGATTCTATTTACGTGAGACTCCTTAGACAAGCCACATTCATAGAACAGCGGAGTGTGGTGGCATGCACCTTTAATAACAGCACTCTGGAGGCTGAGGTAGCATTGTCTGGAGTTCCGGACCAGCCTCAATTTAAAGGCCAGGCTGAACTATATTGGGACTCCCTTTCACACACACACAAAAAAATTAACAAAAAAGCAAGACGCTAAAAACTTTTACCATCATTGTTTCTAAAAGTAGGCTATGGCAAGGTTTTGAGTTCAGTGTCTGGCACAAAAACAAAAAGATCTTAGTCCTTGGTGCTGGAGTCTGCTCAGCGGTGTCCCCAGAGCCCTAAACATTCATGAGTTGGAAGTTTGGACCTCAAGCCCCACCCTGGACTCACTTAGCCAAGCCCTCTCCAGACAATGCCTGGAACCTGGGCATCAAGACCCCTTTCTAGACCCAAGCTCAGAACTCCAAGTTCAGTCTGCCCTGATCCCTGAGGTCACTGTTTTGTTATGTTTACTTATTTTTGGTTTTTTAAGACAGGGCCTTGCTATGTACTTCAGGCTGGCCTTGAACTCACTAGGTAGCTAATGTGGGCCGGAACTTACTGGACCCCCCTGCCTCAGCTTCCTGAGTTCACTTTAAGCTAGAGATTACGCACTAAACCCAGCCAGGACCTGTGAGTCATCTCTGGAGCGAGTCCAGAGCCTGGAGTCCTCGTTAGGTCCAGAGCTCAGAACCTAGAGCTGTTCTCTAGGGACGCCCACTCAAGAACCACCTGGAACCCCTGCTGCATAGAACCACGAAACCTGCGGACCCCCAGGTTGGAGCCTGCGTGCTAGACGCCAGCTGGGCCTCGCCTCTGCGCGGTGGCCCGCGACCCGCACACATTGACCCGAGCGGTTCCCGCTCCTAGGGGAGGCTGTGTACAGCGGTCTCCATGGAGACCGGGGCGGGGCTCCGCAGCCGCTTGGGCTCTCTGGGAAGCCCGGAGGACCCGCAACCCGCAGAGCGCGCTCTGCTGGGGAGGTGGGGCGGCGGCGGGCGGAGCGCGGGCCTGGGAGGCGGGGCTTCCCGCCGGCGCGCAGAGCAGTGTGGACCCCGGGAGGTGTGCAGGGCGGCCGCTGGAGGGCGCGCGAGGCCCGCTCACTGGCCGCTTGAAGCCGGGCCTGAGCCTGGCGTCGCCAGTACTCTGGGAGGCTGAGGCAGGATGGCAAGTACCAGCCCAACCCGGGCAGCTTGGCGACCTTGTGAAACCGTGTCTCGAAATTTAAAAAGGCCGGGGAGGTAGTTCAGTGCAAAGGCACTGGGTTCAATTCGTAGGAAAAGGAACCGAAAACAAAGCGGCAGCAGGCTGGGGACAACAGCCACCTCCTGAGCGGGGCACTAGGGCATGAGGTCGCAGCCTTCCCCAATATTCCCTGCGGCACAGACCCAGGGGGAAACTGAAGACCCGGGAGGTGGGGAGCACGCTCAAGGTAGAGCAGAGCTGGGGCTGCATCCTATCCCATCTGTCTGCACTGGGCGTTCAGGTCTCTGATGCCTGCATGGCTGGGAACAGAGGCCCCAAGAGGACTCCACTTGGCGCCACCAGCACAGCCAGCAGGGCTGGGAGGGACTCCAGGGCTCCCGACAGTGACCCACACCCTGCTGTCCCTGCGCCAAAAGCCAGAACCTTCTCGTGAGACCGCATCTTGGACTCTATTTTTGGCTCAGACGGTCAGGCGCGGGCGACAATGGTGGCTTTGAGGAGCAGCCACCCCCATGCGCGCTCCCACTGGCCTGGCCTCAGAGCTGGCTCCTTGGAGACTCAAAGGTCACGTTGCCACCCCCAGACATCCCGAGTTCCCATCCCATGTCCCCTCCGCCACTCCACCGCTCCAGCCTACCACAGGGCCCCAAACCCTTCCCAGCTGGCCACCAGACTCAGTGACCCTTGGGCTCAGGGGTATGGGCTGGGCTTAAAACCCATTTGCACTGTTGTGGTGACCTATCTGTAATCCCAGCACTTGGGAAGCTGAGGCAGGAAGATTGCCTCGAGTTCCAGGCCAGCCTGGACTAAATAGTGAGACCCTGTCTCAAAAAACAAAACAAAAAAGTTTGCCGGAATCAGTTGCTAGGTGTCCCAGAGCCTCAATGAAGGGCCCATTCTCCTGCCCCATTGTCCTTGCCTGCTGTCCCCGTGCTTGGCCACACTGCTCTTTCTGCAGCTCCCTCCCCCCCCCCCCCATTTCTCACCCAGGCCTGTCCACATCCCTCTGTCGGCATCGTCCCTGCCCATCCTAGCACCATGTCCCTTCCTGGGGTGTGGCCCTCAGAAGCCAGAGCTCCTGCCCTGACCACAGGACACAGGGCCACGGGTGGGGTTGAACCCAGACCCCGCCACCTCCAGTGTTGTGACCTTGGCTGAGATCGGAGAAGCTGATTGCTCTGCCACTGTCCCTGGTCTGCATGGTGAGTCCCCACAGCGGTGGCTCCAGAGAGGTCGGATAGGGGATGCTCATCTGGCAGCTGGTGCTCCAGGTGCCTCTGTCCCTTCAGCTGAGAACCTGGACCCTGAGCTCCAAATTCTGTGTGAGGCCTTCCTCCGGGGCCACAGCTGGGGACCCCTCCTGCCAGAGAGGTGACTGGGTTCTAGGCCTGGCACTGGGGAGGACTTGGCCTGCCAGGTATGGGCTGCGGGGATGCCTGAGCAGGTGCCATCGAGAGTGGGGGTGCTGGCTCTAGACCTGTGCAGACCACTGGGAATCCTGGACTCCCCTATGAAGGCGGGCACTTTCTCCTCTGTGGGGAGCTTGTCCCCCTCCTCCTTCTGTAACCAGGGTCCCCAGGACCGAGGCCATACTGGCCTTTCTCCTGTCCTTCCATCCCTGGAGGTGATCACAGTTCCTCAGGAAAGACTAAGGGATGTGAAGGAGGCCACTCTGCTGCTTAGCCCTGTCGATTTATTTTATTTTTTATTTTTTATTTATTTATTTTTTTTGGTCTTTTTCCTTTTTATCAGTACCAGGGATCGAACTCACGACTGCCTGCTTGCAAGGCAGGCGCCTATGCCACTGAGCTAAATCCCCAGCCCCTGTTATTTTTGTTTTTTTGAGACAGGGTCTCAATATGTAGCCCTGGCTGGCTGTGAATTTGTGGCAATCCTCCTGCCTCAGCCTCCTCAGTGCTGGGATTGCTGCTGTGTGCCAAGTCTGGCTAGGGCCACCCTTATTGGAATACACTAATGCATCATTGTCCCTCCAGAAATTCGAGACTCCTTGTGGAGACAGAGCTGCTAGGCAGAAAGGCAGCACCCTCTCCACTTTTCTGGTTGCTGGATATCCTGTAATGCAGCAGCCTGCAGCGGCAGAGACACAGAGGGTCCGCAGCTCGCGCCTCCCCTCACCCCAGCCGTTTCCCTCCCCCATCGGCTGCCCACACAGTGGGTCCTTGGGCAGCGCACGGCCTTCCACGCCTTGGTTTAAATGTCACCCAATGTCATCTGCGTGCCTCCCACTGAGAGCGCTGTGAGGGCAGGCCCTGCTTGGGCTACCCAAGGATTCCTTCCACAGGGCTCCAGCCTCGA